CATAGGAAGTGGGAGCTGGGCTACTAAACTGTAATAAAGCCGATAATAGGCAGAGGGTAGTTTATACTAGACTCTACGCACAGGGTAATGAATCATGGTAGTTAGTGGTCAGGTAAAGTATAAAATGTCAGGTATAAAATGTCAGGTGTGTCAGGTATATATCATTTATTATGAAATACTACCCGGATAATGAGGAAAATTTATCATAAATTGCTGTTGTTTTATATGAAGTGATAATGCACATCAGCATGGTTGGTCTAGAACCGTTCCAAAATCTTTCGCTTTTTTCTTGCATATTTCTCGCTGTTTCACTCTAAAATTTGAATAAAGTGTTTAATTTTTTTGCATTTTTATACAATTTAGAGTAATCACTTCATGCCTGGTTTCTTTATTCCTTTCAAATTTCCCTTTTTTCAAGTTATTTTTACGTTTTAAGACATCACCGTCAGATTGTTTTGCGATGTAATATTGGAAACAAAGCAGTTGTTCTTATAACGTCTGCTAATCAGATCATGAAATGATAACTCATTATTAAAACATGACATGGTGCCAGACTTAAATCGCAAAATGAAAGAAATGGATAAAATGTAGTAAAAAACAACATATAGCATGTAATAACTCAGTTATGAAATTTGAAAAAATCAAAGAAAATCTAACATCTTATTCAAATTTTACAGAGAAAAAGCGAGAAATGAGCAAAAGCAGACCGACATTTCGATCACCGGTTTGGAATGATATATGTTCTTTGTCTAAGCAATTGAATCAATACTTTATCTTTTGATCTTCTTGTATAGAAAATAATTAACCACACTCCATGTTACGAGAATATCATTCATCGGTTATTTTTGATATTAGACGTGATGTATCTGTTAATATATTTCCAATTCCAGTTGCTCTTTGTCACTCTTCTCTCTCTTACATCACCCTTGGATCTGGAGGCTTTTGGTAATTTCTAGACTCTGACTAGGTTAGAAAGATTCTATCGGTGTCTAAGATCTGCATGACCCCAAGTTTGCTGTTACGGCCGATAAAGATTTGTTAATGCTCGAGCAATGAATTTTTCTCGTTTTGAGTTCAGTTGAAACCTTCCCTCAATTTCTTGAAAACGGTGTTCTTCCACAGGTATATAAATAGCTAAGTCATCTTCCTTCGCAAATCTGGCAAATGCAGTTACACATCAGAATTATATATGAGGCTATAGAAAATACATTTACAATCTAATAACTCAGCAAATTGATCGAAAAGATCGTGAAAGGTTGAAATATGATGGGAGTGAATGCTTAATAAGTTGCTATTATATTCCAAATATGGAGATACGATTGACTGATTGTGTCCAGCGTTTGTTCCTACTATTATTATCCCTATCTAAATCGATCGAATTGATCATTACACATAAATGATATTGTCCTATCAATGGATAGAATTAGATATCTGATTCGCTCTAAATAAATCATGCCATTCTTTGAGAATATTGAACTGGTTTGTTTGACCGTTTCTACGCTGTTTTTCTCAATCTATATTGTTCATATCTTTATAAGATTATCTTTATAATGGTTCAATTTGGATTTCGGAATACTACAGGAAAAACAATGAAAACAACAGAAAAAATTATTGGATATTATCATTTCAATGTAGAACTAGATTGTTAGTCTTGCTACAAGACCCTTCAGGCCCGTCGCCAGGGGGGGGGGTCAATGAACGAACCCCCCCCCCGGCCAAAAATTGTTTCAAAATCATGCAGTTTTTCACCATTCTGAGCACTTTTTAATTCATTTTGGCCATTTTGACCCAAAATTGTCATAAGTGAACCCCCCCTGGAATTTTTCAAAAAGTGAACCTCCCCTTGGCAAATCCTGGCTAACGGGCCTGCCCTCCTTCTTTATCTACTTTAACATCAGTGGTAAAGTAGATATGGCTGGGTCAAGCGTCTTGAGGCAAGACTACTTCGTTACAAATGTTCTAACAACAGAATCGTTTGGTAAGAACAACCATAGACCTTTGCCTGTTGCCAGATGTTGCCAAGGAAACCCTTGTCTCTATAACATGAACACTGTTTCACAAACCTAATTTATATTCTTCCTATTGGCTTACATGTTAAATCCACCTAATAACATGGCCACCAACCTCCCCCCCCGAGAGTGTTCCACATTTAGAAGGTTTACTGTTTTAATCTTGGCTTTAGGCTGTAGATATCTTTCCATTGTCAAATATGCCAGTTTTGTAGCTATTATTAAATCCCCTGTAATGATGGGAATTATATTGCAATTATTGCATCGGATTACATCGGATTAAAAGCCAGAGATAATCCAAGTTCTTCCAAATGTTAATCAAAAAATTAATTAGGAAAATTGTAATTAGCCATAAATTCTTAATGAGATTATGATCTAATAATGGTGTTATTAAATCCAAGTTTATTAATCTGAGCTAAATAATTCAATTTTGCAATTTTTGAAATGTTTGCTGTTTTTAATGTAGGATGGATGTCAGAATTGTAGTCAATGTTTCTCAGGAGGTTTACATATCAAAATTCAGGTTTAATAAGATGAAATTGTCTCTAGCATATAATCCATATCTCTGCTTTCAACAGAATCATATCATCCTCCAAGTGAAATACCTTGAGGTCAAGTGTTAAAACATGAAATAGAGTGGAAAAGAGAGGAATTAGCAAGAAATAAAGTACACAGGCATGTAGTTAACACTATAAATTGTAAGGAAATGCAAGAAAATTTAACACTTTATTCAAATTTTAGAGAGAAATTGAGTGAAATAAGCATGAGCAGACGGATGTTTTGAATATCTACAGAGCCATATCAATGATTTCAAAATAATGAACATATGTGGGGAAAATCAGACATCTGTCTCAAGATCTTCAGAAAGGTATCCCTACTTGAAAAAAACCCTCAAGTGATGAACGTATCTCATTTTTCTCAATCAATTTTGCATGAAGCGTCTGTAGAAATTGCACCTTTGCATATATTGGGATGTACATTATATGCCTGTGTTATTTACTTCCTTTCTAATTCTTGTATATTTCTCTATAATTCATGCTGGAATGAGACATTTTGCTCATTGGATATTTATAATTATAGCTCACACCAAATCAGGTTCTTGTAGCTCTGAACATACTATGAACGTGCTACCTGGATTACATCAAAGATACGTTTCGTAAATGTTTACTCTAGAAACACTTATAAACAAACAAAAGATTATCAAAAATCAATAATATACCTGTTCTAAATCATCCATAGATGTTTCATTGTTGAATAAAACATGTCCGATTTCTTTGTACATAGCAGAAGTTGTTGGCATAATTTATTTGCGAAATTGTCAACCTTTCGATCATTTTTTAAACAAAGTAAACAAGAAATTTATTGGAATATAGTTTTTATCTTATAGAATTCGAATTCCGCCCGAGGTAAAAATTACAAGATCATTCAACTTCTTTGAAGTGTTGACTCATATATTGTTAAGTATTGTCTTTTCTTGCAAGAGATGTCGATAAGCTATCTTGAAAGTCATGTTTTGAATTGCAAAATTGAATGGAAAAGAGATGAAATTTTCAAGAATAAAGTAAACAGACATGTAGTCAATACTCTAAATTGTATAGAAATGCAAGAAAATCAGACACTTTATTCAAATTTTAGAGAGAAATGCGTGGAATAAACATGAGCAGATGACAATACTTGAGGAATTGTCTTTCCTGGCAAAAAAGCCTAAATCTCTAACCCTTCGTGCTTATTTTACATACTGATGTTTACAAATCAAAAATAGAATAAAAATTGCAGAATTGCATGCTGTCCAACAAATCCAAAAATATATGTCAAGTTGACATCAAAGTGATGTCAGGATATTGATTATTAAGAGTCAGATGACATACCTAAGGCAAATAGAAAAGATACACGAAGTATCAATCAATATTATCGTGTCCCAAGCCCCAGATATTGTCACAACAATAACAAGCAAGTTAATGGCTCAGAGAAGATCATTTTTGTTCGATTGCGTGAGAATTTAACCTTTTTTATTGATCTCTATCAGGGACTGCCTCATAGCACATAGCAAAACCCAGAGGTTTCATGTCTGAGGAATCTGTGGGGGTCTTGTTTTAAAATGTTAACTTGAATGGAAAAGAGGAAATAAATAATAAGTAAACAGGCATGTATTTGACACCCTGAATTGTATAGAAATGTAAGAAACACACACGATTCATTCAAATTCAAAGAGAAATGAGAGAATTTAGCATGGAATATAGTATCATGCATGCAGTTAACTCTCTGAATTACATAAGAAGGCCACAAAATCGGGAAATTTAAGAGAGAATATTTAAAAAAGAAAATATTTATGCCCAGTTAGAAGATATAGTAATATACTATTAAACATGTATTCCTTAGAATGTCAGTAGATAAATCCCATATCTAATCTGTGTTATATGTAACATCAATTAATATGGATCTCCTGAATGAGCAGTTTGTCATGAGGGAGCAGCCTTTCTGTATCTCCCAAATGAGAAGCTTCTCACCTGGCCCATCATAAGAAAGAGTTAATTTGAAGAGAAAGTAGTTCTGTCATCAATTTTGTACCCTTTGCATTCTTTCGACTTCACTTCTTAAAAGAGAGCTTCGTCTTCACTCTTTCAGTTAACAATAAATCACTGATCTCACCAAGTCAATCAGAGTTCGTCGTCGAAATAAGGATGACTTTCTATATGGTCATTTCCTCTGACATCACCGCAAAGTTAATCAGCTCGTATTTAGCACATGTTCCCTTCTACTTCGCTGATTGGTTGAGAAAGAGTCAGCGTGGTAGATTTGAAATTGTTTATTACCTGGGCTGTCACAGGCCCCAATCTTTGGGGTGGGGCTGCTAAACTGTAACATAGTCTTAACTAGGCAGAGGGTGGGGCTGCTAAACTGTATTATAGTCTTAACTTGGCAGAGGGTAGTTTATAACTAGACTCTGCGCACAGGGTATCAATTTTGTAATATATTTGTTTGTACTTTCAGGACAAAATCCCAGAATCACTGAGCATCCAACGGATGAGTATGTTGCCAAAAACGAGCCAGCGACCTTGAAGTGTAACGCGGAGGGAGACCCTTCACCTCAAATCAAATGGTATCGCAATGGCCAGCCTGTGATGACGTCAAAGGAAGACCCGAACTCTCATCGCATGTTGCTCCCCAATGGTGGTTTATTCTTCCTGACAATTATTCACAGTAAAAGCAATAAACCGGATGTTGGGACGTATTATTGTAGCGCAACTAACATACATGGAACGGTTTACAGTAACAACGCTACACTGGAAATAGCTGGTAAGTGTAGATTTAATTTGGAACATTTTATGAAACAAGTTCTTGCATGCTCTCTTGATAAGAATAGTGCCAGGGTGCTGGGGGGGGGTATACTGATTTGAGTCCCTCTATAGCCTCTCTAAAGCTTCTGTACTGTGATAGTAAAGGCTTCTGAACCCATAATTGGCGGCCAAGTTCAAAATTTCCAATGTGGCTACTGTATGATGGCGTCATATGGCCACCTAAACCAATCAACCAATGTGTGTGTCTGAGTTTTCATGACATCTCTAGACTACTACTATAGTCTGGGTGTATTCTTTAATGCATTTGATATATATTGGATGAAGAATGTCCAGAATGGATTCTTAACCCTTCATTAGGAAATGTACTGGCAGGGGACATGAGAATGGGGGAGGGGGGGGGGGGTTAGACTCAGATCTGCCCCTTCCTGTCTCCCTTCTTCATTCATTTACAAAAAGCTGTTGCAATATGAAATCCAAATATTTTCTTGATTAGTTTGTTCATCAGTATACAATCAGTCTCAGTTTGAATTTTCCCATCTGAGTTTGGAGTTTCATCTATGATAACAGCCAAAGATCTAAAAGAGATGAATAATGATGAAAGCCAACAGTGTCAAATGAAATTGATAATTAATATAAATTAGTCAAAATGAAAGGAACAAAGCAATTTATTCTACTTGAAGTTTTTTAGTATCATGTTATCTGATGATACTGTATTAAACAAGCTTGAAAATATCAGGCCTTTTAGTTGCAAGGAGTGTTTTTGATTGATCTTATTGACGCTCGGTTATTTGCTCATTTTGAGGCTAGTTATTTCAGGTTTTAGACCATTTGATTTTTGTTTTCAAATGTTGCCCAAACTGCTTTCTGTTTAACAAAGAAATTTGATAACATCAGGCGATGTATGCAGAAATTAGAGAAATTAAATATTACTATTGCTAATTACTACACGAGATTGTTTGCCCTCATTGCCTCTTGTTTTTACGTGTTAATTGCTCATCATGCCATTTTGTATAATTTCACTCTGCTTTTGTTTTCCATCCTTTTAACAAAAACTGAAATTTAAAATTTCTGGTGTTTTTAAGTTTTATAATAAAAACCATAATCAGACATCTACATGTATTCTTACATTTTTCTAAATTTCCTCAAAATTTACAATTTTCTGGTTGCAGAAATCATAACAATGCGGACTTTATTTTTAGGTAACATGTCCTTTACTAATGAGAACACCAAGCGCCTTTGGCACCAAATCAAAAAGTCTGACCAAATTTAACATAACTGACCATGATTCGTTCATTAACGATAATTAGCCATAAGCTCAATGTAATAGCTTTAATGAAAATGCCTGGACTAATAATTTGGCAAAATGAATGCATCCATAATGCTGAAAATGGAGAATTTAATGAAGTTTCAGAATTCCATCAAGTGGTTATATCCCATTATCAATTTCATATTATATTATATTATATTATATTATATTATATTATATACTAGTCCTCATGATACTCCCCCCCCCCCCTATATACCTCAGTAGAGAGAGAGGGGACTCATAGATGTTAGTGATGTGCCAATCATCATGACGGTACTTAAGTCACTCAAACAGTCGAAAAAGATTTGAAGTGGAAAAGGGGGGGGGTTCGTAGTGATAGTCTTGTTGGTATTTATTGTTTTATTCAGACACATCTGCAGTGAAAACTATACAATATGAATTTTATTTTCCCATCAACTCCCGTAGGAATGTCTCCGTCTGTCTTCTAAAAGAGGTGCCATTATGTACTTGTAAAATTATTTCTTATTAAAACATTATTGCTATCAGTTTTTTTGAGTGACTCAGAAATCGTGAAAATGAGAAATAGTATTATCGGAGATTAGCTTCTCTGTTGCCAGGAAGCGAGTGATATCTTCAAATCAGAGATTTCATTATCACATCATAATAGAGAGAAACATGTTCCCTTTGAGGGAATTCTCAAATTAGTCATATTCTAAAATGCAAAATAGAGTAGAAAGGGGTGGAATAAGCAAGAAATAAAGTGAACAGGCATGTAGTTAACACTTTAAATTGTATGGAAATGCAAGAAAATCAGAGACTTTGAGAGAAATTTTGAGAGAAATCGATAGAAATAGACATGAATGTTATTTTGAGCCTGGTCTGTTTCAAGTTTATGCTTCTGAGAATGGAGGGATTTGTAAGATGGAAAGGACCTGAATACATAGCTGTTTTATACGCAAAAACTATATACATTTGTTTGAATTATCGTGAAAAATCAAAGACCAACCTTTGGTCATCGGATATTTTTAGGACAGTCATTATAATATTAGCTCTATCTCCAGTACTTTCATATGAATCATTGAGAAACAAGTAGAATTCCTATTATTGAATTACCTACGTTGCAATGCCGTCTGCTCATGCTTATTTCACTCCATTTCTCTCTTAAATTTGAATAAAGTGTCTGATTTTCTTGCATTTCTGTATAATTTAGAGTGTCAACTACATGCCTGTTTACTTTATTCCTTGCTTATTTTACTCATTTATACTCTATTTTGTGTTTTAAATAAATGGCCATTGTAACATTTTACTGATAGGTTAAGCCTTTAGAATGTACACTGAATTATTCATCATAGGTTTGCGTGAGGTTCTCGCCAAACGTGACCTAAAAGCTCTTTTTATCATAATGAATTTAAAAATCTATATCTCTCTGTTTTTCGTTACATCTTATCAGATTTTGTCCTTTTGGATGCAAATATTTGGATGTTGGTTTGTCATGTTAGATTGTATACTGGGCTTGTTTCATTAGACAACCTTTTCAGTAACTGATCTAAATCTACGAGTTTGTTTAATCCAAATAGAGGCAGAGAAATAATTGAACACGTGTGTTTTGCAATTGATACAAAATTGGGAATGGGATTTAAATAATGTATTTGCTGGTCCTGATCATCCCCTCCAAGAATCTTTACCAGTAAACTCTACTACCAAAACTCCAAGAATCCCTACCCTCAGATTCCCTACCCCAAGAATCTATACCCTGAGATTCTTTACCTTTCAAAATCCATAGCCTAAGTTACCCTGTAATCCTCAATACCTACCCCAAGAATCTATACCCTCAGATTCCCTATCTTTCAGAACATATAGCAAAAGGTTCCCCACCCCCAACACCTTACCCCTCAACTTCCCCATCAATAGTATACTACTATACACATACCTATGTTGTCTACCCTTACTCCCAAAGACAGTAATTTCAAAATGAAAGCTCTCTTTTAAGGTACAAAATCAATTTCTTGAACTATGGGAGTCATTATCCCCATTAGATCAAGAATGTCTCCAGTAGACCCATAGGTATCACCCATATGCATGTTTTGAAATTAAATTGAATACTAACCATGAAATTGGCCTTTTGTTGAGCAGACATCACAAACATTTCATTTAGTATGTCATGTAACAGTCAAGTTTGGAGACAGGAAAATATACTAATTTTAGTGATTATATTTCATGGTGGCAGCGGTAGTCTTGGGAGGGATCTAAGTGTTTCACAAAGGGCTCTTGTTTCATGCTTTGTTGAGATCTCAATTAAACGTAATGACCAGTTGAAGAATTAGAAATTAAACTAACATAAAAGGCATACTGTGTATCTCCATTGTTGGGAAAGGTCATTACAACTGATTATATAGTCTCTGTTTGCAGGCCCATAGGCAGGATTTGCCAAAGGGAGCTTCACTTTTTGAAAAATTCCAGAGGGTTCACTTTTTACAATTTTGGTCCAAAAATAGCCAAAATAACTTGAAAAGTGCCAAGAATGGTAAAAAACGGCATGATTTTGAAATAAATTTTGGCTAGGGGGATGGCTACTTCGGAGGTGTGTCCGAGTGTTGGTGTGTATATTACGCAATTGTTGATTTTTGGTTTGTGTCCTCTTTTGCCACTGTGCTGACATGTTTGGCTTAGTCAAGAAGCTCAAAAGTTTGAGATTTCACCATCTGCTGTCTATCTTGGACAATGCTCTTTTGTTTCTGGTAAACTTCTATATTACTATTTATAGAGAGAATATACAATTTGTTATCTCATACTTTCAGAACTGAGGTAGATAAATATTTCATTGGGGATAAACCTCATATTCAGAACCTCTGAGGTAATATAAACTTATTATAGAGGATGGACTCAATCTGATATATTTGGATGTTAAGTCTTGTCAACATGGATATCAGTCATTCAGTCTATTATGAAAATATCAGATGATAAATTGTCAAGGAGGTCTGTTTTAAATGACAAAATAAAGTGGAAAGGAGAGGAATTGGCAAGAAATAAAGTAAACAGGCATGTAGTCAACACTCTAAATTGTAAAGAAATGCAAGAAAATTATACACATTTTTCAAATTTTAGAGAGAAATGAGTGGAATAAGTATTAGCAGACGGATATTTTTAAACTAGGATTTCTTTGCATGTCAACAGCATTTTGCTTGCAGTTAGGTGGTCTCCATGAAAATTGACCAGTGATGAAAGAACATCAAAAACAGATGATGATCATTGAAATATGCAAAGAAATATTTCAATGAAAAGTATAATTTTGGGGGATTTCCATACAATAACGATAATGGTCTCCATGCTCGTTAGTCTGTTTCCTTGGTACGTCCACTCCATTTAGCTGTTTTTAGCAAAAAACTGAGGATTTTAATTCAGGGTAAAGACCTACCAGGGCTTTTGCTTATCATTTTGGATAATGCTGTATTATACGAGGGTTGATCCAAAAGTTCCGAACCGTTTGCTCTAAGAATCTTAATATTTTATGAATATTGTTCATATTTGGCCACGACCACCCCATATATAGTAGTTTCATTTTGTGTAAAAATAAAGCCAATCTTCTTTGACTTTTCAATGAACCCTAGCCTGAATACTAGCGTAATAGATGAGCTGAGACTAGGGATCAATTCAACAAATCCAGACCTAAAAGTCCGTCTGCTCATGCTTATTCCTCATATTTCTCTCCAAAATTTGAATAAACTACTTGATTTTCTGGGATTCCTATATAATTTAGAGTGTTGACTACATGTCTGTTTACTTTATTTCTTGCTAATTCCAGTTTTTTCTAATCAATTTTGCATTAACTATGACTGTTGTAGCATTTCTCATAGGGGTAAATGATGAAGTAGATAGTATTGACAAAGAACTATCTTTTCAATCACTTTTGGATAAATCCCAGCAAAATAATAAAAATGATAATTTTTTTATAACAATAAGGAATTATTTGTGTGTTACTTATCTAAGTGGGCCCAGTGTTCTTTAAATGAAGCGAAATCAGGTTAAAAGAAGGGGTACCTTAATCCAAAATATCAAAGAAAACCTTTAACTCTCTTGCTATTTGTTTGCAGTGATCCGGGATGATTTCCGAGTGAACCCAAAGAACACAAAGGTTGCAGTCGGGGATCGTGCCGCCCTAGAATGCAAGGCCCCAAGAGGTCAACCCGAGCCCAGGATATCATGGAGGCGGGACACGCAAGATCTCGTAGGGGACAATCACATAACGATACAACCTGACGGTAACCTGGTCCTAAGAGACGCACAGAAAGATCACTCAGGAACGTATATTTGTGTCGCAACCAATATTGCCGGAGAGAAAGAAAGCACACCAGCAATATTATCTGTGCAAGGTAACAATTTTACGTCTAAATTTGTGTTCTTTCCAGAAATGGCATAAAAATTATACTTTACAATTCTACCCGTAACTGAGAATATTGGCAGATTTTCATGAGTTTCGTGAGAGCGTCCCTTTTTTCTTTGTATATTTTTTCCAAACGTATGTCTTGTTCAAATTTAAAATCTGACAAAACATAAATGAATTTTAACCCACCCCAGATGTAACCTTCAAGCTGAAAAACAAAAGAAGAGTTCATTGAAGAATATTTTTACCAGTTGCCAAAATGTTTGATTTTATTAAGACCAGAATGGAACTGATGTCAAAGTAATTATCTTTAAACTGATAGAAATGAGCAGCAGGTCCAGAACCAACCTTAAAATGTCGTCAGCTTTTGGTAACTTCATGTAATTTCTCCCTAAAATTTGAATGAAGTGTCTGATTTTCTTGCATTTCTTTACAATTTAGAGTGTTAACTTCATGCCTGTTTACTTTATTTCTTGCTAATTTTACTCATTTTCAGTCAGTACTACATTTTAAAATATGACCTAAATAACAATTTTATTTTTTTGTGATGTCATTCTATTCTATATTTCATTAGTTTTCCTACTATTTTTCTGTTCAATCAATGCAATATTTAAGCAGAGCGGATACCCTTTTCAACCATTTGATTATACTCAGAGCCTAATAATTTTACTTCTAGCCTTGATGCTTCAGGGTTGTCTGCTTCAAGACCCTGTGCCCATCTACTTTACACCAGGTGAAGTAGATAATGTGAGAGGTTCAGGGTCTTGAAGCAAGACTAACCACGAGGTTGCGAGTTCGAGACGCGTGTGCTCCTTGTGTTTATTCATTCATGGTAAGAGCTGAAGATTCCATTGTTAGATCAATAAAAGGATGAATTTACGCAATAACAAACTGTGGAGGGGAAACATTCCTGATTCTTAAGATATAGTAAAAACTCACATAAATTCATGCATGGCAGGACGTTCAGAAATCCTCCTATGCTTTTAATGGCACTCTAGTTATAAGAAGCCATTTTCATCTTCTTTGGATAATTTTCGTTATGGATGAACTTTTCTGAGATTTTTGTATGATTTCGGGTGTGAATTACGGCACCTGAATTACAGGCCTGCTTGCTCCAGTCTTTGCCAATTCTACTCTTTCTTTGATACTCATTTTGAAACATGCAACTTGATATTTATTTCTTGGGTATCAATATTTTGATGGTTTAGTTGCAAGTGATGCACATTCACCCTTGTCAGTCACCTTTCATGAAAAAATTCTCCAAATCATGAAATATCTTGATGGTCATGTTTTGAAATCAAAAATAGAGTGGAAAAGAGTGGAAGCAGCAAGGAATAAAGTAAACAGACATGTAGTGAACATCCTAAATTATGTAGAAATGAAAGGAAATTTGATAGTTCATTCAAATATTAGAGAGAAATAGAGTGGAATAAGAATGAGCAGACGGACATTTTCATTAAGGATCCTTCAGCAGATTTGTTCATTTCATGTTGTTGATTTTCTGTCGGATTTTGTTATGCCCACCAAAAAAACAAAATTCCAACTATTGCTATTATATTTTTTTAGCAGTTTGTTCGAGCTTGGATAACTGGTCTATGTCAGATGTATATTAGCCAACCGTCTAACATAAATAGATAATAGTTTCGAGCCTAATTTATTTTTGTAGGTGTGAAAGAGGAAATATGTGAATTCATATCAACACATTTTGGTTGACTACACAAGAACATTGAACCGGTGTTATATTTGAAAAATATATTATTTTTGACAGGGAATAAGAATGTCTCACTTGCATACCCTAAGTTTAGTAGTTTGCATGATTTGGTTTGATGTGTCAATCCATCTTTAACATTTACTCTTCGACAAAATGTCTGGTAATTGAATTTTAGAATAACATTGTATTTTAACCAACCCAGATTTGATTTGAGTATTTTACGATTATTGAATTTTATTTCAGAGCGTCCTACATTCATCCGGCCGCCACAAGATACCTTAGTGAAGGAAATGGACGATGTTGAGTTTCGATGTCGCGTTTCTGGAGATCCAAGGCCAACGATTATCTGGAAACGGGAAGATGGACAAATACCTTCTGGGAGGTTAGTAAAAGGATTTTTATGAAGTGATGGGCACAAATGGTCCAACAGATGCAGATGCATTGCAATGTCTTATCATAAAAGAAAAGTCTGAGATAGAATAAGTTTGAATTAATAACGATAAAAAGCACCTGAATGTAGGCTTTTGTTTGGTCCAATCTAAGCATATCTAATTCAGGTGAATTAGTTAAGGGGTCAATCTTTATTTCTGTATTGGAATGAAGGTATGTGCCAAGAATGAAGCAACTTCAACCTCCCTCCCACCTCGTCCCCTTCCCCTCCCCCTTGTCCCCCATGACTATATTTTTCATTTATTTTCAGAGCTCGTATTCAGGAAGACAAGAGTTTGAAAATTGAAAGAGTCCGTGTATCGGATGAAGGTGTCTATATATGTCGGGCAGAGAGTGAGGTTGGGTCAGTAGAAGCTGCAGGGAGATTAACTGTTCACTGTGAGTACCTTTTGATTTTGTGTCTGAGAGTCACGTTTTAAAACATGAAATTGAGTGTCAAAGAGTGGAATAAGCAAGGAATAAAGTAAACAGGCACGAAGTGAATACTCTAAATTGTACAGAAATGCAAAACAATTATACACTTTATTCAAATTTTAAAGAGAAATGGAGTGAAATAAGCATAAGCAGACGGATGAATCATCTTCACATGTTTCCAGCACACTTTCTTTAAATTCTTTATTGTAATTTAACAGGAAATTTGTCACAATTTTCGGATAGAATCTTTTTATCACACCATCGGTGGGATATAGTCGTCATTCTGGTCGTGATCGTGGTCGTGGTCGTGGTCGTTATCGTGATCGTCCCGCTTTTTGTCATCGCCGTTTAAGGAAAACTGCTCATCAGATTTTCTCCAAATTCGCAGAGATGATAGAGCATATGAAGTACTAGAGCTGATTAACTTTTGGGTGGCCATCTTGTTTTCTGGCGGCCATTTTGAAGGTTTTTCGAAAATTCTTGTCATCGCCATTTCAGGAAAACCGCTCATTGGATTTCCTTCAAATTTACACAAATGATAGAGGATATCAAGTACTAGAGCTGATTAACTTTTGGGTGGCCATCTTGTTTTCTGGCAGCCATTTTGAAGATTTTTCGAAAAATCTTGTCATCGCCATTTCAGAAAATCCGCTCATCGGATTTCCTTCAAATTTACACACATGATAGAGGATATCAAGTACTAGAGCTGATTAACTTTTGGGCGGCCATCTTGTTTTCTGGTGGCCATTTTGAAGGTTTTTCGAAAAATCTTGTCATCGCCATCTCAGGAAAACCGCTCATCGGATTTCCTTCAAATTTACACAAATGATAGAGGATATCAAGTACTAGACCTGATTAACTTTTGGGCGGCCATCTTTTTTTCTGGTGGCCATTTTGAAGGTTTTTCGAAAAATCTTGTCATCGCCATTTCAGGAAAACCGCTCATCGGATTTCCTTCAAATTTACACAAATGATAGAGGATATTAAGTACTTAGTAAGAGCTGATTAACTTTTGGGCGGCCATCTTGTTTTCTTGTTCTTGAAATTTGTAAACATAATAGGAGAACAGTTTTCCTGGTTCATAGTGTCTGCCTATTTGATGGTGTGATCTCGTTCACATCCTGTGCCTTGTTTATTTTTTTTTCAAATGAAATTCTTGATGGGGACAAATTGTTGAAAAAAAATTAAGGTTTTTGTATATCATAAAATATGATGTGTTATTCAATTAGTGTACATAATACATCAAAGCATACAAAAAGATGATTTCAAAGATTTGAGAAAAAAATAATAACATAATCATTAAGGAGGAGACACAGAAGTTTCTGTCACTATTTTGTACAACTTTGAGCACGATAAATTCACATAAACTTTCAAGTTTTTTTTATCTTATTCAATTATCCCATGTTAAAATACAGAAACATCTAAACAGTTGCATTTTTTTCAGCATGATTTTTCATTTCGGGAGATCTAAGATAATTTTTTTACTAGAAAAATTATGGCATTTTGCAAGATATGTTGAGATAACGATGTGAGCTATGACCTCGCCTACAATAGATCTTCCATAAATACTTATGATTTTATCAGTTCAGTTGAGTCTAGTTGTTAACAAAAAAATATAGATGTCTTTTTTATCACGACATGTAAAGAAGTAATTTTTCACTTTGTAACTAGAAACTGGTTGTTTTGTTAAAAATGAATAAAAACATAGGGAGCTCTGGCAATCTGTGGAATTCTGTCTCCTCCTATTGTTTGATTCCTATCTTCAAGATACCACTATAAATTAACAATTATTTCATCATAGTTCCTCAAATATTGACGATATTCTGAATTTCTAAAGATTTTTGTGTGGGATTGGGTTTTGTTTACTCGACTGTTTATTTTATTCCTTGGAAAATTCTCTCTTTTTCATACTATTTTGAGTTTGAAATCATTAATGGATTACAATTTATCCCCAGTTTTCAGACTCTATGTCTTAATTACAGATATGTTAGACTCCTGGTCTAGCAAAATGACACAATCTCTACTGGAATACTTCAACAGAATATCACAAAGGGCATGTTTTGAAATGTGAAATTCTGTAAAAAGGAGAGAAATTACCAAGGAATAAAGTAAACTCACATATCAATGACACTCTGAATTATAAGAAAATGCAAAAAATTAAGATCGCTCTTTCAAATTATACTGAGTTATTGAGAGAAATAAATCGAGCAGACGGATATTTTAAATGTTGGTAGATTTGAATGTCATTAAAGATTTTTGTGTTTATGAAATTCTCCATTTAGACTTGCTTTTCAATTGAAGTGAGTGTAGTGTTTCTCAGAATGGAAATTGGTCCTTGATATTTGTTTATCAATTGAGAGACTCGTGGACCTTTCCCCTGGTGGACTTTTCTCTCTGAGGATTATAATAATCAAGATCGGTTTGATCTAACATATTTACTTGATCAGTTTTTGAATGATTTCATTTTTTTATTTTCCCTCAAATATCCTTTCTTATAACTGAGACCCAATGCAATTTAACTTAATTTTTTGATTTTTCATTTCAGCTAAACCTTCATTTGTGATGACACCACGTGATGTAGAAGTCGGCAAAGGTCGTACCGTTAGCCTACAATGCGAAGTCACTGGGAACCCCATTCCTACAGTCTATTGGCACAAGCGACATAGTCAGGTAAGTGTCTAAGGGCCATGTTAGTGTTTAGGGTCATGTTATTGTTGAGGGCTATGTTAATGTTGAGGGCTATGTTAATGTTGAGGGCCGTGTTAGTGTCAAGGGCCATGATAGTGTCAAGGGCCATGTTAGTGTTGAGGGCTATGTTAATGTTGAGGACCATGTTAGTGTCAAGGGCCATGTTAGTGTCAAGGGCCATGTGAGTGTCAAGGGCCATGTTAGTGTTGAGGGCTATGTTAATGTTGAGGGCCATGATAGTGTCAAGGGCCATGTTAGTGTCGAGGGCCATGTTAGTGTTGAGGGCTATGTTAATGTTGAGGGCCATGATAGTGTCAAGGGCCATGTTAGTGTTGAGGGCTATGTTAATGTGAAGGGCCATGTTAATGTTGGTAGTAATGGTTACTTATTCATTAAGTTGTTGGTCCTAATATCTCCTTAAGGAGTAACTTCTCCTTTCTCCCTCTCAGTTTCTTTGAGTTACATTGCAGCAAAGCAAGGGAAGAAACAAATAAGGGAATTGTAACGTTTTCTCAAGCAAGAAAAGTACCAAACAAGATAATTGCCAAGCAGAGGAATTTACAAAACAAAATTGCCAAACAGGCTATACCAATGCAATATCTAATTTGTGCTGTTAGGGATTATTTTCCTATTTTTTGCTAAAAAATCTATTGGAAATCTGAAACTAGTTTAGCATAATTCTTTATTTTAATAACATGATAGGCCTTGGTTGTTGAATAGGGAGCTGTCGGATTATAGTCTAAATCACTCAGTGGATAGACAGACCATTTGCATAACTCCTAAGAAAAATATCAGGGGGTTATTTTGAATTGCAAAATCAAGTAGAAAAGAGGAATTAGCGAGGAATAAAATATACACACATAAAGTGAACACTCTAAATTGTATGGAAATGCAAGGAAATCAAATTGTTCATTCAAATTTTAGAAAGAAATTGAGTGGAATAAACATGAGCAGACAGACATTTTTCCAGATAATAAAAAGTCATCTGGGTATTCCATTATAGTATGCAGATTGAATAGGAATTGAGAGAAGCAGCTTGGAAAGTAACATATATATATTCACTCATAAAGTGTAGTAAGAATGTATAACCAATCAGTTTAAATCATTAAGATGTAAAGAAATATATTTGGGAAGAATCGTAAGAATTTTTGAGGGGAAAGATCAAGTTTTTTACGATTTATCTTGAGGAGTAAATGTCTGTTGTTCAGTTTCCACTCAAGCGAAAATAAATGTTATGTAATAGTACACTTCTTCACCCATGCCTTATGTCGTTCCTGATTTATTTTTGAATGAATGTACTGGTTTTGTAAACAGATTTGTGCTTTTTTGTTGTTCATTGTATATTTGTTACTATTTTTGACGTGTATGTGTTAATCTATCGTGATAAGCGCAACCTACGGGCGGTAGGTAAAAGGGAATCTGTGTATCTGAATGGACGTAATCAGGAAATTGAAATTGTTGGTACCCATAACTAAAATTTCATTTTTATAATTCTTTCATCTTATGTCCTCTGCTCATTTTGTTTATTCATCTCATTTCTTGCTAAAGTTTGCATGAAATATCTATTTTTCTTGTATTTCTTGATAATTTAGTATGTTGACTGATTACTGATTCCTCTCGTTTCCAACATATTTCATTTTATTTTGCATTTGAAAACAACCGTCTTGACATTTATTTCTTTTGCAAAAAACATTTATTCAGGATTCGAGAAATGCTTTGACAGTTTCTATTCCAAGATCAATAGACTACTAAAGCTTAGCCAGTTCTACCCACGTAGGAAATTTCTCGACTAAAATGTCTGTCTGCTCATGCTAATTTCACATCAATTCTCTCTAAAATGTGAATGAAATGTCTGATTTTCTTGCATTTCTATACAATTTAGAGTATTATCTTTATGGATATTTACTTAAGAGTAGGTATATCTTTCTCTAAACTTCTCTATTTTTGTTCGTGAAAACAGGACTATTTTAAATTGATTGCTTGTCATTTTCTAAGACAATTACTGTAAATTATCCTAACCTCTCAAGCAGCTTTTGTGCAAGAATTCTACTTACTGGAGCTTATGATAATATGCATTTTCTTGTATGATATTCCCATTTTGTTTTAAGCATTATTTTCTCATGTGAGATACCGTTTGAGGAAAGGTATGGAGAGAATACAGCTCTGCATTAAGATATCTCCAAATGCATTTTGGACTGATAGGTCTCTCTATTATTATCATTCTCTGCTTCTTTGAGAAACTGGTCACTTGTGTGTCTTTCATCACTTGTGTGTCTTTCATCTCCAGGGTCTGTCCACTTATATTTTAAATCTAGGACATTACATTTGCCTGGTTTACAGAAAAATATTAATCAATTCAGCCACTCATAAATAAGTTGTCAAGAAGGTCATGTATTTCAGATACAAAATAAAGTGGAAAATAGTGGAATCGGCAAGGAATAAAGTGAAGAGGCATGTACTTAACACTCTAAATTATATAGAAATGCAAGAAAATCAGACACTTTATTCAAATTTTAGAGAGGAATACAATGAAATATGTGTGAACAGACAGACATTTTTTAAAAGGTTTTAATTAAACCTCAATCAATTCTTAATCATATCATAATCTGATCTCATGAAGGAATTCTAGTTGTCACAATATTGACGAAAATGTCTGATATTTTCTCCAAGTAATATCGGACAAGAAGGAATGCAACGTGTTGCAGAAAGAGATAGGAGTTGACCCTTAGAAAATGTCTGCTTCGATGTCCGTCTGCTCACGGCGTTTTCAACTATTTCTCTCCAAAGTTTGAATAAAGGGTTTGATTATCTTGTATCTCTTTAGACCTTAGAGTCTAAACTACTTATACTTTATTTTTTGGGCTGGTCCACTATTGTCCATTCTGTATCATTTATTACAAGATGGCCTCTAGGATTTATTTATGGGCAGAGAAATCTTCAGGGAGGAGAAGTGCAATATGAGGCATTATCATTAGGAGTGAGGGATATTGATTTTAGGTTGTCGTCTGCTCAAAACATTTCGCAACTCTTGCATATTTTTCTAATTTTCTCTCTAAAATTTCATTGAAGTGCTCGATATTTTGACATTTCTTCAACATTCAGAGTGCTGCCTATATGCCTGTTTATTTTCATTCTGATTCCTCTCATTTCCGCTGTATTTCTATGAGGAAACATGATGACCATAATGATTGTATTCATTGGTGTGCATCTACAGGTTTTGCTTCTGATAATAGGCAGATGAGTATGATCATATCCCAACAATAAAATGTCATAATCATGTTTTAAAACGTGAAATAGAGTGGAAAAGAGAGGAATTAGCAAGGAATAAAGTATATGGGCATGTAGTTAACACTCTAAATTGTATAAAAATCCAAGAAACTCGGACACTTCCTTCAAATTTTAGAGAGTAATATTCCAAAAAAGCTTGAGCAGATGGCTGTTTTTATTCTCAAAAGGCAGATGAGCGTGATCGAATAATTACTTATAATTATGCTCAAGGATGGTGATACAGTATGATTCACGTTTCTATATAGTATACTAAAGAATTCTAGTCTCAAATTGCAGAAGGTTTCCCATCATTAAAACTCTTGAATCCTGCACCCAGTTGAGACTGGACACCCCATTTGCACCCCTTTGAGAGGAGACATTGCACCCAGTTGAGACTGGTTGAAAAAAGCCTTGCGCCTTGTTGATATTTTATTCATACCCAGTTGTGAATTTGGAAAATTTAGCTAGATTTGGATTCTCAATTCAATTTAGAAAAATTTGATGGGATAACATTTTCTGTTTGTGTGGGCTGTGGGATCATTCAAAGTTCTTAGTTTATGGCATATCACTAATGAAAGGCTTTACATGTATGATATATTTATTAATTATTTGGGACAAACCTTAATCAGTTTTATATTATAATGATACCAATAAGCTTTTGTTTCTATGACAATAAGTAATTGTTCAGATGATAATAAGCAGTTGTTCAGATGACAATAAGCATAAGCGTAATGTTGTTATATAACTGTAAGGCAGAATTACTGTAGAATTTGGAGTGGGTCGTAACCTGTTAATAAAATGATACATGGACTGATCATAAATATAAAATAAAGTGGAAAAGAGTGGAATTAGCAAGAAATAAAGTAAACAGGCTTGTAGTGGATGACACACAAAAACGGACAATTGTTCGGAAATAACTAGTGCTCAATTATTTTCCAGGGATAATGTGGAAATGTATTAATTATAAGTGAGACTATTAAATTGGGAGTAATTATAGCACATTATCTTATTGTAGAAGCATGCTTTAAAGTTGCGTAATACTAATATTTGAGATCAACTTCAAAATTATGGGTTTCAAGGATCAATATACTTGTCAGGGGATTATTCTGTAACCAGATTTGTTGACGTACCCCTCCGTTTGTTTACCTTATTTCACTCCATTTCTCTCTAAAATTTGATTAAAAGTTTTGATATTCTTGCATTTCCATATAATTTAGAGTGTTTTCTACATGTGCGTGTACTTTATTCCTTGCTAATTCCACCCCTTTTTGCATTATTCTAAATTTGAAAACATGACTGTCGTGAAAATTTCTTGGTAGGGAATGATGCAATTATTTTGACAGTCACTTGAACTGTGAAATGCATTATGGGATCCCTTCATCTGGTCAACTCAATTAAACTAAACCAATAATGGATTATAAGGTTATGCAATCCAGGCATAAAATATTTGATATTCATGATTTTATTTGTAAAATTAATTGGAAATGTGAGAAGTTTACGAGAAAATAAAGAAATATATACAAAGTAAAATCTCTGGATTGTATATAAATCAAAATATTTCAAAATTTCATTCAGGTTTGACTTAAAAATAAAAGGAATAAAATGAATTAATGACCAGGTGCATTTTAGGTGATCTAATCGAAATAAGTGGAATTAAGTTAATGAAAGCTACTCCCTGAAATAGATTCCCTTGAAAATGCTTTATGATATAGCACTGCAAATAAGGCTTTCATTTAATATTTCAACATTTTTCGCTGATTTACTTTAGCGATTTTAGGTGAACTCATATGTGGTCTGAAATACATTCTGTTTGAGCTTTTGCTCCCTTCTTTGAAATGATTTAGAATAGGGCAGATGCAAATGTGTTTGGTATTAAATAATATAGATTGAAATATATCTTCAAAATAGATCATCTTTTTGACTGTGTTTTCAGGTATTGATGTTCCCGAGGCAAGACTATGGGAGATTTTACGTTGACAAAGATGGAACACTGCGTATAACACAGGCTCGCGAAGAAGATGCAGGAATCTATGTGTGCCAAGCCCTGAATGTAGCAGGAAGTGCCGTCGCTAATGCAAATGTTGTCGTGAAAGGTAAATGTGTGACCGATTTTTCTTTGAACATCGTTTTTTGATTTCTTCATGGATACTAAATTAACAATAAGTAGTTAAAGATAGGTCTAATGTTTCAACTTATTTAACCTCTTGACTACCTGGAGTGACGAGATTTCTCGTCACCTCAGGCCTTGAAACACAGAATGACAAAAAAATCTGTCTCAAAGTTTTTCACTAAAATTGCTCTTACTTGAACAATTTTCATCCAATTTACACAAAAATTGTTTTAAAACATGTAGAAATGATCTCTGCCATCTAATTTTACTAAATTGTAGTAAAATGTCAAAAAGTGGCAAAAATGAAAAATTCTCTGTTTTCAACTGATTTTAGAGCTTGGGATTCAAGCGGCCACTTGAGATGTCTTGATTTATGGATTTTTACTTTCAGATGTCGACCCTAGACCTCCCCCGATCATCCATGTAGGGCCGCAGAATCAGACCCTCGCCTTAAAGACTGAGGCGCTGCTCCCCTGCCAGGCCTCTGGGGAGCCTACCCCCACTATTAAATGGTTCAAAAATAAAGTACCCATACAGAGTCATAATCGCATCACTTTGCTACCCTCAGGAACATTACAGATCTCTGGTGAGTTGAATGCATTGAATTTAATATGGGTCATATTTTACTCGAAATAAATTTGAATTTACATGAATTAGCTGAAATCTGAATAATCAGTGTTATGGACAATATTTTAAATTGTATAGAAATCCTAGAAAATCAAGTAGTCGATCTTAATGATTTGACATATTAAATACAAGCAAGATACATTGGTCATATTTTGAAATAGAAAATGTTTACCTCATCACTTTTTCATTTTGTCGAGGTGAATAAATAGTCTTTCTCCTTATATTTCCCGCAACCTAAAGCGATGCATTGAACATACTTTTAAAGAGCCTGACTGTACGTCAAGCTGTACACAAGTGCAAAAGATTTTCATGAAACACAGGTTTTAAACACCCATGTAACGCCATTCCAGATTTGCATCAGTCTGATTCCGGGCTATACACCTGCAAAGCTATAAGCGAGACAGGCCAAACTAAATGGACAGCTTCACTGAAGGTGGAAGCGTCCACCAATACTAACATTGTGTTTCACCGTACACCAGAACCATCCACATTCCCAGGCCGACCTTCAAAGCCAAGAGTCAGTGACGTCACAGAGAGATCCGTGAAGTTGGCATGGACTAGGAATACTAATACAGGGGCGTCAAAGATTTTTGCGTATACCGTGGAGTATTTTAGCCATGAGACTGAAGAGGTGAACTTTCGAGATTTTGTTGTTTAATTTTGGCAGATACCCTTGGTATTACTCATTGTTTTCTGTTCAAATTTGAAGTAAAATATTTTTTCTTGAAATTGGGATGAATCAGTTGTCCTTGTGTATATATCTTCCAAATCTAGTATCTTCCCCTACACTATATTCTCTCAACCATAGTCAGTCTGTTCAAATTTTGGATAAGACTACTTAGAAAACAAGTATAGTTTTAAGTTGTAAGCTATGAACTCAAATAATGTGCAAGTTCTAAAATACATCAATGTGAAAATCTATAGATTTCTTAAAAACTGGGTTACTAAAATTTCTGTCAAATCTATGACTTGGTATGATGCTTGTTTCAAGGGAAGCCACTGAATATTCGAAACACATCACTTGAATTTGCCTAAAAATCTATTTTCTCTATTACAGGGCTGGACCATCGCCTCTGACACCATACAGGGAGAGACGTACACTGTGCGTCATTTACGCCCTGATACAGCTTACTTATTCCTGGTTAGGGCACAAAACACTCATGGACTTAGTATTCCCAGCCCAGTCTCAGACTCTGTTCGTACTAAAGGTAGGTTTACCATTAATAATTTATATCAATAAAAAATTACTTAATAAGAAGTGATGATAATAATCTCTTCTAAGTTGGTTGCCATGTATACAGTAAAACCTGTCAGGCCCGTAGCCAGGATTTGCCAAAGGGGGTTCACTTTTTTGAAAAATTCCAGGGGGGTTCACTTGTAACAATTTTGGTCCAAAAATGGCCAAATTCACTTAAAAAGTGCTCAGAATGGTGAAAACTGCATGATTTTGAAAGATTTTTTGAGCCCACCGAACCCCCTGGCTACGTGGCTGCCTGTCTATTCCAAATGCTACTGGGACCTGCTAAAAGTGTTTGGATTGGCAGGTATTCACATTTAAAGGTTTCTTAATATTTGAGTCAATGGCAGAATAAAAAGTAAATAAACATGTTCACATTGAGAGGTGTTCAGATTAGAGAGGTGTTCAGATATACAGGTTTTACTGTACATTGTACTTGTATTTAACTGGCATACTCCTGGTGTCAGGTGACTATACTCATTCAAAACATGTTATTGAAAAATAGCAGATAGCAGGCGAAAATCCAGTCAAGAGATGAGAATACTAAGAGTTAATTAAACAACCACGAGTTGAAACGCCACTGACCCCAGTCATATTATGTTCTAAGCACATTGTTTGGTGCTACATTGTGGGCGGGTTGGGCGAAAGAAGAACAGCCCGATCAATTATTCAAATTTCATAACTGAATATCTTCACAAAACCATATACCAGCATCCACATTCAAATTTTATTTCACATTTTTTTTCATACATTTCAGGAGGAGATGCCAACCGGCCATTGTCTCCACATTTTGACCGAAATGTTGTGGCGGATAAACTTAAGGGAGATGTTGTCGCTATGAGAGGTCTTGAGGTCCTAACTTCAACAGCAATAAAAGTTAGCTTTACCGTGAGTAGAATTTCGTTTATATTTATTTGTTGACCATGTTTGGAGTTCAGACTTTGACGGTCAGAATCTATAAAAAATGGCAGATGGTGAAACTTTTCATTTTGATGCCTTGTATCGTATATATTTTTGATTTTGAAGTATGTATTATACCATTATTATGTGCAAATATCCATGAAAATGTGATAAATATCATCCATTTCTTTAATTTTCACAAATCATAATCATTGAAATTGTCATCCAGCAGGTCTACCTTTAACTGACTGCAACAATAAATTTTGTTAATCTTCGCCATTATTTGTATATTTTACAGCATTTTTTCATAAATAGGAAGATTAAAAACCAAGAGTTAATTTTGTAAACTGATTTTTCCAGGTACTGAAGTCTCAGCGTTTCATCGAAGGTTTCCATATACGTTATCGTGAACTCCCGGATGAGTTAGATCACTCCCGCCACCTTAATCACCGACATTCTGATTACTACATCGAGACTGTTACAAGCTCAAAATCTACAATGTACGTTCTGCGGAAACTGAAAAAATACACATTGTACGAGGTTCGTGTTCAGCCGTTTTATTTGACAGTAGAGGGACAGCTGAGTGACGCGAGAAGCGCAAGGACATACCAGGATGTTCCCGATGGTCCGCCACGCAACATTGATGCTCATTTGGATAATAACGCAACGTTGCATGTGTCGTGGGATCCGCCAGATGATAGCATGATAAATGGCATACTGAAAGGATACAAGGTAGCGGAAGATTTTGTTTTGTGTTAATTATTTTGAAACTTTAAATCTTATTGGCAAAATTCATGAAAATATAGTTCTACGCAGATTCTCTAAAAATAAATATAATTGTTGAATAACAAATACATTTATTTTTATTAATCTTTCAAAATTAACTTAGAAAACAAATTTAATTTCAAATTTCCTCTAATTCATTTTAGATCATTGTTGTCGGAAATGCCACAAAATTTGACAAGAATAAGACGGTTGATGCCAGTTCTAAGAGCACGACCATTCAGGGTTTAACCATTGGGATTCGCTACAGGGTACAAATTGCTGCGTATACCATAGGTGTGGGTGTTAGGAGTGACCCAATTATCATAGGTTAGTATCTACATTTTTTTGCTTTTTTGAGAAATTTTTGATTTTTATGTCAAAAGGTTACATTTTTGTTAATATTTAATAGCATGTTATATACAATGAGCATTATTAGAGGCTGTGGGTCTTTTTTTATTCGATATACTTAAAATGTGCAGGTAATTTTGATGTAGAAATTAAAATCAATAAAACAGTAATGTGTTTTAGAATAATCTCTCGCTACGTTCAAATGATAAGATGAAAAAATTCATACTGAATGCTTTTATCTACATGTACATGAATGACAAACACGGATAACCATACTATCACTGGCGGAGTGGCGGTTGTCATATAGAGAGCATAGTAATTGTGGGATGAATAAAAATAATAAAAAAAGTCTCTGAATAAACTGAATCGAAACAATATCCCACACACGTGTTGCTCATTAACACACTGAAGAAAACAATAAACTACTCCTCTGAATGAGAACAGGATCCCGCAAAATAATTGGGTTGGATTTTGTCGCCTAGCAATGGCTCTTTGGGGATCAAACGCAGTGTTTTCCTTGATTGCAAAATTAGACACCTCCGGGATTTAGCATATTGTTTTCATAGATTGGAAAATTAGACACCTACGGGATTATGAACAGTGTTTTCATAGATAGCAAAATAATACACCCTTTTTTCTTAGCACTTAAATAAATTTTGTCCATACTAATTGATATTGACTTTTATTTATTTTACTACTGTAATGCAAATATGAGGGATCATTGAACTGAAACGAAGTACAACTAATGTGAATTCACCAACACCCCCCCTCAACTCTCATCTCAACTTGAACCTATATATTGTAAGCTGTAGTTTCCTACTAGACTAGGTAATATAACAGCAAATATAACAATGTAATAAAAAATAAAAAAAATACAGGTAGTCTGCAATTTAAATTTGATAAGGCATTTTTAATCTTTCTCATGTACCATCCTTTCTCCCCTAACTACTAGGTTGAAACACACTCGGTTGAAACACGCTCGTAACACTCATTTTTATAAATGAATCAAGAATAGAAAAACGAATCAGCTGAAATATACTGAACTGCGATAATGTAGAATATCCAAATAATTTATAAATCAGTAACAAGACTCTTATTCAAAACAGAAAATTATTCCCATATTAGTATATTCTCCCAGGAATACTGTAAATGCTAATCCGGCAAAATGTCTCCGTCTGCTAACTTATTTCTGGCGATTTCTCTCTAAAATTTGAATGAACTGTTTCATCTTTTTGCATATCCGTATCATTTAGAGTATGTACCTTGTGGTTAAGTAGTTTATTTATCGTTTATATTGCTCGTTATCAGGTTATTACGCGATTAAAAAGACCACCGTGTTTTCTTTGTTCCTGGGTCGAGTTAACACTTTTAATCTTCATGAAGACAGTGTCTTTGACATTTACTGCACATAACCTCTGAATCACAGCCTATTAGAAAAATACCACGATGGTCATGTTTTTAAATGTGCAAAAAGAGTGGAAAAGAGTGGAATTAGCAAGAAATAAAGTAAACAGGCATGTAGTTAACACTCTAAATTATATAGAAATTCTAGAAAATTAGTAACTTCATTCAAAATTTGAAGAGAAATGTTATTAATTGTTAGAAAATGTAAGTTTAAAGAAAAGTATTGATTTGAGAATATAAGAGGCTGGAAATGCCAACAGGTTAAGAATTTAATATGTTTTTTTGTAGTTAAATACTATCATCTAGAAATGTCACTTCAAGATTTTACATATTTCACTAATTCCCACCTCCCCCGTTTTAACAAAACCTAACATTAGTGTCTGGGGAAATAAGGAAATCAGAGAATTGATTTTTAGGAACAAAATGAATCCACATTTTTACCCGCTTCCTCAAATGTTTATTTTGTGGTAAGAGTACTTTGATGATACACTCCTTAAATTAATACATCATGCACAATTTATCGATTGTTTTGGCTTTTTTCTCGCTATATTTATTTCTAAGAAAAACTGTTATTATTAAATTAACTATAAGAAAAAACATTTTCTAAAAGGTATGAAAATAAAGTAGTACTCAACTGGACTCTATTATTAGGCAATAAATAAGCTTTTGCCTCATAATAAATGTCCGTCTGCTCCTCCCATTTCACTCCATTTCTCTCTAAAATTTGGATAAAGTGTCTAATTTTCTTGCATTTTTATACAATTTAGAGTGTTCACTACATGCCTGTTTACTTTATTCCTTGCTTATTTCACCCTTATCCACTGTATTTTGCAATATAAAACATGTTCCCTTGTGAAATATTTCTAGCAGGTTTTATGTTGCCTTATACAATAAGGCCCTGTTCTGTACAGGATGAGTCTACATACAACAAAGCAATATTGTATTATCAATGATTTATTTTCGCCATTATGAAAACGGAATTTGAAATTGCACGGAAGTATTTTCATGAAGATATATAGTGTCAGAGTGTCCAGATAAAACAGTTGATTATGTTATAATGTATATTTATATCGATATTTTAATAGAGTCTTAAGTACAGTAGAAATATTTACTCGCTTAAAAGCTAAAATAATGAAGGTCCTAAAGCTAGGCAAATGGTACCACAGTTTGAGACCTCTTTAAGTATGAATATAACGTGAAAAAGTAAAAGACTAGTTTAAAACCATTTTCAAATCTAATTAACTGCAACTATAAATTGGGAATAATTTATATCGCAACTTTAGAATCTCAGTCTCATTTCAAATTTTTTGATATACCTCTTAGTCGTAATTCTTTATTTACCCATAATCCTCTTGTTTAGGTGGAGCTGAATCTCTGACATCACAAAGTCTCGTACGCCAGCCATGGTTTATCGTCACACTCATTGGTACAATAGGTGGTGCTTTATGGATTGCGCTTTGCATTTTCGGAATCTGGCTCTATAGAAAACGCAAGTCTCGTAAGAAGTTCAAAGGAGGTGTCATTAGTGTCCCAGTGCACAAAGCAGAGGATAACAGGTATTCAAATGTTACAGGTTTACTTCTCAAACCTGAATATTTTATATTGTTCATTAAAATATAATGATCTTTTCTGATTTTTGCCTTACCTATCATAAATCAGTATCAGTTATAAAAAAAATTGTCTCTTTTTTGATTAGATTAAAATATTGAATTCATAAGTTTATTTTATTGTAATGTATTGGCATTTATTTATTCAATATTGTATTGTCTACTATATGCTCAGTTTTACACAGAGAGACAAGATAATTGGTAAATGAATGGTTTACTTATATCTGAGCCTTTTTGAGTGTCTGTGTGCTAAACTGTCTATATTTAACCATAGGGCTAACAAATACTTGGAGGATTTAAAGAAACCCAGAACAAATGGTAAGTTTAGTGTAAGACTGACATAAAAGGTGTTGTCATGGTGAAGCTTTGTGAAATTAACTAAGGAGGATTGTAAATTAATAAAAACTCAGTTTTGAGATGGGGGGGGGGTCAGATAGATGCTAAGAAGAATTAGGGATGTGGGGGTCAGGGAGAATTTTTTTTGACATAGATACCCTGGTGAATACCTCTGTGAATTTCTCTCAAGATACCCATTGATATCTATGTCAAACTCTTCTCTGTAGTGAATACCTACCTTCCTACAGTGAACACTATGTGACACAAAAAGTGTTCGCTTAATACAAGTATGACTGTATCTCAGGGTTGTCATATAAACCATCCACCTCAGTTGATTATTCACTAAGCTTCCCATACAGAGACACCGATAAGACAGCACAAGATTTAACTGTTATTTTTTCCGATTTGAAGGATTGTAGAAACTGATGAGCTGATGTCCGATAGCAAGGGCCCAAATTTGGGTAGTGGTCAGAGTCAAGAAGAGCAGAAATGTAAGACGATGTATCTAACATTTTGGTGGTGGTGTGCAGCTTGAAAATTTGGCGTTGCATAATTAATAGAATTAGAGACGTAAAAAAACTTAAATGGCTGAAAAAGTACCGAAAAAATCTGAGTATTCAAAATGAGAAGTAAATCAGTTTTGGTTTGAAAATCTTCTAAAATCAATTAATTCCATATAAACTTTTAATACTTTGTGAAGAAAGTTGTATAATTTTTTCAAACCAAAACATTTTGATTTATATTTTTTTAGACTTTTTCAAACTTTTAAGATTTTTAGGTGTTCTTGGACCATTATATTGCTTTACCTCAAAATAATGCTGAGTGTTAATACCTGAGTTTCCCCAAATAATATTTATTATCGCCTACTGATACAACAAATTATCGTCCAAGTTAATTTGATTTTTGAGTTCATGAGAAACATTTGGAAAATATTGATTTTCTTATCTGAAGGTTTCCATGTAGTTTTATAGTAGGTTTAAAATTAAATTAAGGTAGTTCCGCATGGTGAGACTTTTTTTTGTAATGATTATACTTTCAAAAATTAATGAAATAGGTAATATTTTCACATTTTTGTGTGGTTATTTACCCAATAGAGTAGAATACATAGTCCAAAATGAAAATATATGGATTGAATTTTAAATGACATTTACCCAATTTTTTGTTTTTGACTTTTGTGAAAGTACGGAACTTCCTTAAGCAGTTGAATCCCTCTTATATATTTAGCAACTGGGCATACTGGTGTAGTGGTTTTCAGAAGAAGTCTGATTTTTTATAAAAATTGGTTGGCTAATTAGTTATTATTAACAATTTCAGGGTCATGAGAAGTGGAATTTACAATATGCTTTATGCTTACATAATAATGGAAGTATATTTGATTGGGCAAAACGTGCACATTTTTGAATAAATTGTTTATTCTAACATTGAAATCCTAGTTTATTTGGCTCACCAAAAAGGGTCAAGACTTATTGGTACGTCTATTTTATAATGGGAAGAATTGTCTAAAAGCTTTAACCTCGCAGATAAATATGGTGATTCCATAAACAGTTGGTACCTTTTAAGTTTTGCCCAATCAAATATCGTAAAACTATTACTTACTTGACTACTAAAACATAAAATGATTTTTGATGTTTTATTCAAAATACGTAAATTATAAAGTGACTGAAGTGTTAACCAATGTAAAACAAAGTTACAGAAAAATAACCCTTCTTATTTTAATAACTCCAAAATATATATTTTAATTTAGTATGAACCAAATCTTTGAAACATTGAACATTTCCTTGGCAATGTGTATGTGACAATTTCTTGAAAATGTTGTCTCTTAACTTCAGGTGCCCCACCAGATTTGACGAGTCGTCTTCCCAGTTACAGCAACGATCCTAATATGTATAACGGGAGTAACTCGAGCACTCCCCAGATGAAAGCATTCTATAACAAGGATGCTGTAGGGCCTTACGCGACGACCATGTTAGTGCAGAATAATATGTTTAATCAACAGCCACCGGTAAGTCTCGTTTTGGTCATTCAGATCATTGTGGATCTTTCGGATCAATAGATCAGTGCCACCTATTTGATATGATGTCACTTTTACAGTATGAAATAAGCTTACTTGCCCCAGAATTTCAGCAGATCAATTGACTTACCCTAACATTTTTGTAAATCAACTGACTTGCCTCAGAATTTGTGCAAATCAACTGACTTGCCTCAGAATTTGTGCAAATCAACTGACGCCTCAGAATTTGTGCAAATCAACTGACTTGCCTCAGGATTTGTGCAAATCAACTGACTTGCCTCAGAATTTGTGCATATCAACTGACTTGCCTCAGAATTTGTGCAAATCAACTGACTTGCCTCAGAATTTGTGCAAATCAACTGACTTGCCTCAGGATTTGTGCAAATCAACTGACTTGCCTCAGAATTTGTGCATATCAACTGACTTGCCTCAGAATTTGTGCAAATCAACTGACTTGCCTCAGAATTTGGGCAAATCAACTGACTTGCCTCAGGATTTGTGCAAGTCAACTAACTTGCCTCAGAATTTGTGCGAATCAACTGACTTGCCTCAGAATTTGTGCAAATCAACTTTCTTGCCTCAGAATTACTGGAGATCACCAGTCTTGGTCACCTCAGAATTTCATCAGATCAGTCGTGTCTCAAAATTCTGCAAATTAATCGACTTTCCTCAGAATCTGCGGTTACCTATGCTTCAGTTAATCATATATGTATTTGTAGCAAAAAGAGCGCTATAAGTCTTCACTTTTATAGTTGTATAGAGATACTAGAAAATCAATTTTCATTCTCTAATCAAACAATTAACTTGAGATAACTTGGTCAAATATTTACGATAGTGAGAAAATTCTCTATCGGAATGGAAAGCCTTGATAGCTTTGGGTTAATCCCCGTGAAATGGAAAACTCTTAATGAACCTGTGATTTCGAAGCAACACTGTTTTGTTTTTCAGAAAATTTGTTATCTTCCTGCTCTGAAAGATCTAATTATATTATTATAGTGATAGTCATTTGCATGTGTATTGATTATTTCTCAATGACTTAAGAGTGTGATATTAAGAATATCTTTCTATCACTATTGTTCCAGGATTTTGATTGGTTGACGGAGATTTTTCATAACACCAAACTTATATGTGATAAATTGTATAACAATTCTTATACAATAATATATTTTGGTGTCTTTGAAATAGTGAAATTTCAGATGTTATAAGGTTCATGATATTTGTAAATCAGCAGATAAACCTCAAAAACTCTAAAACAATGTAATGTATGTAGCCATGTCCTTTTTTATATTATTTTCAAGCATAAAATAAATTATGATTAAAGGCATTCGTCAAATGGTTGATGCTTCAATTACTCTTTACCAAAAACTTGTATTTAATTTTTGATTTTTCTTTTTTTCTTATATTTTTATCCATTAATAATAATGTGACTCTTCCAGCAGAGCTCACCCAGTGCATTCCGGCCTATAAAACCCAGCTACATCGTAAACAATCCCGACCGCAGCACCTCCAGTGACAGTTGCCTCAAACCCGAGTTCAGTAGCGACTCTAATGTCGACAACAGGTCCAATAATGGTAAGAAGATCATTGATCAAGTATTTACACCTAATTATTATACTGCCAGTGTGTTTTAAAGCTGTGTGATTTAAAGCTATTGAGTATAGTGCAGAGTGATATAAAGCCACATGATTTAAAGCCATGCTGTGTGATATTAAGCCATGCATGATTTAAAATTAACAGCAATGTTATTAATAATGTGTAATATAAAGCCATATGATCTTAAGCCATGCAGTTTGTAACCATTGTGGTATAAAGCCATGTGATCTAAAGCCATGAAGTGTGATATAAAGCTATCTGATCTAAAGCCATGCAGTGTGATATAAAGCCATGTGATCTAAACCCATATAGAGTGTTATAAAGCCATGTGATTTAAAGCCATGCAGCGTGATATAAAGCCATGTGATTTAAAGCCATGCAGTGTGATATAAAGCTATGTGATCTAAAGCCATACAGTGTGGTATAAAGCCATGTGATCTAAAGCAATGCAGTGTGATATAAAGCCATGTGTGTTAAAGCAATGATTTAAAGCCATGTGTGATTTAAAGCCAATATGCTAGTGTCATACAGTGTGATAAAACCAGGTGATCTAATGCCATGCAGTGTGATATAAAGCCATGTGTGATTTAAAGCCAATATGCTAGTGTCATACAGTGTGATAAAACCAGGTGATCTAATGCCATGCAGTGTGATATAAAACCATGTGTGATTTAAAGCCATGCAGTGTGATATAAAGCCATATGATCTTAAGCCATGCAGTGTTATATAAAGCCATGTGTGATTTAAAGCCATGCAGTGTAATTTGAACCTACTAATGTGATCTTTATTCCAGAAATGATGGGTCAGGAGGCTGGGGACCCATTATTGGGAAGCCCTGTTAGCGACAGTGGCAGTCTAACATGTGGTGAGCTTTAATTAATACTAATATGGTTTGGGGGTCTTGTTTTAAAATGTGAAATATTGTGCAAAAGAGTGGAATTAGCAAGGAATAAAGTTCACCATGCATTTAGTTGGCATTCTAACTGCATAAAAACTCGTGACTTCTTTTTTATTAAATTTTAAAGGGATTTTATGAAGAAAGGCAGCAGAGGGGCATTTTAGGCAGATTTCAATGTGTGATATCTTATTACTAAGAGTTCTAAATAGTGAAATATTCTAGATAACACAAAAAATACATGTGAATGATTTGTAAAAATATTTAAAAAATGTGATTTCTTTTTTTTTTAAAACTTGAATATTTTCAAATAACCTTGATATTTCCAAAAAAAACAATTTCTTTGAAAAAATAATTTTCTGAAATTTCTACTAAATGCTTCTTGTGTTGAGCTCAACATATTATCATCCTCCATTCACCCATTTTGCATGAATCACATCAACTAATTTAATTTCAAACTCATCAATGTTTGTTTTAATAATTACTATGTCTATAATTGCTGTCACCTGAGGTGTTTAATATTATGTCAGACAATTTAGACAAATGTAATGTCTGATGAGCATCTCTGTTTGTCTACTGCAAATGTATGTTATAAATTGTTCTCATGAGTAATCATATGTATGAGTGTATCACATACGTATTTGATCTGACATCGAAAAATTTAGTAATGATATTATATATAACGTTCATCTTTGGATGACGAATTACTAAATTTGATTGGTAAGTCAGTTGTACACATTGCTTGCAATTTTGTCACCCCCTGTATTCCAGATTTTGCTTTTGATATAGAAATCAAACACATTTTTATGACAAATCAGGACCTTGTTAGTTGTCAAATCAGAGGTCATATGATGGATTATTTTAGTTATGTGTTTATTAATAAACATTGGTGATGTATATCCATAAGTATTTAATCGTGTTTCAGATGAATCAGGACTTCCCGCTATACGCCGCACTAAAAAAGGATATAGAAATGTGCCGCAGGATATGCCAAAACTTGAGGATCTTCTCCCACCTCCCCCAGAGCACCCACCCCCCACAGATGTGGACTCACCCACAGAATCCCCAATGCAAACCCTCAATAGTCGACCCCCTAAGGATCCTGGGAGTCACACAGGAAGTTATAACCCTAGGGGGCTCCCTATACGAAGCCCAATGACTCTTAGCTCTAAGGGCTCTGTAAGCTCATTAAAGACTCCATTTAGCGACAGGCTACCAACGCCCCCTAGGTCGCTAATGTCAGACTCTGATCACTATAATAGTACTAATCAACGGGGCTCCCCAAGGGGCCAACAAGCACAACAAGCGGGGTACCCCCCAGCTAATCATAGACACTTACAAAATATGCCATATGATCATAGTAGCATGCCAAGGACATACAACGATAATGATCGGTACGCGGGGTACCCTAACCCCCAGAGAGTGTCTCTGAGTGAGAATGAACGGGGGCCAACTCCCCCTGCCCGACCCTACAACATAAGGGGACAGGGAAATGACAATATGAGGCCCGACTCAGATCGTGGCCCCACCCCTCCCACACGCATGTACATATCAGGGGCAGCCCCCTCTAATAACTTTGCACAGCATAATGGTGATTATCCAATGATGCAGCATAATTATCAAAATAATGGGGATTATCCCCAACAAGTGCAGCATAATGGGGATTACCCTCATCCGCAAGGAATTCCGCATAATGGGGAATACCCCCAAGGAATACCACATAATGGGGAATACCCCCAAGGAATACCACATAATGGGGAATACCCAATGGAGCAGGGTCCAATGATGGACCATGGAATGCAGTGTTCCTATCCTAGTCTACCTACCAACTGTGTGCAATCTAGGTGAGTCTGATTAAAAAGTTATACTTTCTGATTAAACAGTTGTACTATCTGATTAATGAGTTAATGAATTCTGATTTAGCTGTATACTCTCTGATTACACAGATATTTTGTATGATTAAACAGTTGTACTATCTGATTAATCAGTTATTCTGTCTGATTAATCAGTTATACTGTCTGATAAATCAGCTTTACTGTCTGATTGATCAGTTATATACTGTCTGGTTAATCAGTTATACTGTCTGATTAGTTATATACTGTCTGATTCAACAGTTAAACTGTCTGATTAAACAGTTATACTGTCTGATTTAACAGTTATACTGTCTGATTGATCAGTTGTACTGTCTGATTAAATAGTTACAGTCCGATTAAACAGTTGCACTGTCTGATTAATCAGATATTCTGTCTGATAAAACAGTATGCTGTCTGATTAATCAGATATACTGTCTGATTAAACAGTCATACCAGTACAGTGTCTGTATATATTGTCATTTCTGAAATAATGGTGAGTCTGTAAGTATATTCAAAAATAATGGGACAAATATCTAAACCTTCCATATTTCAGAAACAATGAGACCAAGGTTTATAGCTTTTTATTAATATTTCAGAAACAATGGGACCAAGGTCTATAGCTTTTTATTAATATTTCACAAACAATGGGACCAAGGTCTATAGCTTTTTATTAATATTTCACAAACAATGGGACCAAGGTCTATAGCTTTTTATTATTAATATTTCACAAACAATGGGACCAAGGTCTATATTTTTTTAATATTTCAGAAACATGGGACCGGGTCTATAGTTTTTTATTAATATTTCAGAAACAATGGGACCAAGGTCTATAGTTTTTTTATTAATATTTCAGAAACAATGGGACCAAGGTCTGTAGTTTTTTTAATATTTCAGAAGCAATGGGACCAAGGTCTATAATTTTCTTGAATCTTTCAGAAACAATGGGGCTCACTCTCCACTCTCAGAAATGGGACATGACTATGCGGAGTGTGCTGACTCTGATATGGAGACAATGGGGGGACACAGACCTCTCACCCCTGAGTCTAGTGTGGGGGGAGACTTGGCTGATAATGGTAAGTAAAATAACCAGGCCCGTAGCCGGGGGGAATTCGATGGGTTTTTAAGTGATTTCCCCCTGGAATTTTCCAAAAAGTGAACCCCCTTGGCAACTATTAGATTTAGCATTATAATGCAAATACAACGAGACAGTATGGTGACTACATTTGAAATTTCATGAACACTTATGACTGGAGTATATCATAATGGAAATGTTAAAAATGTTAATAACATACATAGCATACAGGAGTTGGTCAATATATCAAAAATTCAACGCATTAACACTGTATATTGGACTTTTAACTTGATATGGAGGTTAATATCGAGTTATGGATGTTGGAAAATTCAAATGAATAAATCGGTCTCTTTTACAGGTTCAGTTATGGCATCATGGGCCAGTGTAACAGACCAAAGTGATGCTTTGGTTAGCGAACATTCAAGTTCTCTCAGTTCGAGTGAAGGTGAATTATTTTATACAGAGGCAGATTTTGCGAGTGCAGTTGCTCGAGCAGCAGAGTTATCTGGGCTTACTGTAGATGGCAGCACTGTATCTGCCCCTCCTAATCCAGGTATGCATGCCATTAAATAGAAGAAACACTCTCTAGCATTTCTCCTATTTTTTTCCACTTAGCCAAAAAGAAAAAAAGATTAAAAGAATTTCCCTTTGAAACCTTATAGATTTTTTTTGATCCTTGTTTTCATTAGGCTTCCTAGTCCAAAATTTTGAGGATTTGGACTAATTTCTTATATATAGGGATTAAGAACCACTTTCAGCTGTGAATAACATACAATTTCAATTCTTTATTCTTGACTTTGTATTCATATTAGGTCAAGGACGTCCTAAGAGGCGAAGGAGACCCCGAGCTTCAAGTCCATACAGTACAGATAGTAACTTTAGTGCGGTTCCTCACAAGCCATACCCCAAATCAGAGCGCAAAAAACAGTTACAAGAACAAGGTAGGATATCCTATTTAGCTAATTAGAAGTAAATTGTTTCTTCTGATGATATCTGTAAACACTCATTGTACACACAATGCATGGGTTTCGTCTCATATTCCCATGTACTAAAATTGCTTTTGTCCTTAATTGCTTTTGTCCTTAATTGCTTTTGTCCTTAATTGCTTTTGTCCTTAAAGCTAAATGTTTGTTAGTTTAAATGATTTTGAGAAAAAACCTAAGAAACTGTTTTAGAATAATGAATCATGAACATATACTTTGATTCTCTTTCCAAGAGATTTTTAAAGAAAGTATATATTAAATTGAAAGATTGATTTTAATATGTTTTATATTTGTATAGCACCCATTGAGGTGTGCCACCGTTATAAAGGGGAATAAAATAATAATAATATACTCTGAAAATAAGATATTTAGGTTTTAATTTTCCTTTTTCTCTTATCTGTCTGTTGTTGAGCATACTCAAAAATTTGGTTTTTCTCTAATGTCTGTTGAAAGGTATATTCTTCCTAAGCACTTCTTATTAACAGACCATGGGCCAAAATCCCATGAAATTGTCTTGATTTCTTAGAATGTAATAATTTGTAAAATATTAACTTTTGATAATTTACTTTTCAGCACCAGGTATCAAGAAACCCCCACCTCCTGTAAGAGCCAAACCTACGCAACCAGGTACAGTTTCTAAATACCCATATATTTATTAAGTCTCGTACACTGCCATTAAAAATGGCACAAATTGAGCCTATTCTATTAAAATCTAAGCCCCCAGGGCTTTTCAGTTACTGTATCTATTTTAATTAAAGGGCCAACAACAGATAGAGATAATATACAGTAAAACCTGTCTAACTTCAACACCTTGGTACCTCTAAAAATGTTCCCCTAACAGAGGTGTTCCACTTTTCAGATGTCACTGTATTTAGGTTTGGCATTGTTTTTTTTAAATGTAACATTTTATATTGTTGCTTTTAGTTAGTTGAACACCAATAGTTATTATGCATCATTCATTTGTGATCAATGTTGTGTTTATTTTTATGTCACCACAAAGAAGTTGAGACCTCCATTTTTGTGACTGTTGATTGGTGTTTGTAACGATTGTTACACTTCTGTAACCACTTGCAATAACTTATCAGGTCATGACATTAATGTAATGCTTATGCCTTGTATGTTACCACTTATACCATGACTATCTCTTTTGTATCTCCAACTCATGATTAATTGACCACTCAACCTTTGAACATCCCTTTTATACATGTGTTTACTTAATATTGTGTCTGAATGACAAGTATTAAGTTAAAGATTGAATCCATTTCCCACCTCTCTGACCCACTAAATAAAATTCCAAAGTTAAACCATATGGCATCTCTTTCTATTTAGTCGCATATTCTTAAAGCCACCATGTTGTAATCATCATTCAGTCTTTGCTGTCAGTGTTTGGCTTCAATTTTTTTTATTTTTTTATTATTAAGATACAGTTATTGCTTCATAAAAATATCATAATATAAATCCCTTCAGTCGCCCGAAGGCATTTGGCTTCAGCTTTGTTAGTCTGCTACAAATTGTGATATTTTTGTGACCATTTGCGATTAGTTTCCAAGTGGTAACATTTGTTAAGTATTGCCTTGTTTTTAAGTGCCAAGAACATGTTAAATTCCCCTGGGTTACTGGAATGCTGTTTATGTTTAGATTGTTTTTCTGTTGCAGCATGTAATCCAGGCTATATGAAATCTTTTTTTAAAAAGTGCCAATTTAAGAACATGTAAAATTCCACTGGGTTACTGGAATGCTATTTATGTTTAGATTGTTTTTCTGTTGCAGCATGTTATCAAGGCTATATGAAACCTTTTTTTAAAAAAGTGCCAATTTAAGAACATGTTAAGTTCCCCTGGGTTATTGGAATGCTATTTATGTGTAGATTGTTTTTCTGTTGCAGCATGTAATCAAGGCTATATGAAACCTAGCATGCCTTACCCACCCGTCAACTTCAAGCCAAATCCATTGAATCGAACTGCCAAGACGCCACCTAGTGTGGGAGACAGGAACATCTCCCTGTCCCAAGATATTAGTGATAGAATATAGCCAAGTAGTTAGTACAGTGTACAGTAAGTTTGCTTCTAGATCCCGAAAAAATGTCGGATGGTCATGTTTTAAATCGCAAAATTAAGTGGAAAAGAGTGGAATTAACGAGAAATAAATAATACAGACGTGTAGCCAACACTCTAAATTGTATAGAAATACAAGAAAATCAGACACTTTATCCAAATTTTAGAGAGAAATGAGTGGAATAAGCATGAGCAGACGGACATTTTACTAGTGGGGTGTAATGTTGTTTATGTGTATCTGTATTTTATTTTGTAATATGCCAGAGTAGTAATGAGTGTATTTTTGTACTTTATTTTATGCTATGAATTTGAAATTAGTCAATATGTTTTTGCTTGTTAGATTATCCTAATTTTGTGTTGATGTATCTTATTTTCTTTATCTATTTCAGTTTTCCCTGTCTATTTTCAGGTCCATAAGCTAAAGGGGGAATCATACAGAAGTCAGTAGTGAAGCGATGTCACACAATACAGCCAAGTATCACACAATACAAAATTGTGTCACGCATAAAACAGCCAAATGTTACACAAAACAAAATTTGGTGTCACATTATATGGAATTAGTTTGTAACATATTCATCTAGATGTAACAGAATACAACAGGTGTGTTACACAATACAACATGAGTGTTACACAAAACACTCAGAACACAGTTATGTAAGAAGTGTTGAAGAATTTATCACAACAAAGAGACATGGTTTGTTTGTAAAAAATATGTAATATTGCATAATGTGTGCAGACACCCTGTAATGACAGAGAGACTTGGATTTTTTATAAATTAATTTGTATTATTGAACAGTTTTGTGTAATGTGTACAAACACCCTGTATTTGAATAATATTATTGAACAATGAATTACAGGGTGACACATATTCTCATGATGAATGGAGAAAATACTATAGAGAAACAATGAAGTGAAAAGGCAAGGGACAAATATTTCCCAAAGCCCTTGTTCTAATTGCTCCACCCATGAACCGCGATCCCCCACCATCCCTGACTAAAATAAACATTGAATGCAACAGATTGAGTAATATACAGGGTGTCAATAAAATCACTTTACACAGACTTTGTACTGTAATTGTGAAGAAACTTTAAGGACACCCTGTTCATTCAAATAATATACACATTTACAAATGAGAGTCTCGCTGTTTGAAGTATCTCATCACCTCTTTTGGAAAATTCTCACGTCATGATTTGAATGCCTCTCAGGTATAACAACACAAAATCCAATATGTGTGAGCCAATCAGCTTTGAGTATATGAAGGATGACATCATGCAACATCTGACAATTCTGTTTCCAAGGCAACAATATTGTCGCACAGTTCAGCTTATGTATTATAGTTGGTACCCTCTAAGTACTTTAGATTCCAATGATGTATTATTATCAGGCAACAGTATTTACCTAATGTATTTGACAATGTGCTTTTCACTGTGCATGTGAATCTAGTTATTAAGAAGGGATTACAAAGCAAGTTTTGATCATTGAGCATACTGTGTTGTGTGGAGCAAGTGTGCTCATTGAACAAGTTGTGCTCATTGCAAGTTGTGCTAGGAGCAAGTTGTGCTCAATGAGCAAGTTGTGCTAGGAGCAAGTGTGCTCAATGAGCAAGTTGTGCTCATTGCAAGTTGTGCTAGGAGCAAGTTGTGCTCAATGAGCAAGTTGTGCTCATTGCAAGTTGTGCTAGGAGCAATTGTGCTCATTGAACAAGTTGTGCTCAGTGAGCAAGCTGTGCTTGGAGCAAGTTATACTCATTGAACAAGTTGTGCTCAATGAGTGAGTTGTGCTAAGAGCAAGTTGTGCTCATTGAACAAGTTGTGCTCATTGCAAGTTGTGCTAGGAGCAAGTGTGCTCATTGAGCAAATTTAAAGTGTTGTGACGGAATAAGGATGGCGTGATGTACAGTGTTATATAGTAAAAGTCATAGATAAACCTTCATATACTTCAGTATGCTCTACTCAAAAATGTTGCCCTTGGTCATGCCTTTTCTCTCCATTTCTCTCCAAAACTTGACTGAAGTGTGAACATTTCTTGCATTTCTCTACAATTAAGAGTGTTCACTACATGTCTGTTTACTTTATTCCTTGCTTATTTCTCTCTTTTTACCATATTTTGCCTCGGAAGACATGGCTTCATGACATTTATGTATTCCTTTATTCACTCAAAAGGCCAATGGCCTTCTTTTTTGAATCTCTATAGACTTGAGTTCTAATTTTGGCTCAAGGAAAATTTTCTACAATAGCCATTATGATGTAAACATAACTCAAGTTTGTTTTTGTTAATGGGCTGAAATATTCTCCATAAGTTCACTCCATTGGGAAAATAAATTCAAAGATGTTTAATTAAAGGGGTGACAAAGACTAGAGAATTGAGACTAAGTTTCATTAAGACAGGTGTCTCACCTGTACAGTGAAACACCTCTGAAATGAACCCTTATATGTGAAAAACCTCTCAAGCAGTACAATTTTAGAAATTTCATAGGTGTTCTTATATTGGTTTTACTGTACACATATTTCTAGTAGGGTAAAAATTGGCATCCTTTTTAAAAAATTGCTCTGAACTGTCTACAATCTCTAGTGTTTGTTGCCCATTTAATAAAACCCCATCTATAGGACCAATGTATGTTCTATCACCATTTTAAGTACTGCTCTGTTATATAGTACAATACAAGGTGGTGTTTATGAAACTGTTAATTAAGAAATGTTTATTGAATTTTCATAAGGAAAATTGTTATCCTGTACTTATATAACTGATGGTTAAAAATCCTTTGAATTTTATTGAATTTTATCGAAGGTTGTATGCGTTACTATTGTAATGAATATGTTAAGTTTTGATATTGAGTTTTATGCATATCTTTTATGCACTAGAAAATCATGGCCAGTTATCTTGACACTGTGCTTCAATTTTTTTTTGTGTTTCTTAATTATTATTTTTATTTAAGTTTCCGGGGACAATTTACATTTCAACCTGAAATTGCATAAAGGTATATTGAGCTGAAAAGGGACAAATTGTGACTCATTGTTTCGTATACTGTAATAGGGACTTATGGCTTAGTCTATCTTAAACAACAAATAAGATCTCAGTTTTTTACTCACTCACACTGTTGTTGTATATTTTGTTGAAATATTGCATGCTCTTGAGGTTTGGTCCAAAATATTGTATGGGTCCAAATGGTTTCTACCAAAATCAAGGGTTTCTAATCATAACTTTGAGTTCCTAATCATTACATCATTTGATTCCTATGTTTTGCGTGTAACCCAAGGATGAAGAGAATCGCAATTCATTGAACTGTTTGTATATTTCGTGAGTAAATCGTAATTTTTAAAAACATAAGCAAAATAAAGAATTGTTGTATTTTGGAATTATTGGTATTACCATATATAGATTTATCCAATTGAATTGTGGGATTCTGTGTCGTAACCGTGGTGATAACGATAAGTGTTTATAATGAAAATGGTGACCTTTATATACATGTTTGGTGTTTTTATGGAAAGTTACTAAATCTAGAATTTATACACTATTGTATTTTTCATCTTGTTAGTGATTGCCAAAGCAAAACATACTTTCTAAAAAGCATTTTATTGCAAAAAATGAAACTTTTGAAAATGGTGGAAATAATATTCAGAAATGTTTCTTGATATTAAGTCAAGATTATATGAGGTGGGAAAATTTTTTGTTTTGTACAGTTTTTGATATCATTTGTAAAAAAGAACAAATGAATGCAAATTTTACAATTATGCTGTTTTCAATAATAAGCTGTTTACAATATGCAGACTATTGTACACCTTTTAGTACATGTCCTTCCAATAAATGTACTTTTCTATTTGTTTTGATTTTCATGAAAAATCCTACACATTGAAATAGACGAGTTCAAAATAAGGAAAATTTGTTTTTACAAGTACAAACATTTATTCTTTTTTGTTAGATTTTTCTGTTTGGTTTTGAATTTATATATGGATGGCCATATATGTTATGTATAGAATATATGGACTTAGCCATATGTCGAGCGAAGGTGCTTTTACAATGGATACTTTTAATTGTATTTTATTATTTATTTTGTATTACATTGTACACCGTGATGTAGGTCTCTTTATTTGACCAGATATCTTCCAAGTTTAAGGTCATTTTTGTGTATTTAGTATATTTCTAGTTAGCTACAGGAAACATCCAATATCCTTTCCTTCGTCCATTTTAACTGTTGAACCAGTTTACTGTCAGGCACCTGTAGTCTGCTATTCATGTTTTGGACAAGTTTACTGATCAGTTAACACTCGGGAAATGTCAGTTTTGGGATTTCCCAAAAACAAATTTACCCAGACAACCAATTCTCAGCTTCTGGAAGGAAATGTTATTTTGATATTTTGTAAGACATCTGGTCCAATAAAGTACACTTTTTAGATATGTGAATTGTGACCTAAATCTACTGTTTTTGTATGCATCTCCCAGGATTGCTGCACTTGCATGGGGCTGTCATGTTCGCCTAGATGTACATGTTCGCTCTCATGTTCATCTAGATGTAAATGTTTGCATTCATGTTTGCCTAGATGTACATGTTCCTCTAGATGTACATGTTCGCTCTCATGTTCATCTAGATGTAAATGTTTGCATTCATGTTTGCCTAGATGTACATGTTCCTCTAGATGTACATGTTCGCTCTCATGTTCCTCTAGATGTACATGTTTGCTTTCATGTTTGCCTAGATGTACATGTTCACTCTCATGTTTGCCTAGATGTACATGTTCGCTCTCATGTTTGCCTAGATGTACATGTTCATCTAGATGTACATGTTTGCTCTCATGTTTGCCTAGATGTACATGTTTGCTCTCATGTTCATCTAGATGTACATGTTCGCATTCATGTTTGCCTAGATGTACATGTTCGCTGTCATGTTCATCTAGATGTACATGTTTGCATTCATGTTTGCCTAGATGTTCATGTTCGCTCTCATGTTCATCTTGATGTACATGTTTGCTTTCATGTTTGCCTAGATGTACATGTTCGCTCTCATGTTCACCCAGATGTACATGTTTGCGCTCATGTTCACCTAGCTGTACAGTTAGATATTGAACAGTTAAACTGTATTTGATTTTGTATTATATTATTGTAAAATATATATTATTGTAAAATATATATTATGATTGTACATAGGCTAGTAGTCACATACTTTGTATCAACATGTATTGTACATTTAAATACAGTAGACATGAACCCGATATCCATATTTGTTTGTTTGTCTGTTTGTTTGTCGATTGAACAAACTATTGTCTCGCTTAGAAGGAATGTTTACAAAATGAGTAACACTTGCTTGGTTTTTATGTCACCATTTAGGAAATGGTGACATTTAGGTGACATATCGGTTGCGAGATTGAATATTATTCTCAGCACACAAAAATTATCACTATGACGCTGCTCTAATTGGGCCTCGAAAGACTATTCCATTATTTAGCGTTCGCCATGAGCATTGGTTTTGGTTTTGTTCAAGGGCTTTAAATGTCTACTTTTTCAGGCCAACCTTCTTCAGAATTTTTTGCCCCAGTGGCATCTTAGTAACAGACTTCTCTACACGTACTTCTTTAACGATGTACTTATAAATGATTGGGCATTCAGGTTTCTTTAATCCACCTGAAAACAAAAAAAAATGTAACTATTTTTATTATTTTAAAACGTTTTTTCTCAAATAACCATTTATAAAATGTTTTGTTGTTATAGTCTGGAAGAAATAAGGGGTATTTTGAGGATCAATCATTTTCTTCGGATTACAATGTTTTTAGCTCACATGGTGACCTTTTGCAATCACTCACTTGTCATCCGTCCGTCAACAATAGTGGCACGTTTTAAAACCTCGGTTGATAGGATTCCTGTTTTAAGTTATTTTTTTTCAACATCAATACAGAAAACTCCTCTCTGACTCCTGGTTCAAAAGCTCGCCTATTTTCAAGATGGCCACCATTTTTGTCTCGTGAAATTCATTTTTGACCAATTTCCTAGCTTTACAAATAATGTCAGGTGTCCTGCATTGTTAAAATCCATGTCAATGTGAAGAGTAGTTATATGAAACAATTTTGTTACAAAAAATCAGCAAAAAATTATATCCGTTTTTTTTATTTTCAGCCATTTTAGTTAACATTGATTTGTCCATCTGACTCAAAAAAAACTTTTCCGTCAACAATAGTGGCATGTTTTAAAACCTTTGTCGATAGGATTCTTGTTTTAAGTTATTTCTGTTCAACATCAATACAGAAAACTCCCCTATGACTCCTGGTTCAAAAGCTCGCCTATTTTCCATTTCCTAGCTTTACAAATTATTACAGGTGTCCTGCATTGTAAAAATTCATGTCAATGTAAAGAGTAGTTGTATGAAATAATTTTGTTACAAAAAATCGGCAAAGAATTACATCCGTTTTTTTTATTTTCAGCTATTTTAGTAATCATTGATTTGTCCATCTGTCTCGCGAAATCCACTTTTGGACCATTTGTGTTATAACCTCTGTCGACAGGATTCCCGTTTTAAGTTATTTTTGTTCAACATCAATACAAAAAACTCCCCTATGACTCCTGGTTCAAAAGCTCACCTATTTTCAAAATGGCCGCCATTTTTGTTTCACAAAATTCACTTTTAGCCCATTTCCTAGGTTTACAAATTATTTCAGGTGTCCTGCATTGTAAAAAGCCATGTCACTGTAAAGAGTAGTTGTATGAAATAATTTTGTAACAAAAAATCGGCAAAAAATCTTCTTTTTTTTTCAGCCATTTTAGTTAACATTGATTTGTCCATCTGTCTCTCAGTCAGTTCAAGATAATGGCAAGTTTAAAAACCAATATCTGTCAACACTTGGCTCATTTTAAATCCTCTGTAGATAGGGTTCCTGTTTTAGAATATTTTTGTTCAGCATCAATAAAGAAAAAAAAACTGTGACTCCTGCTTCAAAAGCTCATTTATTTTCAAAACGGCCACCATTTTTGACTTGTGAAATTCACTTTTAGCTCATTTCCTAGCTTTACGAATAATTCCAGGTGTCCTGCATTGTAAAAGTCCATGTCTTTGTAAAGAGTAGTTGTATGAAATAATTTTGTTACAAAAAATCGGCAAAAAAATTCTATCAGTTTTTTTTTATTTTCTGTCATTTTAGCCATCATTCACTTTTGAGCAACACCATGTGAGCCCAGTACCCAGGGTACTAATTTTATTTTAACTTTTCAGCGTGAATATAGGGTTGGGACCTCAAAACCATGGAATGCCAGAGCGGCACCCTTGGGCAACTCTCTACAGAGCATTTCTCATACCCCCCTAATAAAATCTACAGGGGGTACTATAAGACACCTTTAATCTCAGTCACTAATAATGATGTTGACTTGAAATTTTCAGGAAGTATTCTTGGTATGATGTTTGATCAGTATTGCAGAAATTAATTAATTATGCGTTCCTATAGCAACAGTAATAAAACACTATTTCTTACTTTAGAAATGCATTATTTTGTGTGGTTTCATAATTGTCTTCATATTCTTGATTCTTAAACTATCTGAAGCACATAATATGATTAGAAGTGAAGATAAAATAATTCATCATATCATTCGTGTAATATGTCTAACATTCCGGCTGCTATGGCAACATCAGATGATAATCAGGTTTTTACATTTCACTTTTATGAGTATTTTAAGGTCGTCCAAAATAACACTTTTGGAATATTTTGCACCTTAAAGATGAAACCATGTTTCTTCTGAAGTAAATAGTCACATGTAGACGAATGGATTTGTTAAAAAATTCTACAACTTTATCTTACTACCTCACCACAGCCCCCAAAGTTTGACAATTTGGGGAAAACAGTAAAAAAACATTCAATTCCTAGGATCAAATTAATAATGCATTGGAATTCAACACCAACTACTGAAGACATTGTAATCCGAAGAAAACACTAGCTTTGAACTTTCTGCCAGAATATTATTCTTAAACGAAGGCATAGTTAATCAATTAAATAAGAGCCTTGTCGATAGGTGTCGACGAAAACACCTATGAGTTTGGCAACTGGAATTCTTTTGGTTTTCAAACCAACTGGATTGCGTTTTGTTTAGCGTTTTTTATTTTTGAATCTTAATTATTTCATCAACTACGATAGATTTGAGACATTGAAAACTTATGAATGAGTTGAACTCACAAAATATAAAGTATATACTGGAGTTCTAAGAGGAGGCTTTTGTTGTAAAATACTTACGGGCTTCAAACTCCAACACGACCCTTTTTCTTTCTTCCATCAACACTCTGATATCATTGTCAATGGTTGTCAACTAAAACACACATTGTAAAGTTAGATTGCATAGAATGTTATTCAATACATATTATACAAAACAACACACGATATAACATTAATATAACGACAGGCAATTTATTATTGACGAGTGGAATCTTTCCAATTTAACTTATTTGTATGTGATAATCAGTTAGGGCTAGGCAAGGTGTTTTGGAATAAATTATAATGTATTTTATCGGGATATTAGAGAGATTTCGCACATACGTGCAATTTATAACGTATACTTATAAGTAAACGTACAAGGTGTTTCATAATGTGGGCATGCCAGGAGCCGGGCCAGGAGCCAATCAGCTTTAAAATTGATTTTAGTAAATATAATAGTTCGACATGACCCTTTAAAGTACACGTATACGTATAAATTGTACTTTCACTTATGTGCGAAATTATGGAGTCAAGCCTTTAATAAAGCTTAGGATATTTGAATTTCCCGCCGGAACGTGAACACATGCCAGGAGCCGATCAGCGAGTGGCACACGACGATCAGCCAATCAGAGCGCAGTGAGGGTATTGAAGACAGGATAGCGTCCCGGGGGGGGGGGGGGGCAGGGGGGAGATTTCCCAAAGATTACCTTTCTTGGCACGTTCGAAAAAAACGTTTATAAACAGGCCTCATTTGCCATTGAACTGAATGTCCCATTCTAAAGTTTTTGAGGTGTTAGAGCCATGCAGCACATATAACAGCAGCTCGATAGTGGATTTTATCAAGCTTTGATAAGGCCGCCAAGGATGACGATCCGTAAATGGAGCTACAATAGTCAAAATGAGACGCCAAATATGAATTATACATTATTTCAAGATGGTGCGACTGTATTTTGTTTGATATGAGCTTCAAAGGATTTAACAGTTTTTGAACTTTATTAGACAGGTAGTTTATATGGTCATTAAATGTCAAATTCTAGCGTCCCATCCTGCTCGAAGACAAATTAATGAATTATCTCCGCGAGTTTTTACACTTGTGACAATTGAAATAAAGTGTAGGCAAGCATGTAATTTTGTTTTGTCCACGATCAAACATATAACACGCTTGTTTAGGCAAACTTTCGAATTCGATGTGACAAACCAGGAGAGACTATTGTGAGATATATCTTCACGCTCTGGAAAGTTTCCGCCATTTTCTGGTCCATTTTCTAGTCGAGTTCTCGTTTCGAAAGTTTGCCGTAGCTTTGATCCGTTGAGAGACGCTGCGGAGATAAATGGGGATGGGAATTCAAGTGCAATTAGCAAGGAAATCATTAATCATTAATGTTTTCATCCAAGAATTGGAAGAATCAGTTTTTTGTTTTTGGAATTCCCTGGTGTTTTCGACAAGCGGGAATTAGATTCCTTTCAGTAACTTGTCACAGGTAAAAACGCTTCAGAGGGAAAAACGGGCTATATCAGACATAAGCTATATATGAGATGACAGGTCAAACATAAACGCTTTTTGGGCAGTTCTGGGATGTTGTTTGTATTCATTCGATAGACACGTTTTGGGTACGCGAGTGAAGCGTGATTGCGGATTGGTCATTGGCCAATGAAGAGTCGTAGGGTTTTTTCGGCATTTTTCGGGGTTGCCCGGAATATAAGATGGCGGCGCCCAGGAAAACGTAAATGAATATATATTTTGACGAGATTTGAGGTTTATGTTATGGAATCATTTTATGTGATGTAAAAATGAATGCGAGCGTTCCGATTTGTAATTGGATAAAATTTATTTACGAATTTATTTCTTAGAGCATGGGCCTAAAAATATAGTTTTTTCTTTTTTCGTGTTCTCGAATAAAAATCTTTTTGCAGTGAGTGACTGAGTGGTCGACTGTGAGTCTCCCCCGGGTGTTCCTGTTCGGCAACAGCCTGATGACCAGGATTATATAACCCAGTGAAGACTTCTCTGAGGAGATTAGGAAAAAGTGTCCACCAGCATTGGATCTTAGTGTAAATCAGTGTCTTCTGACTTATGAAGGGGTGTCAGGCGGGAAATTAAATAAACTAAATGAGAGAGATTTGTTGAAGTCGATGAATAATTTTGATGTGGTAGTAGCACAAGTAGCAGGGAATGTCGTAAAAATGTCGTGATGTCAGATTTTGAAATACAAGAAATATGCGTTAAGACAATGAATATGGTTAAGGGGCTACTTGAATACGTATCGGTGGTATCCTATGAGCAAAATATTTTATAGAAAAGTATCTTTAGCAAGGTCATCTAGAATCAGATGTCATGAACATCAGGTGAATTACAACGCCAATGTTGATAAGATAAATGCAAAATTGTCACAGGAACTAAAGGGTGCAACAAGGATGTACACGTGGAGGACCAAGGGACAGATTTTGAATGGTTTGGACATGTTGGACACTGATGGTACCCATTTCAATGAGGATGGTCATTATAAATACTGGCGCTCTTTAAGGGGAGCTGTTTTACATGGCTTGGCAAGTAAGTGTTCATGGGCACGCTTACATTTTAGTGCTGCTGTACATAATGGAATATCTGTAGGTATATAGTAATATAACATATTTGGAAAATTCAATTTTTGCTCGTGGTCAAATGGTCGGCTACAACAGAGTACAACTTGATGGCACGTTTTTTTTATTGTACCTGGATTTTGCAATAATCGCTTGTTGTTTTTTTCGTCGGCATGCTTACTAAAATTGTTATACCCGCAGGTACGTTTGGCAAATACAAGGCACAAATAAAAATTCCCAACACGCTTGTTAAACGCTTATGCACGCTTTCTGAACGCTTATGCACGCTTTTTGAACGCTTGTGCACGCTTTTTGACTTGATTTTGCCATGATCACTTTTAGGCAGGCTTGCTAAAAGTTTATACCGGCAGGTATGTTTTTAAAGACATAAGGTATACAATAAACACGCTTGTTGAAACTTATGCACGCTAGTGCTGGTTGCATACGCTCAATGCAGTTTATTGCTTAATGGCTTAGCTCAAAAAACTGTATACCTGCAGGTAAATTATGGGTATGTTGTAGACTTTAATAACTTCTCAATACGCTTTTGGATGTGAATGCACAGGTCTAATTGGTGATGACGGATATACAGGATGGTCAAAAAAAGGAAACCCTTACACCATTTTCCTCATATATTTGTAATTTTAAGAAATAACTCCCTGATATTTTGCACATTTGTACATCATTCAATTTCCTACCAGCCTACTTTATTTCATGACCATCAGATTGATAGTCACAATGTTACAGCACTTTACAGAACATGCCCTAGTGGCCAATATTGCCCTGTCGGGCCACCTGCATTCGCCGTCCAAAATGTCCCTACCTGTAGGAATATGGCAAGGAAAAAGTGTATGAGAATGACCTCAGGACAATCACAAACCTCAAAAGTGAGATCATCCATATCATTCAGGCCATACCTGCTGAGGAATGCATTCTGCCCATTAATAACTGTGCAGGTTTGCCTACAGCGCGATGATGGCCAAACTTGAGGCATGTTATTCAAAGTGCTGTGAAATTGAGACTATCAGTCTGATGGTCATGAAATTTAGTAGGGTGGTAGGAAATTGAATGATGTACAAATATTTGAAATATCAGGGACTAATTCCTCAAAATGACAAAGATATTAGGAAAATGCAGGGTTTCCATTTTTTGACGACCCTGTACTACTACTTCTAGGATTGATATACATTTTAGAACTGGATTTACTCAAGATATATTGCACCCTTGCACGTTGTTTTTATTTTTCAACATACTTCTTATAGATCCCGCTTGGTGTTTTGGGTTGACGCTAATGTACTCGCTGGTTAATAGAAATGCAGTAATACATGCTTATTTATGAAAGCATATAGTGCAGTTTTACACGCCTTGTTTATCATTTTTGTACAATGTATACCGTCTTTGATTTAACTTTGTTGATATTAATGTTAATTGGAAAAGTATCTGAACTAGAAATCTTATTATCTTCATCACAAATCTATATGTAGTGTTAGGCAAACTTTCAGCCAGTCAGTTTATGGTCTCATCATGGATGATTATAGAGAATTCACTGCAACAACATTTTTGGTGATACGCTTGGATGTTAAACACACCCAGTGTATGTTTTTTAAGAATGTAATGGTAACACCTTACTTGAATTTCGGTATCATGTAGCGAGTTACGAGAACATTTTTGTGCTGGCAGGGCTTCAATCCTCTGCTCGGGCGTCAAATGTTTATACACTGGGTGTGAAATTATTGTCGTCAGACAGTAAAAATCATAAGTTTTTGCTGTGTTAGATGGCGCAACAGCCGGGAGGGAACCCCAGATGTTAAATCAGGGAGGGGACAACTGGCTCAAGCACCTCAACAGTTACACCAACACGGTCAAGTGGCGGGCCAACAAGCAGGGATGCCAGATCAAAATGCAGTGAATAGGGAACAAGTACAACCCCAGAATCCTATTGCAGGACATCAACAAAATCCAAACATGGGCCAACAATTGGGCCCAGGCCAAGGTTCGCTCCAAAATCCGTTGATAGGCCAAGGTCAGGCCGGGAATATTCAAATACCAAATCCTGGTATGGGTCAGGGTTTGATGCCAAATCCAGGCAAGAATCAGGGTCAACCAAGAAACGGTGTCGGCCAGGGTGTGATACCGAATCCAAGGCATGAGTCCGGGGCAATCAGGAAATCTACAGTTTCAAAACCCTGGTATGGGCCAGGGCTACAATCAACAACCTCGGTATGGTCCAGGGCCACAACCAAAACCAGTATGGTCCAGGGTTACAACCAAAATCCCAGTATGGTCCAGCGTTACAACCAAATCCCTGGTATTGTCCAGGGTTACAACCAAAACCCAGGTATGAACCAGGGTTACAACCAGGATCCAGGGATAGGCCAAGGATACAACTAAAACCCTGGTATGGTTCAGGGTTACAATCAAAATCTTGATATGGTCCAGGGCTAAAACCAGATCCAAAAGATCTTTCCACAGACCCTTGGAGACCAGACCAAATAGGATGGGTCACCACTCAAGGTAATACCAATACATTGATGTTCACAGGAAATCAACTTGACAGCCATGTTTCAGACAGTTTGCGTCAAAAGATTGTAAATATATGTCGATTTGAAAACGCTATTAGTGAAAACAGATTCAAATCAAGAATTCAAATGTGTGATGGAAAGGGAGGATGGGGAAGAAAGATAAATTCTCAAGCCTATTGAAACAAAATCTAAAATTGTGTCGATTAGTGACTGGCAATCAGCTTTCTTTGTTTTTATGACGGTGTATATCCGGCACCATCCAAATGAAGCGATCAATTTGGTTAAATACGGGGGCCATATCCTTTCCTTGAGCAAAACGTCAAATGCCAATTGGCAATAATACGATGAGGATTTCAGGAGAAACAAATTGCTTGCAGGGCTTAGATGGGAAGTTATAAAATATGAATTGTTGTTGGCTGCCACAGTTATTAAACAAAGTCAGACTCAACAGTCCAAAGGTTTTCAAAAGAACATGTATCAGAAATCAGGGAGAAATTCTTTTCGTGAATCACCCATATACTACCGCTGGAATGATGGCGAATTTTGCCAATTCTCCTCATGTACATAAAGGCACATCTGTAAGTTTTGCCAGGAAAAACATAAAGCTAATGATTACAAACAAGGATGATCGCAAAAGTCCAAGCCTTTCAACGAAAATAACAAAAATTCCAAAAGATTTGTCGAAAAATCCAAAGAATTCAATTCATAGTTTGATTGAAAAAATAAGGTAGCAGGAAATGGAAAGTTAGAGTCTCCTTTCCCTACCCCCGTTCAACTAAATGTTTTGCTTGAATTTTTAAATGATTATGATTCGGAAATAAGGGATTATCTTGTTGAAGGCTTCACTGTGGGTTTTAAGATTCCTTATTTTGGAAGTTTGCCCAAATCTACATGACGAAATTTATCCTCTACCTATGAAGATCCTAAAGAATTGTTAGAAAAGGTACAAAAAGATGTTACTCTTAGTAGAATTTCGGGTCCTTTCTCGGAAAAACAATTCAAACATTGTGTAGTCTCGCCAACAGGTGTGGTACCCAAAAGCACACCGGGAAAATTTAGAAGAATCCATCACTTGTGTCATCCGAATGTGTTTTCAGTAAATGACGGGATATCTGAAGTATTTTCCACAGTCCAATACCAAACAATATATCAGGCGATAGATAAGTTATTCAAGAGTTTGATCGGGTGCAAATATGGCTAAACTTGACATAAAGTCGGCATACTGCCTAGTGCCCATTCATCCCGATTTTCATTTTCTTTTTGGATTCAAAGTGGGAGAACAATGGTATTATGACAAGGTTTTGCCGATGGGAATATCACATTCAGTTATTTGAAATGTTTAGTTCATCTATCCACTGGGTTGCAGAGAATAAATTGGGCATTAAAGATATTCTCCATTTGCTGGATGATTTTTTGATCATTAGTCGCAATGAATCTGAGTGCACAGAACAGTTAGAAGCATTCATCAATTTATGTAAGTTGTTAGGCATACCTCTCGTGGAAGACAAAATTTTAGGTCCAAGTCAAGTGATGACATTCGTTGGTTTTGAATTCGATGCGGTAAATAGGTAAGCAAGATTTCCGTCGGATAAAATTAAGAAATACACAAATATCATTCAAGAAAATTGTAAGAAAAGAAAGATAACACTCGAAACGCTTCAACAAATACATGGGTCTTTGAAATTTTGTTCTATCACAATTCCAGGTGGTAGTGCATTTCTCTGAAGGTTATCAGATTTGTCCAAAGGGGTGTCTGAACCTTGGCACCGGGTGCGTCTGAACAGAGAAATATGTGAAGATTTATCGCCTTGGCTTGATTTTTGAAGACTTTTAATGGGAAAGCGTTTATTCATGATACAAACTGGGATGATCCAAACACAAAAGTATACACAGATGCTTCAGGTATGATTGGTTTCGGTTGGTTTATAAAAATTATTGGATTCAAGGGACATGGGCCTTGGAACATCAGGGAATTAATATATTTTTTCTAGTTATACCCCATTTTGGCTGCCATAATAACTTGAAAATCTAGATTTGCAAACAAGAAACTGTTGATAAGAACTGACAATGTTATATGTATATGTATTAAACAAATGCATGGGCAAGGATAAACAAACTATGGAAATTGTTAAGGCCGTTGGTGTTGATAGCGATGACAAACAATATGCCCCAACTAATTAATAACGTTGTTAACCAGTGATTAATTTATAGATCAAGAAAGTGTAAGTATATTGCTTTGGAATAAACCAAAGGATATACATGTAAGGTTAGACTCCCATTTCCAATAGACTTTTTCTATTTGTGGTATTACAGTTATTAATTACGTCGCAATGTCTTTAAGATAAATCACTTTTACTTACACAGTGTCTAAGGCAGGCCTCTGACGATTCTACCGCGGGGGACTGCACAAATACGGCACTGGGTTGTGGGGGTGGTGGTCGAATAACTTTAACGTTGTCTACAATTCAAAATATTTATTGCAAATTTAGAAACAGTACGAAATACACATTAATTTTTAATCACCATAGAAACATTGTATTTATGACGTCAGTATACATTTTGTCTAGCGATAATGACGTCATGCAAATGGTTTCGCTGGCAGATACACATTTAACAAAATGAAAATTTGCATTTTAATGTAATTTTAATAAATCTTACAAGGATACTTCGCAATGATTATTTGTTTTTTTGTTATTGTCATCCTTACATTAATTTTTTCAACAATTCCAAGATTTTCTCACCGTATTCCGCTGCCATAATCTCTGTTTGTATTGCTGCTTTCGCTGTTTTTTTAAATCGTTGTTGTTTCGGGAGGACGTCAATGAAAAGGAATATCAACAAAACAAGTTGTGGATGAACTTTGCGTATATATCGTCTTATGCGTGAGTCAAATGCCGATGTATGGAAGGAATTGCCATTTTTATGTAATTGATGATAATCAATTTCTTGAAATTGTCCCTCGTGGAAATTTGATGGAATGTTTGAAAATAGAATCTTCAATCCAACATTAGAAAACTTAACAATTGCTGAAGAAGCAAATGTTTTATTCAATGACAATGTGAATGAAGGGATTTTAAATTGCAATTATAGAACATTAAACCAAGTTAAATCAATATTAAATACAAATGCAAATCATGATTTCTCTATAATTCACTTTAACACTCATAGCCTTCCCAGTAAAGTAAATGATATTAGATTATTTCTTGCTCAAATGACTCAAAATTTACCGAATGTGATTGTCTTATCTGAAACATGGCTGCAAGATGGTACAGAAAGTATATACAATCCACTATTTTCTAATTACAATGGTTTTAATCGTTCTAGGAAAGACAAACAAGGTGGTGGTGTAGCTATTTTTACCTTAAAAAGTATTAATTTCAAGTCAAGATCAGATCTAAAGTTTGATGATGTTAATTGTGATTCCCTGTCAGTAGAAATATTAAATAATTCTTCAAAAACATCTTATTTCTGCCATTTATAAACCACCACAAATAGACATAAATGAATTCAATATCAATTTAAAGGATTTCATGTCTAAAGTAGAGGAGTCTAAGTTATCAGTTTTGGCTGGGGATTTCAACATTGATCTTTTTAATAATGAAATACACGACCCCACTAAAGACTTCTTGAACTTGCTTTATTAATTTAAGCACCACCCCCTTATTTACCGTCCTACTAGAGTAACATCCGACTCTGCTACACTTATTGACAATATTTTTACTAATATAAATAACATTAAGCATGGTGATGCAATATTTATGGACATATCTGATCATTTTCCTGTATTTGCATTAACTAGTACTGTATTGAGAAAGTCCGCAAGCAAAGAAATTTATATAGAATTTTTGATAAGTGGAGTATAGGAAATCTTAAACAAAAGTTGAGTTTTTTAAACCGGAATATTCTGCAAACTACAGATGATGTAAATGATTGCTTCGAAATATTTTCAGATATTTTTCATAACGTATACAATGAAACTTTTCCTCTTAAATTAAAGAAAGTGAAGCTTTTTGTTGATACTTCTAAGCCGTGGATTACAAATGGGATTATCACATCGGCTAAGCAAAAATAATCTTTATCGTAAATTTATGAAGAATCCTAGTGAAGAAAATGAAGAAAACTATAAAATATGTAAACCAAGGTTCAAAGCTATTTTGAGAGCTGTAGAAAAAAACACTATCGGAATGAATTTGAAACCGCATCTGGAAATATTAAACAAACCTGGAATATTATCCCTGACATATTAAATAGAAAAAAACTTCAAACAGTGGTTCAAAACGAATTTCTGGTCGATGGTATTGCAGTAAATGATAAAAAGTTGATTGCCAATAAATTCAACTCATTCTTTTCTTCAATTGGATTGAAATTAAGCTCTGAAATTCCAGAGTCAAACAGAACGCCAAATTAATATTCGTAATATGGGAAACTTTGAAGATAAATTTCACTTAACACCAGTTGATGAAACAGAATTGTTATTATTGATACAAACTTTGGAAGATAAGGCAGCATCTCTTGATAATGTTAAACCGATTATCGTAAAACATGCAAAATTAACTTATACAGTCTTTACTTTTGATATTTAATAAATCCTTTCAACAGGGAGTTTTCCCAGATAAACTCAAAATAGCTAAGCTAACACCAATTTTCAAAAAGGTCAAAAAGACAATTTCTCAAACTATAGACCAATTTAAGTCTTGCCAGTTTTTCTGTTTCTAGAAAAACGTATTAACTTTAGGCTTTGTACTTTTATCACAGAAAATGAAATATTATATATACATCAGTATGGCTTTCAGAAAAATGTCTCTACTTTATGGCAATCTTAACTTTTTTGGAAAACATACGACAATAAATATTCGCTTGGTATTTTTTAGACTTGTCTAAAGCCTTTGAGACCATTAATCATAAAATCCTTCTTGATAAATTAATTTTTTATGTAATTCAAGGGTCTGAACTATCTCTTTTTAAATCATATCTTAAAGATCGAAAGCAAATTGTATCATATAACAATATTGACTCTGATTTACAAAGTATATCATGGGGTGTGCCCCAGGGCTCAGTCCTTGGGCCAACATTATTCATATTATATGTAAATGACATGTTTAAGGTCTCCAATATTCTTAAAAGTGTAATATTTGCCGGCGGCACTAATTTGTTGGCCTCAGATAAAGATTTGAAATCTCTATTAGAAAAGGTTAATAATGAACTTGATCTCATGGATGATTGGTTCAAAGCAAATAAATTATCCATAAACTATTTTAAAACACAATTTATCTTGTTCAATAAACAGAAACGACGAATCTTCAGACATTGTCAAATTGATATGTCTGAGAAACAAATTGAAAGAGATAAATCTATCAACTTTTTAGGTGTCAGTGTTGAAAAACATATTACCTAGAAAGAACATATTAAACATATAGAAGCAAAAATATCCAGAACAATTGGTCTCTTATATAAGATTCGCCACGTATTGAATAAAACAAGTCTTTTGGCAATCTATAATTCCCTGATATACTCACATATAAATTACTAATCTATTCTTTATCTATCTATTTCTATTTCAAAAGAGATTTCTTCGAAGAATGGCACATTCAGCACCTCTCATTATACTCAAGGCTCACTGTTTATCTTTTACAAATGTACAGATATTTGCAATATATTTTACCATGAGATTTCAACTAGAAGGGTAGGCAACTCCCCATATTTCAAACATAAGCATTCCCTTTGGGTTTTCAAAATTGGAGAATGTACACATTCTAAGAAATCTTATTTTGTCCTTTTTATGGAAGATTAACGAAATAACTCAAAAATAAGAAAACATGATTATCTACCTACACGTTGATAATTTAATAAAAATGGAATTCATCGTAATTATGACAATACAGAAAGTGAACATTCTCCCACAAATTATATTTTTTGTTGGAATGTGTTCTTGAATAATTACCCACAATGTAATACTCGAAGAGAATATTCGTATTGGTCTTTTTTGTTTACTTTTACATGAGATTGAATATATTTTATGCTTTAATCATATTGAAAATTGATTTTTATTCAAATTAATTTTTCAAAACTTCTTGAAAGACTGATCATGATGTATAATCGACTTTCTAAATATCTCGAAAAATACTAGAAAAACACAAAGCTTATGCCAAATGATGCTGTTCATATATCTTGTGAACAAATTTTCAACTCATTGTGTGGAATTGGTATACGACATGGTGGTTTGAATCCTATTTGTTCTGTCAACATATGGAATAAAGTTATATATTTCCTTCAACATTCTATGGGTGCGAGCTTTGGGGTAATATCATCAAATCTCAAAAATTAGAAATTGAGAGAGTCCAGCGATATTTTGCCAAGCGTGCTCAGGGCTTGCCATGGAAAACGCCATCAGTTGCAGCTATATTGCATATTGGCCTAATAACAATGGAACAATATATTGAAAAAACAAAGCTCTTATTTTTAAACAGACTGATAAATTCATCTGAAAAATCTGTGCAGAGACATATATTTATATCAAGAATTAGCAGATATTTTGTGAGGATGTCATGTTTAAGGAAATCTGATGGTTTCATTCCAGATATTATAAACATTTTGAGTTAATACCCATATTTATTGGAAGACTTTGAAAGGTTTATCAGTCATGGTCAAAAAGTACCCAAAGATATATGGAAATTTAGAATTAAATGTAACATCCAAGCGTCGGCAAATCAGTTGTATCAAAGTCAGGTTCACGATTTTCGGCTCAAAAGATTTGCAAATATCCACACACAATTAGAACCGAGTATACGTTATGTGCTAGGAAAACAATACCCAGCTTTATTGTGGCCTTTGGCAAGTCTTCTTCAATGTGCACTAATTGAAGATCACCCAGTTACTGTTAAATGTACATTATGTCAGGGTGAATATAGAGATGTCACAAAACGTGCCCTTTTGGAATGTTCAGGACTAATGATGGAACGAGATCGTCTTTTTGATAATATTACGAATACATTAGACGTGAGCTCATCTTGTCAATTAATGAATGGAGATGAAGAGGTTCTAGTTGAAACTCTCCTAGGTTCGAATACTGACACTCAGTTAAATGAAAATATATGTGAACAAATAGTTATCTTGGTGGCAAAGTATGCATGCGGTAAAACATAGTCAAATTACTAATGTAAATACATTTGTTTTGTAAATAATTGTTTGTAAATAACTGCTTGTATAATTATTTAAAAAAAAACTCTTCTTCGAGAAGGAAATAAAGACAAACAAACAAACAAACTAACAAACAAACAGCAATATGGATTTAGGAAAAATCGATCTACTTCTATGGCCATTTTGAATTTTGTTGAAAAAATAAGAACTCTTCTTGAAGCTAAAACTCATCGTATTTGACTATTCCTAGACCTGTCTAAAGCTTTCGATACCCTAGATCACAACATCTTATTACTTATTATTACTTATTACTTATCCAACCGTAAACAATATGTGACATATAACAATACTAATTCGCATAACAAACAAACAATAATATGTGACATTCCTCAAGGCTCAATTTTAGGACCCTTGCTTTTCATAATCTACATGAATGATATACATCTTTTTTTCCGAAAAACTTGACATGATTCTGTATGCAGATGACATCAATATTTTAGTAGGTCATCAAAATCTAAATACCCTTTGCAAAATCCTGAACAATGAACTCAAACATGTAAGTCAGTGGTTCAAAGCTAACAAATTATCACTTAATATTTCAAAAACTAAATTTATACACTTTAAAACCCAAAATAATAGACGTAACTATAACATCTCAAACAAAATCATCATGGATAATACCATTGTTGAGCAAACTGAAAAAATCAATTTCCTTGGTGCAACTATTGATGACAGACTAAACTGGAAACATCATATTCATATACTTGAAAATAAATTATCTAAAACTATCGGAACGTTACATAAAGTCAAACATCTACTGGATATTGCAAGTCTTAAAACTCTATTACTGCCTTGTTTATTCCAATTTTAATTCTGACATAATTATGTGAGGAGGTGTGCCTGAAACTCTACTCGAACATGGCTGTATTCACGCCTTCTATAAACTGTAAACAAAGTCAACATTTCACCTGGGGTATATTCGCGAACAAAACCCCTGGTAATACGTGTAATGTGTGACGTCATAACGGCGGGCCGTAGTAATGGCGGACCATAATGAATATTCGAAACATTTTGGTGAGTTTTCATGTTCGAATCGTAATATAGACCTCAGAGCAGGTATAATATCGTCAAATACACCCCTTAGGCACGAACGCATTCGAACCCCTCACTCCCTTTGGCCGTTTGTGCCTAGCCCTGTGGGGTGTATTCGACAATATTATCCCTGCTCTTCGGTCTATATTTCTTAATTAAATAAGCTTCACTCAATCCAAAAAACAATTTATACGTATGCTAGACAAATCAAATCATTATAGAGATCCAACTACACCACTCATTACTGAACATAAATTGCTAAATATTCATCAAAATGTAAACTTGAAAATTGCTTTATTTGTTTTCAAATGTGTAAAGGGTAAATAATGATGACTTGATGAATGATCTATATTTTTCTTACTTCACAACCAATTATAGCTTCCATGACCGCAACGCAAGAAACAAATTTGACCTGATAGGCCCCAAATTTAAGACAAACATAGGCATATTTTCAATCAGCCTACAAAGCAAAACCATTTGGAATTTAATCCCAGAGAATATACGATAATTGAACTCAGAAAAATTATTCAAATCAATATTATATTCATCATCTATTTACTCAGCCATAACCAAGACTTTAAGGTTCTCACATGTTTTTTTGGTTTAATTACAATAAAAAATATAATAAAATAAAACGCACCATTCCATTGGGCATTTTTTGGCACTTTTGAACAATTCTCATCTTTGATTTGATTGACGGGGACATTGGGAGGAGGTCAAAACAGCTTTGTATCCTAGAGCAGAAATTGCAGGAACAAAACCTTTATTACTTAATATACTAGTAATAATATATAGTAGCTACTATATAATAGAAATAATTCCCAGGATTTTTTCCTTTCGTATACCTATTTGTCATCTTCAATTGCTAACTCATATGAATCTTTTATTGTTATAGGGGGCACCATACACCTTTCAGTGGTGTCTCGCTCCCTTCATCATCTTTGTATTGTTGTATGCATTATATATTTATTAATCAGATATTTGGTGAAAGTGTAAGTGAAATCCAACTGAAAACAGCAGATATTATTCTTGCCATGCAAATCAAAAGAAGCTCATCAGTTTAATGACATTTCTTCTTAATGTTTTGAGCTATCGACCTTGGCACTGCTGATTTAACTTTGTCTACATACTGGAATATACAGAACTTAGTTACTTTCACCACGAACGAGTAAATGTATTGTCTGTTACTATGGCATTCTTTTATTATATACAAATGTCTTTCACCAGCAGTGAAGTCTTTGGTTATATTAAACGTTATACCTAAAATCATATAATCTCGATATTTTTCCATTGATTAAAGTGATTCAGTCTTATTTCATTTCATTGCATCAAACATTTTACAGAACAAGTTCACTAGACGTACTCATTCGATTGCTTGAATTGTCTAGACACTTTTCTGTCTTGATATCTGGATATCTTCCGCTCTCTCAGTCTTTTTAATGTGTTACTTTCCATTGAATTTTGTCTGGGCTTGTTCAAAAGATGCCTGGGCATGCCCCGTCGTACGCTCTCATAAATCGTATTCTGGACATCCCCACCAGTTTCTTCTACTCTTCGCCTGTACGTATTAAACCGCTGACTGAATGCCTCGCTTAACGCATTCGCATGGCTAACCTTTCGAGAATATTCAGGACTTTTGTTGTCTGTATCCGTTGCGTTATTTCCTCCAATCGGATTCTGTCTGTTCTCGTAGTCCGCACTAGGGTCTTCTATGCGCAGGCGTTGCCATGTTTTAGCAAGTTGCACAAACTTTTTAACGTCATCGCCGGTTACTTTGGTGGGTGCTTCCTCTGGGGACTTTGATTCATCGACCCGATTTTTAGCCCAACAAGGGAGATTAATTTTTGTGAAGGCCAGAATTTGGAGCAGGGTGTCATACCTATGAAGCAACATAACGAGAAACTGCACGACTGTAATGGCGAGAAAGAAAAACAGAAACCCGAGTCCGATAGGCTCAAGCTGGAGGGGACGATTGTCACCAGGCAAGGTTACATTTATATAAATGGAATCTTTAACAGGCTGTTCAACCGACTGTATCATTATGATTGCATTCAACCATAATACGTTTGCCATGATGATACCAAACAAGAACTTTGATCGCATTTCTTTTAGCCCAGTAGCCATAGCTTTCTGCGTATCTTCGTCGTTGAAGATTGGTTTCAGATACTTCTTTATAAGCTGTTTCCAGAACACTTCCTCTTTATCCCCCAAGGTCGTCACTGGGCATTCCTCAAATGTCTCATGGTTAATCCATGCGGGATTTGCGTTGCTCTCAGGTGCGCGCTCACCCAGTTTCAATGTCATTAGCGGTGTTTCGGGGATGTCGTGATTTACTTCAATACCGGACTCTGCTTCTATGGTCTGTGCGGATATCAGTAATTGGCGGACCTTTGGATCGAGGGTTTTCAGAAACCCATTTCGATCGCCTTCCTCGAGCTTACTCAGTCTGAGTAAAATCTGCGTTAACATTGTTTCATTCATCTCATTGGAACGCTCTCCACATTTGAAAAGTTTCGACAGGCCGCAGCATCGACTTTCATCTTCGAATATACCAGACATTTTATCTCGTATTTTATCCGCCTGTCTCTCGGATTCCTCCCTCATCTTTTGAGACATCAGTTTCACATCCTCTCTTACGCCCCAGTCCATGTCTTGCACATTGCAAATTGCGAAAAAGGTGAAGACCAAATTACGAGCCGGTAGAAGCAGGAGATAGATAGGCAGGGGTAATACACATAAGATTTCCTGTGGATGAAACACTCCTGTTGCTATATAGATAGCCATCGTCGCAATGACATACACTGCATACGGGGTGAACAGTGACGGGTTTGAAATTTGAACGAGTGCACCGACCACGATGACCATCGTCGACACAGCATACAGTACACACATGAACCCCGCCACCTTTGCGGATATCGAGGGTTCGAGATAAACACAGATAAATATAAAAACTGCAACCGGGATCACAGCTATTATATAAGCCTCCCAGATCAAAACATCGCCCGCTATCGCTTTAATCGCACCTGCTATCATTACAACAGTTAAGCCTGGGCTGAGAATCATCGTCAGGAAATCGGCCAGATGGTAAATAATCAACAAGTATGATATACGGATTTCGCTTCACGGTGTGTGAATGGCTGGAAACGAAGTCCTGGGTGTTCATAAGCATAGACGGTGTCTTGCGCCGTTTCTGATGAAGGTACTCCAAGAATGTCGTAGGGACATTAGTGTATACATCAGCCGCGGCGCAATACGCGATTTTCCATCCTTGTTGAATCATTAGGACACTCAACCACTGGTCCTCACCTAAAAAGTTTGAAAACATATAATTGATGGCATGTGTTACTTTCATTCACTCCCCTCTATAAGTTTTGCAACCCACAGTTCCCTTTTAGACTACGATTTAAAGCTTGTTCATGCTCCTCAATTTTAACGACTTTGATATTGTCAAACCTATTCAACAAAATTAGAAACAAACATACCAAAAAGAATCACAAGTTAATTACAGGGGACGTCCAGTTACAAAAAGCTATGAGGAGATTGTATGGATATTTACATTGTCTGATATAGCATACTTTTCTCGTGTTGGCAAGTATACGATACAATACATGCGACACTTGGGACTAACATATAATAGAACTGATAGTATAATCGACACTGTCAAAATCTTTTAATTGATTTATGGTCTTTCGATTTCCTTGATAAAATAAAACAAATATAATACAAGCGTTCTTACCCATATCCCATTGCACAAAATTCGATGGGGCAGACGGCTTCTGGGCAAATGCCCGGATGACATTATCGTCCATGACTGCAGACCCCCTATACACACTGAAACAACCCGGACTGAATAAAACACAACCCATCTTGTCCTCTGCGGCTTTTCGCAGCCAATACTCGAGGGCATATTCAAACGTCTGATAAATCTTCAAAAGACCTAAAAAGAAAGAACGATGACAATCAGATAGATTCTCGAATGATCAAATTGCGGACTCCCTAAACACACTTTAAAAACAACTCGGAATAAACAATATTTATAAATAAATTGCTCCTTAACATGTACATTTCCATATGTCACATTGTGTCTCATTAAGAACTACAATACACCACAAAATATTAATCAGACATTAGCCTATTTGCGGGCCAATTTGACCTAGTTTCCGAATCTTACCTGAACCAGTTGGATGGACCCGACCAAACGATGCTCCCAGATCCGGGTCTTTCTTCATCGTCTGCAGTAGAAGAAGAATGGATTCTGGGGAGAACGTAGTATCCACATCTACGCCAAGTATGTATGTATTCTCGGCCTAGAGCAAATGATAAATGTTTTTGTTCATTGTAATCTCACTGTTGCTTAAGCTAAGTTCACACCAACGGCGCTCTGAGGGCGCTTTAATGCGACGCGCATAGCGGCTTTGCACGCTGCTTTAAAGCGCCACCAAAGCGCCGTTGGTGTGAACTTAGCTTTAATGAGATTCAATGGCGCCGTTACTTATATCCGATTCTCCAACCCTTTTATTTACTCAATTAGAGAAATATTATCTTTCAAGACGTGTCCTTACATTATACCATGCCAAGATGATTCATTTGTATCAAAATACAACTCATAAAATACATAAGTGACCAGCTCATTACTCATCTTAACCTAGAGTACTCACCTCAAAACATGCGCGCTCTGTGATGTCCTTAAAGATCTCCCCTTTAGTGTTATACTTCATCTTGTTATACCTTATAAATTAAGAGTATAAATATAAAAACAATATGCCAAATTATTTAACGAATTCTTTTCAAGCGTTTAACAAAGAAAAAGAATACTCATAGAAATATTCATATAAAATAATAGATTAAAATTTCATCAGTTGATTCAGATTCACGATTCAGAAAGATATTTAATTTTTTTAATTTACGTGATATCCATCTCATGATTTGATTCCAGGCCCTATTGAAGCCCATGTTATTGAAATTCTTTGATTGGCCTATACAACTAAACACCAGTCATAAATCAAACCTCTAATATTAAGAAAAAATGCATTAACACGTTTTCCTGTGTGGAATCAGGATTACTAAACTTTTGGAGGAAGTGCAAATTTTAAGAGAAAGTGTAAGATTGCTTAACTTTTGAAGGGGAGTGTAACTTTTCAGAAAAGGTGTACCTCGGCATTATATTGGTGCCACCTTGTGTGTGGTCAGTGTAAGCGTCAGAGCTCGTCTCATCGTTCGCTTCTAAGAGTTGGAAGCCAAGTATATGATACATCATCATCAACTGAAAACAACTCATTTTCTACATATTTTTACATTCGGCTTTGAGTATTTTTTTACGTTCTGCTAGAATTTCACCAGTTTTGTGCGATTTTTGATCAATATATTTTGTTTGAAGGGATTTTGGTTATACTTTTATGTTTTTGTTTATACTTCTCTGTAATTCTAGATGGAGATGGACGTCATCTCTGCGATTTTTGTTTCAATAAAACGAGTTAGCTTTTTTCTTGAAAACCTTTCTTATCTAACGTATACGAGGGTCATTCAAAAAATAATGATTGTGCTTTTTACCTGTGATATCCGTTTCCTGCATCCAATCTTCAGCTTATCTTTGAGGTGTAGAGTAAGGGTGTTATTCCCAGGGAGCAGCCACACCAGCTTACCCCCATATGGAGTTATACATTTAGTCGGTTTATCGAGGGTGATTTCTCTTCCATGAATGGAGCTATAATGACAACATTGTGGACAACAAGATATTTAGTTTGTACGAGATAAGTGTCAGGGGTTGCAGCCATGATCGTATATTTCATTCGGGAATGGTATTCTGTCATGTTCATATTTGACCAAATTGTTAAAAACACAAAATGAACAGACTAGAAATTCGATTTGACCGACAGCCCACTTTTCACAAATATACTGATTTTTGATTGTTGGTCTTTGATAGGCCGCAGCCCTCAAAGTTGTTGCATTGGAAAATATAAGACTGACATGACAAGTATAAACTAAACCCTCATGCCTAATGTAAGCATTTAAAACTCAAAGTATTATTATTTAACGTTAACAATGTCCTTTACTTTGTTTCGTTACGATAACTTTAACCTCGTACCTTGCAGCTTTATCTATGGCGTTCATGAAGGATGTGACGTACTTATTGGGTTGGCTCTTTCCATCTAGCTCATCAGCGGCTATACAGTCATCGACAATGACATGTGCTACAATTAAAGGTTATCAATTTATAAAACATCTAAGAGGGCACAACCAGTCACAATGACGTAGCAAAAAAAGAAAAAACAAGAACGTCACAAAACACAGCGAGAAATTAGTTGAAAGCACATCTTCTAAAATAAACTATTATCGTAAAACATGCAATTGCAAGCTAATTAGCAATTTCTGCTTTGTTGAAAAATGGCATCATAGCTAATCGGTGGTCTGATTTATTTAATTGGTATATTGTCCTAATCAATAGATGGCATGAATCAATGGCTTGGTCTATTTCTAGCATAATTTGGTTTACCATCGAATTCGTAGTAATCAGGATCCGTTATGTTGAAATGATCTTGGGCAAGACGGCGGGCAGATTGATCCACGTCCAGTTTGAAGAGCGACTGGAGAAAGCCCGTGATCTCGTCCGAAGTCTCGTGCCACATGGTTGCGCAGAGGCTTAGTTTCGTTACTGGCTCCTCGAAAACCTTTGATCTTGAACTACTGCGCTTCGTTTTTGAATCTTCATTTTCGTTCGATTCTGTATCCCCAGTTGTTGGTGTCGTGTCATCAACAGAGTCGGCGTCTAAGTACATATCAAGATCGTTTCGACTACGGTTGAAGAGGAGATATTGTTCAACGATTGCAGTACAATAACTTGGCATCACAAATATTCTAAAAAGAGATGTAAATTCATGTCTAAATAATCGCAGGTCTAGCGATGATAATAAGACTACAAGCATGAGAACACCCTATCTAACCAAGTGAGGGTGGTACACCTTGATTTACAAAGCATAAGTAAAGAATCCGCCCCAAAAGCTTTTCAATGTCATGAATATTGAATACATCTTTTTTTAAGTCCGACAGTCCTTCAAAATACATCTCACTTGTGTTTGGTTTATCGACCCAAAGCGTTTTAACGGATACACTCCCCTCCATAAGTTTGGAATCCGGTAGTTTTCATTGGTTAGCATATAAAAAACCTGTCAACGCTTGGATCTGAATTTTGCACCGTAGACTAATTGCAATATTTCGGAAAGTTATTAGCAGTAGTACTTTGATGATTGATTTTAAACCACCAAACATAAACGGGCTTTGGTAACTGATCCCAAAAGGGCATTGCAGGTTTTCAAACTTATGGAGGGGAGTGTACATTACCCACCTGTCTGCCTTGGCAAGTCGCTGTAGTTTGGAGAACCATATATGACTAGACAGAATCGCTTGAGAGAGCCACCACAGTCCAAGTCCAGATACAAAATGAAATATGAACATCGGAGACCAAACATCAGATGGAACATTCCAAAATAGAACTTCATTGAATTTCAACATTTCTGGGTGCCGCCATTGCACGAGGAGCAGTGTTGTTACACACACTGGCGTCATCAATAGCGTCGGTAAAGCAAAACACGCATTTTGCATCAACAGCTTCGTCGCAATTTTACAACATTGGTAGAACAGAAAGGTCGTTAGAAAATTGATTATTATCACTATGTAAGGCCAATCGTATACACTGAAGTAATTTGGATCAAAGGGCGCCTCGGTTGTAGTAAAGGGGATGGTAGTAGGTATATTCGTTGTGAGTTCGTCAGTTGTCATCTTATTTACAGGTTCAGTTCCATTATTTTTGTTAATTGTGGTGTTTTCATTCAGTGCTTGCCTCCATGCATTTACGGTTGGAATTGCGCCGTTTACTGTAGTTAGCGGGCCAATGCTTGTCATTTCAATGGTTGAAAAGTTATCGTTTTGCATGGTGGTGAAATTCGTAATAGGATAAACAGTTGAAAAGTTATTGGTTTGTGCCGTGGTGAAATTTGAAATAGGGTAAACGAACCCAGACGAATCGCCGAAATTATCGATCATCATAGGAGAAACTAAGAATATGATCAAAATCTTCCAAAGACTCGCCAACATGTATGTTTTATTCCTATTGTATTTCACAATATCACTATAGTACTGTAAAGGAATCTCAATAGGACCAATCAGAACGTCTATGTCAGCGTAATTTTCCCACCAACCAAACGAAAGCAAGAATAGAGAGACTGGAATTTCCCAGAATACATTTCCACCCGGAAATGCAGTTATTGGTGCATTATGGGACAGTAACATATTTTTCCCGAACGTGACGAAAATTCCGAATACGGATAGTTGCATCAGCAGAAGAACAACTCCAAGTGTGTATGATGCAACTTTCCATGTTGTTTTCTTTGGTTTATCTGCAAACAGTAGCTTCATCAATGCGGGGATCAGTAACACAGCTGACATCAAGAGTATAGCACGGATGACGTCAAGATGCGGTAACACTCGCACGGTAAATAGTAGCAACCCAGCGACATGAACCGTTTCAATCACCATTACCTAAAACATATGACATGCTAGTATAAGAATAATTAAAAACATATAGGCGGTTTTCTTTATAACCCGCTGCTCCAACATATAACATGCTTTAGATATCGAAATATTATGTTCATAAAAAATGAAACACAAGGGAAGTTAATCAACACGTTTTAAGTGCACCCATTTAAAGTATATTATTTATATAATAGACATGTAATTCTAAATGATATGAAAGCAATTTAACACGATAAAAGATAACATGGGTTAAGTACTTCATATCAAAGATAATCCATTGTGAACTTATAAGAGCGTGGGCATAAATGTCATCGAGAACATATTTAAAGGGGCATGGGGAAGAATGGTGTTATGGGTATGTGATAGAATTATAGGTATGAAATAGAATTATGGGTATGAAATATCGTAAGGCCAGTGTAAACTCCCTTTTAAAAATATTGCAAAACCAATATCCCTATTGTACCAAGTGTAAAACTTGTTTATTTCAAAATTGAAAGTCATAAATGGTTAACCAATGTAACAGAGCAACAACTTAATATCAAAACGTATAGGCTCTAAAAACAAGTCAAGTCTAGAATTGACCGTTTAACGTTATTCGTGTACTTTTTTCAAAAATATCTAGTCAGTCATTTTCTTTTTTAGGAATTAGAAAGATAGGATAATCTTGGTAAAATGAAGCCATAAACCGAGTCACATGTTTTTTAAACATTTTTAAAATCACGCTAAAGACACATTAAGTTGGAATTGATTAACATATGCTAAAAGAACACCATACCCCAAGTAAGCACTTCCAGCCGGGCCAACCGATATTTTCTGCCATCGAGCCAAAGAGGCATGATAGGAATGTGCCAGCGTATGGGAGAGCAATACAACCACATAGTACAAAAAGCCAATCGTCTCGCCTCGGGAAATCCTGGAAATACATGATAAAATAGACGATATACGAGTACTAGTGACATCATGATACGACTGAACTTTGTTTACACGTTTTATGATATTGTAGAATATCGTGAATTACTTTTTTATAGTTTTATTTTCCGCACTTAATCCTACGACTTGGTTTTTCCGCACTTATAATCCTACGACTTGGTCATTGAACATGACGTTAAACATATAATTATCTTTAAAAGCCTTATTTGTAGATAAGTGATAAAAAAATGTTTGAACAGGGTAATTAGATAATTTTAGGATGCAGAAACACAATCAGTCACATAAATTACAAATAAGCAATGAAACTCGAACTAACTTATCAAAGTAACATGTCTTATCAAATAGTTATGACGATTTTCATTATACGACTGTCAGCATATCAATTACAAAATAATTTATGAGCAAACTGACGCAACAAGTGCCCCCAAGACGCAACTTATGTCTGGGTCACATTTGCTCCGATCCATCGGCCGGCGCCCGGCCGATTGAGTGTTTTGTTCAAATTTGTATTCAATTTTGAGGGTTTGTGTAAAAAAACGGTCGACCGGGTACCTAACGTTCCTAGCAGGGTTACCAACTTTCAAAGTTCCACATTTCCCCCGATATATAGTAGCGAATTGACTTGACGGAATTAGCCTATCGAGTGCAATGCTGTTCGATATTTTTACTCTATACGAGATAGAGTACTTTTTAAAATAAACAGTGACGTCCATGTCACGTTGCTCATAAGTAACATATAAGTTCCTAGAAGACGTTGCACATTTTCGTTCTTTACACATCGAGGCAACGTAAACATGAGACATCTATTGATGGTATAAAAAGAACGTTGTTGTAACGTGTCCGTCAAGTTCGTTAGTGTGGAACACATAACAAACAGGAACGTTTGATTTTCTACTACATTGTTCCATATGTGACGTAACTCAAACGTTAAAATTCAACGTTGTCAAAACAGGCTTTTAATATCAAAAAAAGTTTTGGTGGAAAAAACATGACAAAAACTTTGTGTTCATTTCCGACGTATTGCCAACGTTAAAATTTAACGTTGTCGAAAAGTTTTTTCGATTTAGAATAACCTCAAACGTGACATCCATAATGACGTTCATGGACCGTATTGATCTGACGTTATTTAAATATTCAGCAAAACGTTGATGGATGGTTGAATTTCAACATTGTGGGAATGGCTTCAAAATTTTTGTGAGTTAAGGAAACGTTTCGAAGACGTCAATATGTTCTCACTAAATCGGTTCATTACCGACGTTATTCTAACCTTAAAAGTTAACATTGTCAAAACGTTCTTACGATGTGAAATAACCTCAAAACGTGACGTCGAAAATAACGTACATGTATCGTCCAGATCCAACGTTATAAATAAAAAATCCTAACCCTGGTAGGAACGTTAAGTACCCGGTCAACCGTTTTTTTACACAAACCCCAATTTTGAACAAAATACTCAATCGACCGGGCGCCGTAGGAGGGAAAATCGGAGCAAATATGAGCAAGGCATTAGAGACTTGAGATACGCGGTTGACCCTTGCGTGTACCTGCAATTTTGCGTTCACGTACACATTTTTAAATGACTTATTTGAGCACCAGGATAAATCTCTAGGACACCCCTCAACGCATACGAAAAAGGAACGTTCATTCATTTGAATAACAAGAACGATTTGCTATAAATATAAGATAAGATATAGAGGTTATTTTATTGGAGGGATAGAATATGAATAATATTCTCAGGCCAATATCATATACCTTCTCAAGAAAAAATTCATATTCCATCACAACCATCAATAACCTATTTATTCCATCATAATTTTTCTGAAACTCATTTATTTTCAAGTTTAGTTTGTCATCCCCAATCAATCATGATGGCATAAAATGATACAATTTGATTTATGATAACATTTTCAACTTTTATGACCAAGTTTTAAAATAGAACGAAATTGGAAAAATCAAAAGAAATCCCGGTTGGAATAGTTCTGAGGCGGGATTTTGGCTGATACTTGACCCAATACGGGATCTATAATCAGTTTTATCCCACGATTAATGTGTTATCTGTACAATAACAGCTATTGATATTTCTGATATTATTGAAATCCGTGTGATATTTTCCAGAAAATCGTTTATCAAACTCATATGCGTGTGATATCGTTTATCTCACGCATATCCGTGTGATATCACATTTGCATTTCGCGCCACAATATTGTTGGAAATTAGGTCAGATAATTTATTCTCTTTTGAGAAAATAGGTCTGCCAGTGTCCTGGAAACTGGATCAGAATATCACAAGGTGATTGTAATCATGGGATAAACCCAATATCACATAATTTCTCGTAATATCATTTTATCGCCTCGTAGATATCAAATATCAACACGAGTGAGCGAAGCGAATGATATTTGATATCAACTCGGCGATAAAAATGATATCACTCAAAATGATGTGATATTCTGTATATATCCCCTGTTCATTTCCCAGGGAAAACATGTTATTATGGAATTAAGTATACTTTATACCCTAACATAAACAGGATCCGATCCTGTTCCATGCACCTTACCCCAGGTACAATATAATATACATTCCGATGTTTACCCTTGTTACAAGATGGTTTTTCACAGTTAATTACACAAGTGTAAAAAATGCCACAGGCGCCGAACACCAACTTAAAAAGGCTGCTCACAAAAACGGTACATACATATGTATGTACGTAAGTATCAAGTTATTCATATACAACTTCGATTTGATTTAATGATATTGCATAGTAACTTCAGTATTAATTACTGACTATGATAAAATAATAATCTTGAATTTTTGATCGGTTTGGCAATGATAAAATGACACCTTATACGCCACGTGAAACTGACAGCAAACGTGAAACGATGCTAATGGTCAAACATAATCAATAACTGTATATTATAAATAGCACAAATCAACATATGTTTTAAAAATGCTCAAGCATCTTCAAAAGTTAAGTGTTACACTTTTAATTTTCATGTTTTTGTTTGAATTCAATCCATTTTAACCCACACTCGTACTCTGGCGTTAAAATTAATTACTAAGATAATGAACGTTATCAAAATGATGCCAAGTCCCATCTTTACATTGATGTTATATCTTTTGAAAAACTTCAAAAACTGGCAGTGATAAAACTGATTGTGCCTACTCGTGTAGATGGGGACTTCAAATACGACCTTCCTCATTACCGTTAGCTACAGATTAATTGTGATTTGTTGAGTGTTTTGTTAACAAGAGATAAAACTCATTTCACTTGAACTTGACAGTACGAATATTTATATATCTCGTCTTTCACTAATTATTTAGTCAGAGAACTCGTTTATAGACTTAACATTAGTGAATCATATACAGATAATCGAAACGTAATTGTTAATATCACAAAGACAAACACCATAAAAGATAGAGAGCTACTTTTTATTCAAATATATAACTAATTACTATTAAAGTGTTCTTAGCAAATATCATTCTGCATTTTTAAAGGAATCAAAAACTTTATGGTTTTAGCATCTAATGTCGTAAATTGGGAGCTCACAACAAAAAGCGTAATCTGAATATTTTATATTTGCTGTTTAAACGTAACATTCTAGATTTGAGCTCGGGATCAGGGTACTGCGGCAAAATAATTTTAGCAGAGTGTTTGAATGTTTTGGAATTCAAGATGAGTTTAGAATATACAGTGCGTATCAAAAAACGCAAAAGATTGTTGTCTCGGAAAAGCACAAATAACAGTGATAACAGCATTGATTTCATTCAATGTACCATAAAGTCATGGGTCCCCTCTTTCCAATGGTATATCATTCGTTGATATTGGGTCATAGTTGGGCGAGTAATCATACCTTTTGCAAAGTGGGCCAAAATTACGCGCAAAAGCTATTGTGAAATTATGACATGTTCTTGAAACTTACCCCGAGCTCGTTTATATCACTTCTACTCCCTTTAACGGGGATGATCTCACCTACCTTGACTTCACCTTCGTGTTTTACAGCATTCGTGACTAGTAGCAGGGACAGTTTGCTGGCTAGCCCACTAGCAAGTACCAGGCAAAAGAGTAATACGTAGGCAAGTACTCTACCCGCCTGCCTGACACCTGACATGCATTTGTCTTGACTACTATCTTCGTATTCTTTTTCCAGGTGTTGAAATACATCCCAAGCATCATCAATTGAGCTGAAAAATATTTATTTTCTACAGGTTTTGGTGTATATGACTTGAATGGGGGGGGGGGGGGTAGGATACTCCACAAATGTTTTGTCACGTATACTACTCTCGTATTCTTTTTCCAGGTGTTGAAATACATCCTAAGCATCATCAATTGAGCTGAAAAATATTTTTATTGTACAGGAAGTGGCGAATGGACAGGGAGGGAGGGGGGTTGGGATATCCCACAAATGTATTGTCACGAGTACTACGCCTTTTTTCCCCCAGGAGAACGACGTTGTTAAATATCCTAGGCTTCCTTCAATTGAGCTGAAACTATTATATCCCATGAAGTATGGCGTACGTATTTGATTGTGGGTGGGTCCCTTATAGTTTGTTTCATAGGCAGGTTGATTTTTAATAACTTATTCACGTTCGTGAGTTATTCGAATGCATGAACATTACCATGGTAATTGGTTCCTCGTTTTACATACAGTCGGATAAAGTTAGGGGTAGAAGTAGCTAAGACGGCGCTTGTTTTGTTGTTCAACTGAAAGATATTCGGACAAAAACTGAATGCACTGCATTTAAGTGGTAATTGCTTACGAATAGACGTTGTATATCATATACGAGGTTGTTAATATTTCGCCCAGTGTGAAAATAACATATGCTATACCATGTTTGAATATTATTTTTAACCCAGCATAGAATGCTGTTTGCCAAAATCAATTAAATAAAAGAAAGTTTACTTCACGTCTGAAGAAAATAAAGAGTTATCTTGGAAGTAATGCCAATGGAAAATTATAGTTCACGCTTATGACAAATCAAAATACTTACATTGTCTCATCGATAATTTGTTGCGTTGCTTCTTCTAGAATTTCTATTTTGCTCTTTCGCGCGTCCTCAATTTGTTTAATATTGTTGTGAGGCTTAATTGCGTCGTCTTCTTTATTTGGCACAGTTTCCAATTTTTCCGAGTCAGTTGTTTGAATCCTTCTTAATGGAACGTATGGTTCAAGATCCGTTGCTTTTGATTCTGTGATATTATAGTCAACCTCACTTTTTGCATTATACGCTGACTTAGAGGAAACGTTTTGGGTTTGAGAGTGTGTTTGTTGAATGTCGTCTGCTTGGAATGTTGGATTCCGGAAAGAGAATTCATTTTTGTAACCACGACTTCCATATCTATCAGTTGGAATATCATACAATGGAGTATCATCTTTTTCATTAAATTTACTGTTAATATTAGGAGCGTCTGTAAATAATCCATATGCGATATTTCTTTCAAATTTAGTATTTTCCGTGATTTCTGGCAGCGCTGGTAAGTTTTGTAATTTTGCATATTGCCGAAAGTTATCCTTGCTAACTAGGTCATGGGAAACGGGGGAACTTTGAGCATCCATTTTCAAAAATTAATTTCAGTTATTGTTTACTCTAATTACCACAGTGATTTACATCTAAAACTCGTTTATGGTAATTATCTTTTCCTGAAGTTAAAACTACATTCCAGTATCGGATCTATGCATGTTCCATGTAGCAGATTAACGAACGGCGCATTGTTATCAATCACTGCTTGGCAGCCATCTTGGGTGAGGTAATTTACTGTATGTTGCTCCCCTACATTCTATCGAAACATGTCATCACTGCGTACAAAGTCTATATATTCTCACTCATCACTTCTTAAGCACTCGCAGCAAATTTTAGTGTAATTGATATTAATTAATTTTTTCTCATTAATTATAACAAGCATATAGTGGTCGTCTGAAGAGGTCATCAAAATCGATGACGTCACGTCGTCTTGCTTATTAGAACTGGAATGTTGAAGTTAAATTATTTATAGGAACTTAATGTTCTATCTGTAATGTATAACTTTCTGTTTTAAAAAAATAGCTAGACAGACAGCTAGGACCTTCAACTAAAAATAAGTCTAAAAGGCTTTAAGTCGATATACCGTTTTAAAAATGTAAATGTTAAATTTTGATTTCCACATGAAATTATATTTTTGCGAAACTTCCATTTTTCTATTCATTGACAAATTACAATTTTGAATTATCCGATCAAGTTTTCCGAACAAAGCACTGTTTATTTTGAGGATGTGCTCTAACCCCGCTGCAAAATAGTTAACTCTGGTTGAGGCATGTTTTTATAAACAAAATCGGATGTCATGCTTAAAATGGTGATTTATTGCTCGCTGATACGTAATCAGAAACGGCAATTTGAATGGAGTCTTGTATTGAACACGAGCTTTGTGACTTTTTATTGATAATTTTTAAAGATACGTTCATGTACATTAGAAATACAACTGACTCTTACCTAAAGATTAGCGTAAAAATATACGGGTATTCCATACCTAACTGAGGTTCTAGGTACACAACGCGCGGAAATATATAGTGTATCTAGGGGGGGGGGGGGGGGGGGGGTGCAATGGTAAAGGCCTATGTTGCAGATGCGCTGAGTAAAATTAATTTTCTTAATTTGATAAATTGAAGAATATCTTTGCAGTTTATAGTCCAAGCACAAAACCAGTCTCTGTGCATCTGCACTAGCCTTGCAAATCATCAGACATGTTGTAAAGTTAAGGACTTGGAAGGTAATTGTCAATACGGTCCACAGTCCATGCAGGGCAGTATTGATGCAGTTGGTATTAATGGAGCTCGAGCCAATTATTGGGCCCAACACTATGGGATGTATGCCAACTCAGCCGGGCGAACCAAATATTCACAGGCTGGTATCGATAGATTTGTCCGCTGTGACGGAGCATGCTATTTTTCATAAAATATTAAGAGTACTTCACAATTTATTTTTTTAACTCATATGTTTCGTTATATTAAAGAAAATTACCTACTCCATGCAATGTATATATATCACTTGCGGGTGACCTTCACTTCTAATTGAAGTCCAATAACGCTAGGAAGAAAAGCTATTGAAAACGGCGCCAGAGTATCATAGTCTAAAATATGCCATTTCTTTTTAACTTTTTAATGGCATGATTTAGTGAGACGATTAATTTTGCACCTGTTTTCAGCATAACTCTGAATGTGTTAATATTATCTGGATGTATGGGGTCTTTGTAATTTTTTTCATGAAAAAATAGTGTTATTTTCTTTCAGCTGTACCGGATCAGTTCCACAGTTCATATTTGCAACTGCTCCGTCACAACGGACAAAAAATTAAGCATTAATTAAGCACCCAATACATCAATATTTTATTATTACCTTCAGAGTTATGCTGAAAACATGTGTAAATATTCGTATCATGCAATTAAAAGGTTAATAAAGAAATGGTACATTTTAGAGTTTGAAACTCTGGCGCCGTTTTCAATAACTTTTACTCCTATCGTTATGGGACTTCAAATAGAAGTGAAGGATACTCGAAAATGATATATCGATTGCATGGAGTAAGTACTTTTCTTTGATAAAATGAAACATATTAGTTAAAAAATAAATTATGAAGTATTCTTAGTGTTTTTATAAAAAAATAACATGCTCCGTCACAGCGGACAAATCTATCAATACCAGCCTGTGATATTAGGAAGTTTGAACTTGCAATTTTTTTCACAACCTAAACGCAAAAAATGAGATCAGTTTTGCCGCGAATCCAGACTCGTCTTTTGTATTTTGTTAACTACCAATGAAGGTGAGCAATGGCTCTTTGGTATATCCTGTATGGTCGTAATTAACGCATGTGACCATGGGAGGTAGACCCAGGAAGCCATCCTTAATGGAGTACTGTGTTCTTTTCACAAACCATGGCCTTTTTTACACGTTTTGGACAACTCTGTGAAACGCCCTGTCCTGGAGTACTTTACGCAAACAAACAGTCTCGTCTTATATCTAATCGGGTAAAACGGTTTTATTACATCTTTAATACCCCCATATAATATTCCATTTCCATTGATACTTATATTATGAATAAATGAGATATGTCGATCAGGCCATCTATATTACCTTCATATTTATAACAAATGAGACGTGGCAATGATGGCAAAGAAATATTAAATTTAATTTCCACAAAATATTGTACACTGGCGGATCTGGGGGGGGGGGGGGGGGGGGCGAAAAAAGGCCTAAAGGCCCAAAAAGTGGCCTTTGGTCATTTTTTTATTTAGGCCAAATTTTGAAGAAAATGTTGGGCCCATTTTTGGTTTTAGGGGCCCTTGCATCCACAGAATCATTTCTAATTCCTTGCTCAATTTGTACTTTTTGGGAGTTTTGCTCTGGCAAACATACGAGATGAGTCGCTGCACCTTTAGGGAGAATGGCCCGGAATGGGTCAAACTAATTAATTGCAACATTGATGTTGGTACATCGATGAGTTCGAAACCTTCACAGTGTATGTTGCTCCCGGGATATTGCTACCATATCCCAGAAGGTTTCTATAGAGTAACGAGGATTGCACAATGCTCACGTACGATGATGTACAATAGAGAGTTTAAGCATATATATAAAATCCAAACGGCAACCTAGACGTATCAATTGCCCATATACAAATGCATGTAATATGCAGCATGTAATACAACATTGGTAGTTCTATAGCTGGTTGTATGGGTCTGATACATATTTTAAACAAGCTCATTTGGGAAGACATGGGGCTGACAAGATAAGTAATAGGATGTTTAAGCTTTCGATCGGCACCCGCCTTGCATTTACCTTGTCAACATTGATTAATAAGATATTTTTGACCAAACAGTTTCCGGATTGTTGGAAACGTGGTAATATCATACCAATCCATTAAAAGAATGATCAAAACACCCCTCTAATAATAGACCTGTAACTTTACTTTGTTGTATATCAAAGGTTACTGAAAGAATTATTTTTAATCAGTTATTCCAATTTCTCAGTGCTCAGAACCTTCTTTACAACTTACAAAGTGGATTTGTTCCAGGGCTTACTTGGAAAATCGAAGAGACAGAGTCGTGATAGATGGTCAAGAATCTCCATGGTCAGATGAGAACTATATCAATTCAGGAGTACCCCAAGGGTCCATGTTGAGCCCATTGCTGTTTATTTTTTACATTAACGATATTCCTGACAAAATTAATTTTAAATGTTACTTATTTGCTGATGACACTTCAATTACTCAGATGCGAGTAGGTAGTTACCAGTTTCACCACCAGGTGGCTGATTCGGGGGAATTAACATGGCAGGGTATTACAAAATTCCCTTAAACTTGAATATGCATCAGTTTTAATGGTTCAGTTTTCATATTACCTTTATGTATCTAATAGTTATACAAATTAAAATATGTCAAGTAAAAGAAAATATCTGCTCAACACAAGAAAAGATATTTCACTTTTTGTGGTTTTACAACATGGGCTCTATGGGGAATCTCCCCGACCTAGAAGTCACATTTTCAAAGAAAATTAAATTTTCAAAGTTGATAAACTCTTTTCAAAACCACATTTCTAAATGTAATTTTACATGTTGATTCCAAATATGACATCAGTTTGACTGAATTGTGAATTTTTAATGACGTAAATCAAGATTATTTCTACTCGCATCTGGGATATTTACCAGCTTTTTAATGAGGATCATTACAAACTGACCCAAATGATATCTACAAGTAGTCAGAAAAGTGGAAATTACAGTTTAAGGCCAGAAAAAGTGCTGAAATAACCTTCTTTAACCCTAGAAAATTAGAGTTGCAAACCCCACCAATTATATTTGGGGGTGATCAAATTCCAAAAGTAAGTGAACACAAACACCTTGGGTTAATTTTTGACCAAAATTTGACATTTTAACCACATATTGTTAATGTTACGAACAAAATAAACAATTTATTAAACCACTTAAAGAGTTATCAAGAAAAATCAGTGTTAAACACCTTCAGCTTATGTTTAAATCATATATCTTACCACATTTTGATTTTTATGATATTTTATATGGCTGCGCGAACTCCATTATTCTAAAATGTCTCGATCGTTTATATTATAAAGCAGGTGTCATACATGGATCGTCCACAATTAAAACACTTTATACATTAAATTGGCCAACTCTTGAAATTCGCAGAAGACTACATAGGATGTTTCTTGTCTTTATAGTTAGCAAGGGAAAGACGCCTCGTTATGTGACTTCTATCTTTGAAAAATTCAAAAGACCCCTTACAAGAGGCCCAAGGTCAACTTTACCACATCTCACACCACTGAAAAAGTCCTCAGTCCAATCAAGATCAAATATTTAAAGCACACTTACACGCTTGTGATTTTGTAAATGTTCTGTCGCCTGATTGTGCTTAACGCCATATCAATGAAACCACAATGCATGTATTCTTCTCATGTCCTCTTCGAAAAAATTATCTTATTACTTTGGGACAGCAATTTTGTGATCTTAATCTTGGGTATAGGAACTTGTGCAAAAATAGTCAGGAGAAATTAAACTTCATTTTATATGGCCATGAAACACTCTCGTATGAGCAAAACATTGATGTTTTGAGGTTAAGTGCAGTGTTTATCAGGATGTGTTGAGGGACCCCAGGCAGACAAGTGGCAGTATTTTTATCAGATTACTTACAGCCCCATCCTCCGATTACAGGGCTTCAAAATCCAGATTATACTCTTTCTTTTTACCCCCTGCGATAAGCAGTTAGCATTTCCCCAATTAAGAACTCGCAATCTGACTGACTGTCGCAACACTGCGACAGAAATCATGCATAAGTCATTGCGCATAATTAGATCACATGATTCAGTTTAATCGGGCGCTTCCAAATTGGTTATAGCAGGGGGAGAAGGAGGTACGGATTCTTGACACCTGCTTAGGAGGATGTTACAGCCCCAGTCTAATTCTTATTTTTACTCATGCCAAAGTGGCGTATAATGTTTCAAACAAAGCCGCTCATATGGATTGTTACAGTATATATTTGATTAATGAAAATAAAGTTTCGATAAAAAAGACAAACCCTACTATCACAGCTAAAGTTTCTTTTGATGTGTGCTGTAAATCATGGCCGGGCAACATTATATTAAAACATATTTCATCTCAGAGATGCAAATCCATGCCTTATTCATCTGTGTTTGTATTTGAGTTGGCTGCAGTGCATTATAACACAATCCTGTAAAATATGACACACATTGACCTTGATTGATGATATTCCCAGTTTAGTTTCAAGGAAGAAATCATTAATATATTGCAAATTTGTAAGCAGGAAATGTTGCTGCGAAATCTGATAAAAGTGTCAAATATATAGGATACGATACACTATGTTGGCTTCGGAAGTTAATACGTTTATTATTTTTATTTGCATATATTATGAGTTTCTTACATGATTGTGGATTGCTTCGGAGGTGAGCAATCGCTAATTTGAAAAAAACTGGAGATTGCATTAAGATGGTTTACATTTGTCGTATGTTGAAAATTTTAAATAGCTAAAGATTCATAGAAAAAATAACAAAATATTTTTTTATGTTCTAAAAACACAAATTATGCTGTATATTTACTAAAAAGCTAAATTGCATACAGGTTCGTCTGGATTATAGTCTTTATTAGAATCAACAGCAATTCGATGTTTTCAATAGTCCTTAAAATTGCGTGCTACATTTTATATATAGTAAAATCAAAATCAAGATGTTCAATACTTATTTATGCGTGTACGCTTTTCATATATAGTAATAGGTAATTCACCTTCGGAGGTAACTTTGCAGGTCAATAACTATATACCATGACATTGTTGCCACAACTAATTATTTACTTTTTATGATAAAGGTGGAGAAATTGTCTTATTATCGGGAATTATTGATTATTTGAATATTCATTGCTAGTAGGCTTTCATTAAACCAAAATCAGTTTGAATCAATACAATTGATTGGTTTCGCGTAAACCGATCGATCCTGCTGTATCTTTAAAGTAATTTGATGGCACTTGGCCAGAAATTGTTGTCACATCAAATTATTTACTTTTTAGGTCAAGTAAAAGTGAAGAATTTGTATTATTACCACCTTGCCGGGCCAGTTCTAGGGGTTTTAGTGCTAGTTAAAAAGGCATTCATTTTACTATATCGACCTGAATATGTGACGTCATAGTGGCGGTCAATGATGACTGGCAATTTTCCCTGGGAAATTAGATATCGTTCAGTACGTAAGATTTTCTTGCTGTTTCAGCCTTGGTCATTAACGGTGGTAATAGTACTAATAACATCATTTCTGCGGGCAATATAGTGAAACATTGGACCGAGGGCCGATATTTCACTTATTGTACTATTGTTGCGGTAAATATCGATTTTATTTTAAAATATATAGTTTGTAGCGAACAACAAGCATGTTAAAAAGTAATGTGTCTTCAAAGATTCCCGACTCACTCAATTTTTAACAACAACAACGCTTTTAAAAATTTAAAATGTTTTTTTTGGTTTCCCGTAAAGTTTTGTCGATCCTGCTGTAGATTTAAAGTAATTTGACGGCACTTGACCACACTTGAAATAGGACATGTAGATTTTGCGACAGCCTTCCACCCATTTGTCATTTCCCTTTTTGTTGTCCAAATTGAGCAATAAGGAGTCACCCTTGGAAAAAGTGAGATCACCACTTTGAAGTGCGTTCCTCATTGTAGCTATTGCCTCATAGTAATGCCATTCTGTATCCTACAAAACATAATAATGCTAGGCTGATTCTTACAAAATATAATAATGCCATCCTGATTCCTAAAAAACACGATAATGCCAAACTGTTTCCTACAAATCATGATAATGCCAAACTGATTCATACAAGATATAATAATGCCATTCTGTTTCCTACAAAACATGATGATGCGAAAATGTTTCCTACAAAACATAATAATGCCAAACTGTTTCCTACAAAACATGATAATGCCAAACTGTTTCCTACAAATCATGATAATGCCAAACTGTTTCCTACAAATCATGATAATGCCAAACTGATTCATACAAAATATAATAATGCCATTCTGAATCCTACAAAACACGATGATGCGAAAATGTTTCCTACAAAACATAATAATACCAAACTGTTTCCTACAAATCATGATAATGCCAAACTGATTCCGACAAAACACATGGAGGGATTCATATTTATCTTTCTTAAATCCTTACTTCCTGAATGCTTACTTTTTACTTGTCTGTCCAATCTAATATATAACCAAAACGGTCGTTTTTATTCTCAGGTTAATCTTAGAGTAAACGTTGGAGTTCCGATGCTTGGCCCTTGCAAAAAGTTTCATTAAAAATATGTTATTTTAGTGATTTTGTATCTTTTAGGTGATTTTATCGAAAATATCTTGCAATGTGTGAAAATAATTTAAGCCCAAGACTCAATGCATTGTGGCTGCTTCATTCCACTCAGATGTTGTTTCCTAAACTTTGCATTCCCCCTGCAGGGTCATTCAAAAGATTTGGAAACAACATCTTCGAGGAATGGTTCAGCACACAATGCACCGAGTCCAAGCCTCAAATCCTTAAACCACAAGTATTTATTAACTTACTCTCTTCTCAGCTTCTAACTCCACTTCGTTTACTTCATGGTCAAGTTCCGCCTCGTTTACTTCACGGTTTTCTGCTTCAATTAACTTTTCGGCGTAGCTTAAAATCGTCCTAAATAGCAAAGTAAAAATTCATGATTTTATTTGTAAAGCCCCAGTCACATTTGCTACGAAGACCCTCCTGGTACCCCAAACAAATGTTAATAACTCCGTCTTCCCACATGGATTTGACATCATATTTGGCACAATTGAATCTTGTTCAATAGAGTTTCACACAATAAAGTTTCATCGTTTTATGTTAAATGGTCACGAATTTAAAAACATTCACCAGATGAGACCAGTATTTTGAGGAGGTTTTGTAAAATAGCCACAAAATCGTGGTCATTTGAAACAGACCAATGAAACTTGGTAGAATGTAAAAAAACATAAAGCAAAGTTCAATCATGCTAAATATGATGATATGATAATTCCCCATCAAAGTCCCTTCTAGCAGCGTTTGGGTCCCCAGTTGTAAAACGCGCTTCTCACAGCTTGGGAGGGACTCTGCATAACCGAATAATGTACCAACAGAGACATTTTAGTTTCGCTTTGTATGGAGCACATTTGAAGAAAATGGTGTAATATGAGACTTACAATACTTGATTTTCAAACATATGGTAGGTCTAAAATTCAAAAATGTTCAAATCACCATTCAATTGAAAATAATCAATCTTTTTGTTGCTATGTTGCAACACTTCAAAAATATTCAAATCATCATTAAATGGAAAACGAATCAATTTTTAGTTGCTGTGTTCTGTATTATTTTCCCTTTCCCTTTAGAACCTGTGCATACATATAATACATACCCAAAGTCATCAGTTGGTGCAGAACATCCGATGTTCGCAAGACACACGAGTGCCAGTCCTACTAGTATCATGGTATTCATTTTCAGACTTTATTGACTTCACGGCGGCTCAGCCTTACTTTCTGCCTCGGAAACTGATCGATGAATAAAAAACCGGTTTGCTTCACAGTTAATATATTCATACATGAATGCGTTGGTACTGGTTCAACAGGTCAATGATGGACATCCAATCCCATTTTAACGAAAACGATACATTCATTTTTGTCTGTTTTACACAATATAAATGTTAGGACTGTGGCCAAAGAAATAGAACAGAGAAGTATTGGGAATACACGGTACAAGGTTAGCTTAAGTTGAAGTTCCCCGTACGACCATTATTGAAATAAAAAGATGGACGCCAAAAACATTATCAATCCAATATGAACCATTAGAAAACAGTTCTTCCAGTGTCGTAGGACAATCATGTCAAAATAAAAACGGGATTTTATAACCAGTTGAAAATATGTTTTGGCAGATTTTCATTAGACCATCGAATACGGTTTTTGAATAATGAGAAAATGTGCTCGATAAGATAAAACTCTTTTTACTCGTTAGAGATCCCTTACTATAATATTTTCCGATTTCTAATTTTAAAGAATCATGGTTTTTATGGTTTACAGATTCAGATAATATTGGTATAGTCAGTTAAAATTATCCCTTTAGGTCCAGACCCTTCAGGTTGTGCTTAGGATTTTAGCTGCCTTGATAGGTATCGAAAACCATGTGTGGTTCATTGGATGAGATGCTAACATCAATTTCGAAGGGCAATATAGTGAAATATTGGACCGAGGGCCGAAGGCATATTGCTCAGGTCGATATAGTAAAATAAATGCCTCCTAAACTACATGTAGCACTAATACCCCTAGAACAGGTCCGGCAAGGTGGTAATAATATTATATCAGCATTATTTTCATTGTACATTGTATACATGTATCTCCTTTTCAAAAAGAGCAATAAAGATGTACGAGGGTTAACCCAGAAGTAATGCACCATATGCTCTAACTTTCTTTGATATTCTTCAATTCAGCTGAAATTTTGTGTATAATTGCAATTGGAGTGTTATCTGTTATATCCTGAAGTTTCAGCATCATATGTTAATTTTAAGTATTGAAATGGTTGCTATAGCAACACGGGGGTAGGGATGGATGGGGCACAGGTACCAAATGTTTTAATCGTCGAAAGCTCTAAAGTGTTATTCTATTTATATTTCTCTGTTTTATATGATCAAAATACTTTGGAAATTTGGAAATTTATCCAGCATGATTTCAATGATGATTGGACCCTGGATGACAACTCCAAACCTGGGAGGCCAAACACCTCAATTTGTCACAGTGGAAGAAATTGGTAAGAGCGTATTATGACTGGGTAAGAAGGCATCAAAAGTCCAGCACATGCAAAGGCTAATATTTTGAGAAAATGAGCCATACCCAAACTCACCAACTTGATTTTATTATAATATCAAGATAGTATTATCAATCAAAATAAAACTTTGCGAAATAATCAAAATATATCTCGCTAATAAATATTCATACAGAACATTACTTCTGGGACAACCCTCGTACATACATAAATAACGTTCATATTTTCCATGGTTGATCATGAACTTTTGAATTGAAGTTTAAAACTAAAAACGTGACAAGAAGTTAGCCAAAATATTTAAAGCGATATGGTGTGACCATACGTTTTTCATAACAATCGTCGAAAAACTTAGGTAATAATGTTGTTTATTGCCAAAAGGGTTATTATCAGCGCACAGTCAAACTGTTCTAGTCTCAGTGTTAATAAGTGTTTAGTCTCTTTTTTAAATAGTTTAAATAGTTTAATTTAGTTTAAAAGTTTAGTTTAAAAAGTGTTTATGTGTCGCTGACATTACAAATCCATTTTAAAAATACATAGTAAAAACAACATTTTGTAACATCACTAAACTAAACTAAACTAAACTAAACTAAACTAAACTAAACTAAACTAAACTAAACTAAACAAATTAATGTAAAGACATAATCGGGAATTTTTGAATAACCATTTATTTTGATCGATATTTTTGCAAATCCTGCTCAAACAAAGCAAATTATTTTCTATATATTATGTTATCACAAAACGCCATAAGATGCCCCTTCAATTTTGAAATATATACGAATAGCAATTACATATTCTCAAGATATTTGCAGTGACTTTGCACCAGTTTTTTCCAGGCTTTTGAGCCAGTCATCGGGTTGCACTATATTTTTCTGTTTGCTTTCTTTCAGATGATATAATTCGTTTAAATGTTTGACAGTGCAATCACCAGTGAAAATGTACAGACTCAATATTTTATTCTGTTCATGTTATGTGTATATAATTTTATAATAAGTATGCCTATGTGATTTAGTTCACTACAAATGTTTGACTTTTTGTGATGGTAGGCTTGAGTTTGAAATCTGTTGAAAAGTGTTGAAAAATCGAATAGATGGCGAAAAAGGCGGTCAGATCATTTGATTTGGTGGCTCTATTTTTTCTAGAGACATTTCGAGTGCCAAAGGGGACATTCGGAGCTATCCAATTTAACGTTTCAGGTTGAGTGGTTCACTATACGAGCACAGACATCTTGTACAATGACTCACATTTTCCTCCTTACCTCTTGTTTCAACGTTTCAAGGGTAATTAAACATAAGCCTCACATTGGCCTGTTTCGGCATTTGGATCATGTGTTGTAAATGGTCATACAATCGTGACTCACGACTTGGTAGAATGAACATTGAACAAGGTTTAAGTATGCTTAATATGACATCAACCCCGCGCCCCGTGAGTAATTAACATACATTTGTTCGGGTTACTTTTTTGCTCCTCTGAATAGCTGTATTATTTTTCTCATGATAAACGGCTGGTAGAAAACATATTTATAAAAAGATGGCATTGTTTATACTGTACCAAGAGAGAATGAAAAAGGAACGAGACTACCGCCATCTTTGTATCGCCCTAAAACCTTTACTGTTTCACTTTTGATTTAGACTTGTATGCTTTATTAAGATGCTTCGATCATGTCCTAATCTTTGCTACGCCCACGACGGGTAGATATAATTACAATATCGACGAATATAAGACCACGAGGACATGAAGTATCTACTCGTCTGTCCGTCCGTCCGGGCCATAACTCAATAGCATTTACATTTTATACTGTACATACAGGATATTGGATATTGATTAGGTTGTAAATCTAAATATTATAAAAACATTTGTACGTGTTATATTTCACTTTTTTACTTGAACTCGAAGTGATAGAGCGATAAGGTTTATATTTGACATGTGGGAACTCAAATGCAATTTTTGTGTCTCCGTTATCTTTTTAGCTTGAGCCACATATACTATAGTCTAGTATAAGACACCCTTGGCTGTAAAATCAAGATGGTTTGGGTAGAGTGGCAAAGTTAAGATAGTTGGAACTTGATATATACATTTTAAAATACCTATAATACAGATAGTTTCTTTGTTTCTAATACTCTAGAAAATGCACTCTAGAAAGTGGTGATTGTTGCTTTGTTTGATAGATTATCATTAAGTATATTTAGAATTCTCTTTCCAATATGCTTTATTTCATGAAAATAGAACCACTACCAAAAAACAGTTAATTGCCATGTATTCGCTACTCGCGTTCTCTTCAAGAATTTCATAGAAAAACGTTTTTTTACAAATTTTACTGAATGAATACCCCCATTTGATGTAAATGCCGTTGCTATGTGGTTGTTGGGCAAAATTATGGACCGAAATTATATTGGAATAATACCAAGTGAAGCATTCGTCTATTTTCTTACTAAATCACAAATTCGTATTTGTTGTACATCTTGAAATATGAATGCTAAAGACAAAAACTTTGAAACTTGAATTTGAACATGAAATTGTTGATTATTCAATTTCGCTTTACATTAATTGGTTTCAATAGGATTACGCTATGCCTGTTATCTTTGAAAGTGCATACTTATGAAAAAGCGTTTACCTTGATTTTATTTTTATTATATTCAAAATTAGTTTTTAATAAGATAACAGATCCTCCTTGCAGAGATTATTTTGAAAGAAAGTTGACTACAAAAATAAACCCCCTAAGTACAGTCAAATTGACATCGATTTGACCTTGGTTGACCTTTTTTTCAAAGAATGCAATACTTTTCTGAAAAGTTAATTGAATAAGCAAAGTCAGTATTGATAAGTCGCAGATGGGGTGTGTGTTCCAAATTACACTCCCCTCCTTTCGACTTAGTGTTATAAAAAAAAGGTTGCAGACACAAGGGTAAACAGATTAAATGGTCAATACCTATTTTTTAATGCATTGACAAGTTAACTATTGGAACATGCTTTTGTGATTTAAATGATTCAGCTATTCAATTGAAAACACGCAAATAAAGAACAATTTATTTCATTTGAAAACGATTTCTTTCAAATATGTTTGCATTGAACTGTTTTTGATTGAGACCCATTAGTAGGAACAGAACAAGAGAAGCAATATAATAATATTCAACCTAAATGTTTCCATTCTTGAATTTATAAAGAAATAAACAAAGCTTTTAAAAACGCCTCAGTCAAGCTTTAATAAATGCTCTATCTAACACCCCAGTCACATTTGTCGCACGGCGGTCGTACGTCGTAAATCCATGTGGTGCCCGTAGAAATCAAAAACAGATTGATTTTGGTTTTTGATTTTTGATTGTTTAAATGGCTTCCATGATTATTCCATATTATGACAATGATATGGGGAACTTCAACTCTGCATTGATATGACATAAAACACATCACAAATATCCTAAAAACTTGATATACTGCAACTACGGTTCTGTTTTTTTACTGTTTTTTTACCGTGACTTCGGTTCTTTCTCTTTAGAAATTGAATGCTTTACATTTATTGTAAAAAATGTATGCCATCAACTGAAGGTTTCAATGTTCGAGGAATGTCATTGACCTTTTGATACAGTCACAACGCATTCATTTTTGAATAAACTGAAGGGTGCGACAAACCGGTTTTTATTTATCGATCAGTTTTTGAGGCAGAAAGAACGCTGAAAATCTAAAAATCTGAAAATGAATATCCTACTAGTTGGACTGGGACTCGTTTGTCTTGTGAACATCGGGCGTTCTGTACCAACTCAAAGCTATGGGTATTGTATCTATTTTATGTTTATGTACAAGTGTTAAAAGTAAATTAAAAAATATTACAGAACACAACAAGAAATTAATGGGAAATTGGTTTCCATTGAAAGGCGATGAAATGTTTTTGAAGTGTTGAGTATTGGGCATGTCTTATAACTAGGTTTAATATTAAAAGTTATTGAATGATTTGAAGTGCAATGCAGGATATATTCTGCTCGAGAAATTCCGTATTGGAACGAGACGAAGTCGAGTACTAGACTGAGTACTTAGTACAACGTACTTTCCCGATATCTTAGAATCTGCATTAGATGGAACTATATCATTTCTATTGGGAATTCCATAGATTATTTTTGAAAATGAAAAACATTTTTTGGGGGGGGGGGGGGTTATATGGTAATCTTATAGTCAATAAAACGTTTATAGTGTATTGATGTATTTTAGATAAAAAACAGAGGCGAAATGCTCGGAAAAACTCCCTGGTTCAATCTACATACAGCTCGCGGCCCTTTCAAACAGGAAAATGAAACATGCACCATTCTAGCATTTCTAAAAAGAAAAAATTAGCACCAATTTAGCAAAGGATATGAATCGATATGGTGATCTGAATTGAACAATATTTTTCTCTTAAACCAATTATTGAAAACATTCTGTAAAAACACGGTACTGATTGGCAACTGATGACTGATTGGCAACAATTTAATGCAAAAATTATTTATATATATTTTACATAACTGTTTTTGTTAACATTTTTTGTTTTCAGTGCAATTGTTCCGAACCTCGTTGGAACAAAATAGCATTTACAACATTTTCTTAGACCTCTCATTATTACAGTTATACAAAGGACATTTTGGTTGATTTAACAAAAAGTATGCAAGAAATGAAAAATATTACAAAACGACATAACATTTTTAGGTCTTTCAATATTGTAATTGTACAAAGGAAAGTTTGGTTGATTTAAAAAAGTATCTTGTTAATGAATTAAAAGGCTTACTCTGAGTTATATCTATTTTGGGGGTTTTTGTTTTAATTTTTTGAATACTTTTTGTTAATTCGACCAAATTTTCCTTTGTATAACTATAATATATATATATATTTTTAAATCATTTTATTTAGCCTAGGGTTTACAGTTTACACTATTACATCCCCTAGGGATATTGAGAGGTTTAAGAAAATGTTGAAAATACTATTTAGTACGAATCATTTTATCTTACATATACCGTATACATTTTGAATTAAAATTATGAATTTTTACTTTGCTTTTTAAGGAAGATTTTAAGCTACATTGAAAAGTTAATCGAGACAGAAAACCGTGAAGTAAACGAAGGGGCGAAAATTAGTGCAGAGAACGAAGCTGCAGAGTTAGAAGCTGTGAAGAGAGTAAGTTAATTAATAAAAACCTATGACCATTGTATTCTAAAAATCTAATATTCTAATATTGAAGCGGTAAGGAATAACGTAAACAACCTTATAGGTTATATATTATTGGAAACAGTGGCGTAGCCAGCAATTATTGGTGACCAGGGGTTCGATATTTTATGTTATCCACAAATCTCCCCCTTCATCGGTGTACCTCACATAAAATCTTTTTTTGTAATGTCATATATACAATTCATTCTTTAGAGTTCATTCTGTCGAATTCTGAAACATGCAATTCCCACACTTTTAGCTGATTTTTGAAAAGATTCCAAATCAAAAGATTTTTATCTGCTATTTCATTTTGACCTCATGAACTTACAGTTACTTACTGCATATTCAATAGCAGATATTTTTGAAGAATAATCATGGCGCACAGTGACAAATGACAAATAGTATTAAGGGAATGATACATAGTCATAATTCCAAAAAGACCAAATTGAAATAACAATATATCCACTGTGCTCTGTAGGCTCTAACATTAATCATTTCTTTTAAATTGTAATGCCTTGCAACTAAGAACAACTAATACTGAAAACCCCATTTGTTCTTTAATTTCTTTGAATTAAAAATTAAAAATAAAACATTCCATTCTTTATCACCGTTCCCCTGTTTTTTTATCATGAATGACGAGAATCATGAACGTTTTGAGAAATGAAAACATTTTAGATGAACTTGTGAATCATTATAAACTTTAATTTGTTTTTGAGAAATGAACATTTTATTATCTTATTAAAGAATGCTGTCAAATCCTTTTTAGACACACGATTTGAAACTTGTGCAAGGCTTATACTCTCGTCTTTCTGGCAAATACACTCCCCTCCAGAAGTTTGGCATCCTTAGCTCCCTCCTCTTTATGTTTCGAATTTTTTACATAACCTGCGAGGAAAATACTTATAATATAGATGGAAATGTAGCTTGACTTCATTTCCAATGCTACAAATCTTCCCATTTTTTTCTTCTAAATTTAATGAATTTTAGAAAATCAGCATTCCCACGTAAACCAAGGGGATTATTAGTAGATAATTAAAAAACCGGTAAAATCATTCAAAAGAGGCTTTCAAAAATATTTTAAAAGGCCAAATACTTCTAAAGGTAGAAGAGACGTGGAAACATCGAGTCAAAGCAAACTCAAACCTTGTTATATTTGTACATATTCATCAAAAAAAATAACCGTGTTTCGCATAGCAAATAGGTCTTAAGTTTCCAAAATACACGTGGTCACTTGGTAACCTCATTAACCTGGCCACAGATCCAAGTTATAAAATGTATCGTTATAGTTGCCACAAGTTATGTGAACGTATCATTGTGCATTATTTGCAGTGTGAGTATTTTTCAATGCATAGGAACATCTTCTTTGAAAAACTCATCGACCATCTACCTATAAGTGTGGCTGTAAACCTGTTTAACCTCGTCCATGAAAAACTTTAAGCGTGATCCTGTTTGACATTAAAGGTTTCTTCAGGTTTGTTTCACAAGATTCAACGAGTCTTGGGGAGTAATACTTGAATATAGCTTCATCCTAAACAATGTAAATAGAACATCTGAAGAACATGCTTCTGTATATATGCATGTTGAATCTCTTTTTTATACTTTTAACCTTTGTAAATTGTGTAATTTAATTTGATGTATATTTTTATACTCTCCCGGAGGAAATTTCACGGAGGAAATAAGGAAACATAAACATTGGCACATAACGTGATTTTTTAATATTTCTTATTGTGAACTTTTTCCCTTAACTGTGACAATAAAATACTCATTCGAAATAATAAATCTAGACTTATTTCATATAATCCTTCTAACAGGTGTATGCCTTTTTCAGCTTACACTTGTATTTAGTACCAGAGACATACTCACCTAATTGCCTTCCTTAATCCATTTATTTGCTAAACATTTAAACATAATTAATGACATTAACACGATCCACTAAAGTTTGATATTAGTGAAAATAGAGCGCATACTAAATACACCAAAATAGCAACAATTTGCAACAATTTAAACTTTTAAAATTTAAAATTATTTCCGAGATAAACGTGCATCTGAAAAGAAAACTGATTTTTTGCAATGGATTTATTTTTCCTTAAAAAGTGATGGATAATAAATACCCATTTGATCAAATGCTTGTGTTTATAAATGATACATATGCTTTGAATAATAACTAATTTCCAAATGTTTCTATTATTTAATATTTGCTTTTGATAACTTATCAGCCCCGAGGACTTAGCAAGGTTTATCCCATGATTACAATCACCTTGTGATGTTCTGGTCCAATTTCTAGGACATTGGCAGAAAATATAAACTAGAAATTAGAATGCTAATTAAATATTTAAAAAACACTTTATTTTAACAACTCTTCGTCAGACGAATTTGAAATAAAACAAAACAGAAGCGCAGAGATTTGAAAGAAAATGTGTTTTCGTCAGTATTTCGCCGTAGATGGAGCAGCTTTCAAGTTGAAAAATAAGTTGTGCGAAATAATTGATATTTCTTCTTTGCATCATGTCATGATGCTCCGGGGTCTTCCGAAAATTAGACAATCCCACCCCGTGCCTAAGGTTGCCAATCTTTTGGAGATCAGAAGTGCAACTTTACTATTTTTATCTACTGGTCATATAAATTGAATATATGTTTCTGGTTATTGCATTGAATTTTTCCAAAAATATTTTTTGTGGGAAATCCCGACCGAGGGTTCATCCGAACCCATCGAAACCTCGGTCCCTACGGCTATGGGAGACGAGTTAATAAGTAAGCATGATTTTAGAACGGAAAAAATAGTTCATTCAGACATTGGTTCCCTCAATTGTGATAAGTGGTTGATATTTCAATGATTAAATAAATACAGAATATCACATCATTTTGAGTGATATCATTTTTATCGCCGAGTTGATAGCAAATATCAACACGAGTGAGCGAAGCGAATGAGTATTGATATTTGATATCTACGAGGCGATAAAATGATCCCATGATTACAAACACCAAGTGTGATGTTCTGATCCAATTTCCAGGACATTGGCAGACAATATAATCTAGAAATTAGAATCTCAATTGAATATTTGAAACACTTAATTTTAACAATTAAAAGTAAATAACATGATATAGTTCGTCATAAATCGTTAGTTAGCAGCCTTCTAATCAAATTATATACACAATCGTAATTCCATACACCAATGAAACTTAAAGAGAATAAATTAACGGACCTATTTTCTCAAAAGAGAATGAATTATCTGACCTAATTTCCAACAATATTGTGGCGCGAAATGCAAATGTGATATCACACGGATATGCGTGAGATAAACGATATCACACGCATATGAGTTTGATAAACGATTTTCTGGAAAATATCACACGGATTTCAATAATATCAGAAATACCAGTAGCTGTTATTGTACAGATAACACATTAATCGTGGGATAAATACAGAATATCACATCATTTTGAGTGATATCATTTTTATCGCCGAGTAGATATCAAATATCAACACTCATTCGCTTCGCTCACTCGTGTTGATATTTGATATCAACTCGGCGATAAGAATGATATCACGAGAAATTATGTGATATTGGGTTTATCCCATGATTACAATTACCTTGTAATGTTCTGGTCCAATTTCTAGGACATTGGCAGACAATATAAACTAGAAATTAGAATATCAATTGAATATTTGAAACACTTTATTTTAACAATTTTTCGTCACATATCACAGATAAACGATATCACACGCATATGAGTTTGATAAACGATTTTCTGGAAAATATCACACTGATTTCAATAATATCAGAAATATCAATAGCTGTTATTGTTCAGATAACACATTAATCGTGGGATAAAATAGAATAAAAGTTTTGCCTATGATGGTAAACAAAAGAATAGAAAGAGTGTTAACTGAAAGGAATAGGCATTATACACAGGGTGTCAAATGGTGCCCCCCTCATCAGTTTGGCACTGTTATGTTTTGTAGGATACAGAATGGCATTACTATGAGGCTATAGCTACAATGAAGAACGCACTTCAAAGTGGTGATCTCACTTTTGACAAGGGTGACTCCTTATTGCTCAATTTGGACAATAAAAATGGAAATGACAAATGGGTGGAAGGCTGTCGCAATATCTTCCTGTCCTATTTCAAGTGTGGTCAAGTGCCGACAAATTACTTTAAATCTACAGCAAAATCGACAAAACTTTACGGGAAACCAAAAACATTTTAATTTGATTATAACTGTTCAAAAAGTGTTGTTGTTAAAAATTGTGTGAGTCGGGAATCTTCGAGTGCACATTAATTTTTAACATGTTTGTTGATTGCTACAAACTATATCTTTTAAAATAAAATCGATATTTACCGCAACAATACAAATTCTTCACTTTACTTGACCTAAAAAGTAAATAATTTGATGTGACAACAATGTCGTTATACAAAAAGTAACATTTCAAGGTGAATTGCATATAACCCTGTATAAAAGTAAAGCACGCATAAAGGACTATTGAAAAATTTGAATAGCTTTTGATTTTAGTAAAGACTTCATAATCCAGAAGCACCTGTATGTACTCTAGCTTCTTAATAAAACATGGATTCGTATACCTTTTGAATTGCACTCTGTATCGTATTCTACATCTTTGAAACCTGTACAACAGAATATACACTCAAGCCACGTATTCCTTTCATTATGACGAATTTTATGTTACATGACTATATGTTTTTATTCCGCTATTTAATATACGCTCTACCATGAGTATTTGGTATCAAATTAAACGTCTCTTAATCCTGCAAAATGTCATTTAGTTTTTATCTCAGGGTTATAAAAGCTGAACGCATTATTAATCGTCGAACATTCCAAACTATCATTTTTTGCCTTGTAACCGATCACCCTTATGTTGATTGACAGTAACATTTTTATATTCTGAAACGTATTTTGTTATTATAATTGAATATTTCATCACAAAGACTGCATCGTGTCGATTGTACGTTAGCTGGAATTAATTTATTTGCTAATTTACTATTGGAAAATCGACATTAAGTATGTGTAGCCCTCGAAGGCACCATCATCGACACCATGCTTGAAATCAACGGTGTCAAGAAGCCTCTGCACTATTCATGATAAAGCCCCATTTACTTCTTTGAAATATAAATTGCCTTATTAACGGATGTAAAACATTTTCACAATACATTTGAATTTAACATATTTAGCTTGTTACGTTTTTTTCGACGTAAAGTACTATTTTTCAAAATCATCATCGACTCTACAAGTACGTTGTCTTTGCACTCTGCTTTCAATCAAAATCAGGTTTGAATGTTAAGTAATGGTGTTGACGGTTTGTCTCAATGTATTTTGATAATATAAACATACGCTTTATTGATGTTTTTCTTTGACCACGTAAAGATTGAGATATTTAGGACCATCAACGACTCCACCACATACGACTCCAAAATACTATCCACATATTAAGTAGGTCACATGCATAATCGAACGCTATATAGTTGTTGAATGAACCTACATTCATTAAATGACTATCACTGTATAAAAAAAACGAATATTGCTTGCAAATAACGAGCAATTCTGGTGTTTATTTGCTTCGAATTGCATGTTATAAACAGTTATCATCACTGACAGAACGCAGACAATAACTGCATATATGGAACACAAATATATGCAGCTGCATATAACAAACATCCACAGAGAATACTGACTGAATATACGGGTACTGTCACTGAGTATATTTGCTTATATTCAGACATACTTTCCATATTTGCTGTTTACTTGTGATTATATGCAGCGCAGAAACTGCATATACTACCCTTTGCATTCGTTTGACTACACTTCTTAAAAGAGAGCTTCGTCTTCGTCTGTAGTTTAACTAGACTCTGCACGCAGGGTATGCATATACCTGCTTATTTGGGATAGACAAATATAAGCAGTTGAGCATACTAGATATATATAGAAATTGACACTGGTTATATTTGCATATGATCTGCATATATGCCATTTTTCATGAGTATTCCTGCATATTTTGAGATAAGTGATATGCAGCATGTGATTATATTGAGACATGTACGAGAATATAAACTAACTACATTAGCATATATTGAGTCAAGATCGGTATATTTGGCATTCCTTTAAGATCATATGCAGCACAAGATATGCATATTTTTGCTTATTTAGGAGGACTGGTAGACGCTGTTTTGTGAATTGGGCATCGACCCAGGCATAAACGGGAGTTAAAACTGAATATACGCGTTAACACAAGTGAGAAAAAATTGCACACAAACAGCTTTTACGTTTTTATAATTTATTTTAAATTTCTTAAATACATCAGGAAACGAAAATCATTTTCAAAAACAAGGATATGATGTTCAATACTAAAAAAATATGATGAAACATTTTGATGGATATAAATAGGATTATTATGTTTTGGCCAAACCTGTATACTGCTAAACAAATATACATGTATTTACATTGCATTGTACATGATGTAACATTATATTTCTATCTTTAAAATGGTGCGAACTTATGCTCCAAATCAATGTATGCATATTGCTCGATCTTGAAAACTGTGTTTTTGTAGTTAGATATGGCCTGTCTTCTGGTAGAAAATTCTCGTACGATACCGAATTCTGCTTTCCCCATTCAAACTCCATTCTTCTACAAGTTTCTCAATATCTATGTAAATTCAGCTATCACATGGTTTCTATTTTGCAAGAAATCTGTCACTGCACACAAATACACTGCTCTGGAGACACTGCTCTGAAAATACATAGACACTACTGTGTATTTTAATCAATGATACAAAGACACCAGTTTATAGCATACTGTTCAGCCATACAGTATAATAGACCTTCCAAGACAATCAATTACTTAAATTATCAAGATCAATGCCAAGTCTTATATTTACAACAATTTGCCAAGTGTCTTTATTGTGTTTTTATTCATCGAACCTACTTATATCAAAACTCAATCATCTATCCATTAAGAGAAATAAAAAGCAAGCTTAACTTTCACTTACGAGAGGCTTCGTCTTGTTCCTGGGTCTGGTGTGGAGCAAACGACTGTCTGGCTAAATTGCGCCAATGTGTAGACATTCTCACCGTATGGCTTTATATTTATTGACTACTCGTAGAGCAAGCAAAGCAAGGCAAAATGTCAACCACCTTTGTGCATGTCACGTACGATCATTACTTGTGCATCATAGCTCGGAGACATGCAGCTTGCTCAATATCCACCCTCCCCTCATCTTCAGTTATTCAATAACAATAGATATTGTTAAAACATGAAAGACTAAATTCTGCAACATTTTGCTGCTATATTGAACAAACATAATGCTGTATTAATGAACCCATGATTTGACATCTCTAATAAGTAATCTAAACATAAACAGTGCTAATTACCTGACACAATTGCACAATTGTGGCCGGATGTCTGGAGAAGCATTCGTTATTTGTATTGAATTACCTTTTCATTCTTGGCATTCAAAATACAAACTAATAATTCACTTTTTTATGTATTCAGTTTTAATTTCAAATAATACAAGCTTATTCATAGGATTAAATCTGAATGACATTCTGGTGATTTGAGAATTGTATTAATCTTGGACACCCTTCCGACATAATATATCTTTAATAATCTGCAATCAAGAAATTGATAGACATAATTTAATCAGATAAATGGCTTATTTAGTTGTTAATATTTGTGTAGGCCTTGATATATATCTTATCTATATAGGGATTCAGCAAGGGATTATTGGGTCAAATGTATTTTCCTCGCTAATGCCTAGGTCACATTTGCTGCGATTCATTGGCCCGGTTGAGTATTTTGTTCCAAACTGAAATATGTGTTGCAATCAAATGTTTCGAAAGCCATTTACCATGATTTAAACAAAATATCATTAAAGCTCTTTTTCAGACATTCAATCAATTTAAATCAATCAAGTTTAAATGCGATCTCGCATATATTGCATACATGTATTTGCAGATGTAGTGATTGTATCTTACTCACATTTTCATATAATAATAGCTGTCATTTGACATGTTATATTGAGTTTTCAATATTTTGATACATTTGTTTATTATTTTGCGACCATTAAAGCTTTAATCGGGGATAAAGATTGTGAATAATTACACGTACATTACGTATTACAAGTCAAAAACCTTATTTACTTTACACCATAATTTACTAGGAATCCAGATGCTAGAAGAAGCATCTAGATAAAACTCACATCAAATAAGCTAGATGTAATTATTGAAAGGGTTATTGGTATTAAAAATCTCAATATTTTATTTCAACAAATGCCTTGATCTCAGGTATTACTTTCCCATGGATTTAAAAATCATCCCAGTACTAATTATAAGTAACACCATTGAACACAAGCCGTCTGATTGCATTAATTGCCAAAATAACATCCTTAGAAGTGAACAATACAAACATCTGATAATAATCTAGCCATGGGCTCTACCATCCTGATAGAGCCCATGATCTAGCTAAGCCCCTCCCCCCCCCCGTGGTATCCATGCCCGCCTTATTATATTCTTAAAAATGTTGAACTACCGTTTGTATTCCTTCAGAGATAATCGGTTAATTTCTGAATTTAACAGAAATTTAATTATACAATGTAGCACGGGGACTATACAATTATTACATACATGTAAACTTACCTTGCAAAATAATTTTATGCGAAAATTAGAACTACCGGCTGCAGAAATTAATCCTTGTAATAACTATAACAAACGGATTAATATTAGTGAGAACTTAACTCATTTGCAAGAATTAAATAATAAGGGATTAAAGTTTTGTATATTGCTCTGGCATGTCAAAAGGTATTTTTGTAAGTTTGCTCTACCATGCACAAAACTTATTAATTGATCTGTCAAATGAAACAGTTGCAATAAATGTGGCCGTTTCTTTATCTTTATTATCAACTGAGCATACCGAATCTTTCAAATTTCGTGAATATATTTGGAAATGAGAAACAAAGCAAGACCCAATTCGAAATAGAAACAAGGCTATCTCTGATAAAATGCATAACAGAAAACATGTATTGTGAAATATATTGTTTGCAAGTTTAACTCAGTAAAGTCACCTGAATAATGTATGTCCCCTAATATCTTATTACACGATTGAGAAGACTGTGGCAATTCATCATATTCCCGGGATCATATTACAGGCTCGTTGCCAGCTTTTACCTGTGGGGGGAGGGGGGCTCACGTACTTTCAGAAAAGTTCATATTAAACGCAATTGATATTTCATGCAAAGATCATGTAGAATATAGAGTATAGTGTCAAGGTTATCTCATTTGATTTCACAGAATGGCTAACCTTATAAGCACTATCTGAACCAGGGGCAGAGTCAGCAATTG